TTGGAGAGTTGTAAACCTTGTATGAATTCATCTTGGGCCTCATGCTTTCTTTATGTCGCATTTTCAGCTATTATATGACGGTTAATGATTATTTGTCTATGTAGTACAATACAAGAACTATTTAAGATGATTTATGACGAAAGTATCTAATGAAATGGGTCAGAAATGACCGAGATATCGAGCTCGCTGTTGGCAACAATGAACGCGAAGGTTTGACAGCCGGCGGCGGACATATGCGGTCAAGTGCCGCAGTGGTGGAAAGCAATCAGCAAGTGTGGGAACGTGCCGACGACCTCCGATCGCAACGACGAGCACTTACCGTTTTCGGGGACCTAGACGATTTCCTCGTTCAGACGTTATTCGGGCAATTACTGCCAGTGTGTGGCTATCGGCATTTCGAAGCTAATTAGCTATTTCTACACGGGGTACGGACACTAGCTAATTAGCTAAGTAAGACGTGATGACGAGGTGAACTTCAGTACAATTGCGGTACAGAAGAACATATTCAGAACATATTCAGTTCTATTTCAGACCAATTTGGGGTCTAAATGAAGTAGCTAACATATGTACTACAATTGTACTACATATGTTGTACATATGTGCTGCATATGAACTGTATATGGACTGAATATGTAGTGCATATGTACTGCAAGTGTCCTACATATGTGCCGGCACTATCAAGGCCTGCACTACCACTTGGTCTCATCTGTAGATCATCTGGCAAAGGGATTCTTTGCTGCTGGAAAAGATGTGGAAGGTATACAGAACATGACAGATGCAACAGACAAAGACTTGCAAGTGGAATTGTGAGGACGGGTGATGGACGGTACAGATTAATAGGCGGAAGGACTGATGTGTGACTTAGGGATTGACACAGTCCTGATATCCCATGTTCAAAACAAGCTTGTTGTGCACCCAATATGTCATTTCGCTGTCTCATTTTGCTGTAAATTAGTGATGGTACACATTGGGTGTAAGGAGAACCCCCTAGAGTACCTTGTACGCTTTTTCTTTTCTACTTATTTCACAATCCTTTGCCTTATCTTTTACTTACACCTTTATGTTTCACTTATACTTCGACGTGCATCGCATTTCTGCCCTTTATTTGACAAGCTTAGTGTGGCATCTGCTGGGCTCCCGGCGCTAAATCGACCATCCAGTAAGCGCCGGAAGCGCCCATAGCACATGCTTCTCCAGCCACTTCTGTTTTAGGCATGTACACCCCCCATATGATTTATTTGTGTACTGTACAGTTCTTGCTTTGCTTTCCAACTCCAACGACTAGTGTCGTACCGAGAGCGAGAAGGCTGCCGGACAATAAGTCCAACAGAGAGCAAGAGTGACGGAGGGGACGGATCACACAAAGGCAAGGCGGAGGGACTTAGAGAGATTCAGACGAGAGGTAGAAAGACTTTTGTAGATTGAACTAATAGTCAGACTAAGGTTTACAAGGCGGACTAGCTAGCTTTTATACGACGGAGGCCAGGGACAAAACAGATCGTAAGATCCAGGAGGCTATGAGAGAAGGGACGATGAAACAGTAAGTAACATATGGCGAAGGTCTGGTGGCGGATAGCCGGACGGATATATTGTGTGTATAGGTAAGAAGTGGAGTAGAGCATATGGATGAACTAAGGGAAGCCAAGCAGATATGTTTCAGTAACTAATATGGATGGATGATGCGGAAGATATCCGGAAGGTGACGGATGCAACTGACAAAGACTTGAGCGAAGGTTAACGAGGACAGATGACGGAAGGTACAGGCGGATGAGACGGACACGTAGCTTAGGGGTCGGCACAGTCCTGACATAAAGGCACCTCATTGTTGTAAGGTACGGATGCCAGTGTCGGGATGCCAGCAGGCACTTCTCGCGGGATGTGACCTGGCACTTACACGACTTCTCAAGCATTCCAGCCATCACATAGATACATGCACTGCGGGCACCCAACTATCTTTCCGCCCGAAAAACTGCGTGAGAAAAAGGGTTTGTAGTTTCCGGCAGGTTTTCCGGCCGGGAATACTTAGAGTTTTCTGGCCAGCAAAATGGCAGAAATAATATGCATTTTTCACCAGTCTTGCTGAGAGAAAGATGCTGAGTTTTCCCTTGCATTCTGGAACTGTCGAAACCACCGGAAAATGATTTGTTTTTCCCGTGACAAAAACGTAACATTTTTTGGGTGGTTTTTCTGATAGAAAAATGCCAAGTCTTTCGAAAGGTTTTCTGCCGGAAATCCTCAAAGTTTTCTGACATTAAATCAAGCATTACCTACCAATTTCCCACCAGAATAACGGGGAAATGCGGAAACCCCTCCGAAAAACTATGAGGATTTCCTACTGAAATACCGTTCGAAAAACTTGACATTTTTCCGTTAGGAAAACCCTACAACATCTTCCACTCAGCAAAACTGCGGGAAAACTCATACTATTTCTACAATTTTACGAGCAGAAAAAATCTACGCATTCCTGACAGGAAAACCCGTCAGAAACTACAAACCCTCTTTCCCACGGGGGTTTTCGGGCAGAAAAATAGTTGGGTGCCCGCAGTGACATGTACTTGCGAAAGTCACCCATTTTGACCATAAATATAATTTATTAAGTATTCTATACTACATATTAACAAATAAAAGGGAGCCGGCACACTCCCCTGTGCCGGCTCGGGTGGTCATAGTGCCAGATAATATGAAAACAAAAATTGAGAAAAAAAACCTTGGGGGACACATTATGTGAGGGCGCACCCTGCTCGTGCGTGTGTGTGCCTCACGACACGGTGGTGATTGCGCGTGCGCGCGTGATGGCGGGTGTGCGCGTGGTGGCGGCGGGTGCGTGGTGGCGTGCGTGCCTACGTGCGCGAGATGGCCGGTGGGCGTACGCCGTGCGTGGTGTGGTGGTCGCGCTGTCGTTGTACGCGCGTGGGTCGTGGGGTACGTGCGTGCGTGGTGGCGGCGTACGTGTGTGCGCTTGGGGGCGTGGTGGCGCGTGGGTCGTGGGGTGCGTGCCCTTGGAGGCGTGGTGGCGCGCGTGCGTTTGGCGGCGTGCATGGTGGCGCATGTGCCTGCGTGCGCGAGATGGCGGGCGGGCGTACGCGCGTGGGTCGTGGGGTGTGTGCGTGCGCGCGCGGCTCCCGCTCCCCCGTGCTCCTCGTTGTCCTCGTCGTCGCGTCCTCGTCCTCGTCGTCGTTTCGTCGTCGTCGTGGTCGCGTCGTCGTTGTACGCGTGGTGATGGTGGCGGTCGCGTCGTCGTGGCCTGAGCGAGCTGGCGGCTTGCGCGCGGGCGTGCGCCAGTGCCTGGGTGGGTGCGCGCGGGCGTGCGCTTCGGTGCGTGCGTGCGTGCGTGCGTGCGGTGGTGGGGTGCGTGCGGGCGTGTGCGCGCGGGCGTGGTGGCGGCGTGCGGGCGTGTGGGGTGCATGCGGGCGTGCGCGTGGTGGTGGCGTGCACACGCGTGGTGTCCTCGCGAGCTTGGGCGCGTGCGCGCGGGACGGCGGCGTGCGGTGTGTGCGTGGGCGTGGGGTGCACGTGGGCGTTGGGTACGCGTGGGCGTTGGGTACGCGTGGGCGTTGGGTGCGCGTGCGGGCGTGGTGGGCGCGCGGGCGTGGGTGCGTGCGCGTGGGCGTGGTGCGTGCGCGCGTGGTGGCGTGCGTCGATGCCTGGGTGCGTGGGTGCGGGCGCGGGCGTGGTGGGTGCGCGCGTGTGGTGGGTGCGGGCGTGGTGGCGTGCGTCGGCACCTGCGTGCGGGCGTGGTGGGTACGGGCGGGCGTGGTTGCGTGCACGCGGGCGTTCGCGTGGGGTGCGGCGCGCGTGCGCTTGGGTGGGCGCGTGCACGTGGGGTGCGGTGGGTGTGCGCATCGCGACGCGGTGGTGGTGATGGTGGTGATGGTGGTGGTGGTGAACAGTCAATAATATAAAAAAAAGAAAAAAAAACACGCACCTAGGGGGCACATTACGCGCGCCCCCGTCGGTGCCCTGCTCGTCGTGCTCGGTGGTCTCGCGTGCGCGTGTGGTGTGTCCGTGCGTGCGCGCGGGCGTTTACGTGGGGTGCGGCGCGCGTGGGTGGTCTCCCGCCCCTTCCCGCCTTTCCCCTCGTCCTCCCGCTCCTTTGTGCTCGTTGTCGTCGTCGCTCCGCGCTCGTCTTTGTCGCTGTTGTTGTTGTCGTCGTTGTTTCGACGTCGTCGTCGTCGTGGGCGTGGGCGTGGTCGTGTTCGGGGTCGTCGTCGTCGTCGTCGCTCGTGGTTGTGGTTGTTGTCGCGTGGTCGTGGTTGGTCGTTGTCGCCTCGTCGTGGTTGTTGTCGTGGTCGTTGTCGGTGGCTGGCACGTTGTCGTCGGTGCGGGGAAGGGGATGGGTGGGTGGATGGGCGCAGGGAAGAGAGGTAGCAGCAGGGCAGAGGGTTCGGCGCAATGCGGGGCGGAGTTTGAATTTGTCCGCAGCAGTACTACTTGTCGCACTGAGTAGGGGCCAATAGTACGGACTTATGGCCTAATGGTTCAGAGCGCTGTTTCTGATCATGTGACTTGTGCCCGCAGAGGTTGCTGGTTCGACTCAAGTTACTGCCAAAATGATAATATGCTAAATCATTCTTTTTGCTATAAATCAGTAACGGTACAGCTGAAACATGTGTTTCAAATGTACAAATGAACGGAAAATGGACCGAAATTGAATCATCTGAGCCACATATGTTCTACATATGTACTGAGGCAATATTCAGATCAAATTCAGTGCTGTCAGCACATATTCAGTCCAGATGGTTCAGATTCAGATCTGACTGTCAAATGTAGTTCATATGTACTTTGTCACTACATGATTCAGAGATCATATATGTATTCAGTACATATTGAGTGCATATGTGGTACAATTGCAGTGCACTTTCAGATATGTACTACATATGTAGTACATATGTTAACGTGGCTGAGTGTAATGTCCTCGATGTGCCCTTATGCGGCAAGGTCATCGACCGACTTCTCCCTTTCCGTCGCGGAAACGACTAATTTAACTAATCCCGAGCACGATGCAGCACAGTCTGGCGGCATGGAGCGTCTCCGCTCCTGAAATCACCATTGCTCTCAACGCTAAGGGGACGCAGCTGAGGACAAAACCTTCCAAGTCCACCATCCGACTCCGGAATCGACTAGCCAACAAGAGGTGAGTTGTTCGTCTCACTCAACTCAGTTCCCTTACAGTCTTCAAGCCCTGCAGAAGTGGACAACTTTTGGAAGCAAAAGTATGCACGTTCTAAGTCAAAACTCAAGTAAGAACGCTCCCTGTCTCAGGCATTTTGCCTAACTTGACCCTCACATCCAGCAGGTCAAAAGTGCCTCAACCTACGGACGTCTCCTCGCAAACAGACGTTCCTACGGCCTCGGATTTAACTTTGTCCCCATCGCCTACTGCTACAGCTACAGCGGACCTTCAATCACGCGCACCGACGCCCACACCGAAACCAACGTTGGAGCCGGGTCCTTCAGACGGAGTCGACCCTTCGACGAAACCTCTCGACGGGCCTTCGGAGGATCAGGCAACGCCCGTTCTTGAGCAGGACCTTCAATCACATGCACCGACGCCCACACTGAAACCATCATTGGAGCCGAGTCCTTCAGACGGAGTCGACCCTTCGACAAAACCTCTCGACGCGCCTTCGGAGGATCAGGCAACGCCCGTTCTTGAGCATGACAGTCCTCCTGCTTCTCAGCCAGGATCACCTTCGACTACGCCCCTTCCCAGCCTGAGAAATCCGTCCTCCACACGGTCCCCTTCCCCTACGTCTTCCGATACATCTTTAGGCGGCGACCGTAAGGCTTTACTCCAGTCACTGGCTGCACAGGCAGACATTCTTCTAGAAGCAGTAGAGAATTGGAGAATCTCCGAAGATGTCACCAATCTACTCGACTCACGGCTGAAGGCAGCGTCAAATTTGCTGAGGCAGCCGACTGGGGTAAAAAAACGTCTTGAGTTTCTGAGTCATTTGGAACACATTGGACGAGTCGTGGATCAGAGCGCATTCCTTGAGCGCTCACCTTTACAAGCAGTTCACAGCCATGGTTATCTACATTCCCAAGAAATATTTGGAGCAGGTTGTTCTATCCATTGGCACGTTGGAAGACGCCAAATTTTAGTCGGCCTGACGGGACTTTTGTCTGGAGTGCGGGATTGGCTTTCGCAACCGTCGCCGACCTTGACGGCAATTCTTAACCTGGTATTTTCTTTTCTCTCTCTCTCAAGCCCGAACTACACATGGGTTAACGTATTCTTTTATTTTCGAGATCATCGATATGACAAACAACAATTACAGTCATGGGTTCATGAATGCCACCCAAGTGAAACGTTTGAAGTCAGGCAGTTGGCTGTCAGATGACATGATCGACTACGCTTTGGGTAAATCTCTCCGATCATTAGTGACAGTGCGTGAATTGAAAACTGGGCAGGCAATTTTCGTTGCGAGGATGCCGTTGTGCACGGAGCAAGCAAGGACATCCTCATCTGCTCGTCGGGGCTTATGCCTCGCATGGCTCGACTCGCAAGAACAACTGTGGACGTTGACGGCTTGGACGACAGCGACGACGACGACGAGAACTCTGGGAAGCTTGATCAGGAGACAGTCAAAAGTTTGTGCGCTTTGGAAACAGTAGGTCGAACGGTCTCTTATCCAAGCGTCGCTGAAGCTGACACCAGTTCATATGAAGGTCTTCAACCGCGACGTCCTCAGGCATATTCGAAAGATTATTTTGCCTGTATGCACAGGGGATCACTGGATCCTTGTACATTGCAATTTGGCAGACCTCGTTATCGACATTCTGGACAGCCGATCCAATAAGGTGCCCAAGAGGGCCCAAGGAAAGCATTATTCTATATACATTGAAGTATGTTTTATTCGTTCCCTTCAGCTTGGGGTTAGGATAAATCATGAGCACAGCGCTTTTGTCTTTGGCTCAAGATGCTGATTGATAAGTATGTTCTTCCGTTTGAGGATCCAGTGGAAAACTCCACACTGTGGACCCTGAAGACTCCCTTCGCTGTGGCCAAAGCTAATTGCAATGTTCACGAAGACGTACATATCTTTTCCTTCGCATTGATCAGAATAAAATTTGACTGAATTGTTCTTCCACAAGTTCCCTTACCAGAAGAATGACAACGACTGCGGTCTGTACGTGATCAAGTTCGCAGAGCACTTACTGAACGGAGAGACAATCAACCACGACGACGTTCCCAGGCTCAACTACATCTTCACCTGATTGGACCTCTCTGGACCACGTCCGACTCAGACTTTGGATGGACTTACCGAAGCTTGAAAAGGACTGGATATTCATTCCAGAAATTATTCGAGATTATTCTCTTTACGAAAAGTACCTGTAAATATTCTTTTCAACTATTTTCTATTTTTACTTTGTTTTGCCCATGGCCACGATTTCTGTACCTTTCATTTGAGCCAGAGTTCATGAGTTAGTTGGGAATATTCATTGTGCTAGCTGTACTTGATGAGGTTATTAGAGATTTGCTCGTGAACAACAAGTGCTATTCAGCCAATCAAATGCTGGTGTGATTCCACACAGTTATACCTTTCATTTGAGCCTGAGTTCATGAGTTAGTTGAGAATATTCATTGTGCTAGCTGTACTTCCGTTATACTATTGAGTTGACTCCCTGATGAGGTTATTGGAGATTTGCTCGTGAACAACAAGTGCTATTCAGCCAATCAAATGCTAGTGTGATTCCACAAAGTCGTACCTTTCATTTGAGCCTTAGTTCATGAGTTAGTTGGGATTATTCATTGTGCTAGCTGTACTTCCGTTATACTATTGAGTTGACTCCCTGATGAGGTTATTAGAGATTTGCTCGTGAACAACAAGTGCTATTCAGCCAATCAAATGCTGGTGTGATTCCACACAGCTATACCTTTCATTTGAGCCTGAGTTCATGAGTTAGTTGAGAATATTCATTGTGCTAGCTGTACTTCCGTTATACTATTGAGTTGACTCCCTGATGAGGTTATTGGAGATTTGCTCGTGAACAACAAGTGCTATTCAGCCAATCAAATGCTAGTGTGATTCCACAAAGTCGTACCTTTCATTTGAGCCTTAGTTCATGAGTTAGTTGGGATTATTCATTGTGCTAGCTGTACTTCCGTTATACTATTGAGTTGACTCCCTGATGAGGTTATTGGAGATTTGCTCGTGAACAACAAGTGCTATTCAGCCAATCAGATGCTAGTGTGATCCCACACAGTTATACCTTGCATTTGAGCCTTAGTTCATGAGTTAGTTGAGAATATTCATTGTGCTAGCTGCCAATAACCTCATCAGGGAGTCAACTCAATAGTATAGCGGAAGTACAGCTAGCACAATGAATAATCCCAACTAACTCATGAACTCAGGCTCAAATGAAAGGTACAGCTGTGTGGAATTATATCTATGCCTGATTGGTTGAGTATACATTTGATTTCAAACTTAGATTAAATTTTTATTCTCCTAAGCAGATATAACCTTCTAAAAATGTAATATCATATAATTTCCCACACTTTTATGGTTTTTTAAAACAAACAATGATGCTTTAGGTCTGCATTCACATCTATGAACTGAATTTTTTAAGATCCAAACCAACACTTTCAATATAAACAACCTCTGTTAATTATATTTAATTATAATAATAGAAGAATATTGTATACCACAATGAGGAGACATGATCAAAGGTTATGCTCAGCCAAACAAATGATCAGAAGGTTAGTGCGCTTCAGAAAATGCATTGATCACCTGTCCCGGGTTAGGTGATGCTGGCGGACCCCGCCAGCACCGGCTAATAAGGATAGATCCACCCTTGGCTCAGTAACCCACTAGTGCATGGTAAAGTTCGCATTTTTGCACCTTTTTCCCACTTCAAAATGTTCCCAATAGCTTCGGAGTTTTTGTATTTTATGTATTTTATCATTCTGAGCAACTTTACTCTATATATCTAAGCAATTGGGATAAGTCCTGCCCTTGTATTCACAAAAAAAAGGCCCTTAGAGCGAATTTTGTGGTTCTTTGCCTGTGGGAATATCCCCTAGCTCCCCTGGGTCATGTGCTTACAGAAAAGTTCAGAGGTTTTCTGTAAGCACATGACCCAGGGGGGCTAGGAGTCATCTTCTGGCTGTACTTCGCATTTTTGCTCAATTTAAATGGCAATACCTGCTGCTACAAATTGCTCCCCACATCGGACTTATGTTTCTTTATATTCTGAACAACTTTGTCCACTCAAGCAAGTCATGAAAACAAAATCCTGAGCCAGTACAGCTCATTCTTGCTGCTAACTTCGCATTTTTGAGCCTGTAGCTTGTCCTTAAAATATGCCAGCTATATACTGTCAATTGTATCCCATGTAATTTCGCATTATAAACACTTTCCTCCCCTCAAGCAAGTCATGAACATCAAATCCTGAGTCACTAGTCCTGTATTTGCTGTTTGAGTTCGCATTTTTCCAGCTTTTGACTGCCTTAAAATGGCCCTAACTACTTCGGAGTTTTTGCATCTTATGCCTTTTATTATTCTGAACAACATTCCTCTATATACCTAAGCAATTGGAGCAGGTTCTGACCATGTTTCATTACAAAAAGTGTCATTAGAGCGGAATTTGAAGTCCCTAATATGAGCTACTGACTGTGAGAAACTAATTTTGTAATGAGGTCGGACTTGTAATGAGTTGTGACTGTGAGAAAATGCGAAAACTCAGCTGCCTGAATAGGCAGGTCAGGGGAAAAGGGGAACAGGGGCGCATTAAATAAAACACAAAGATAATTCTGTAGCTCAGGCAGCTGATGGTACAAGTACTTGGGGCTATGGTCCAATCCTGGGGGATATATATAGGGACTTTTGGAGCCCAGTAGCATTTACTTGTACCACTTTCCCAGTGCTCTGTAGCCAGTATAGTGGTTTTGCAGGTAGTAATCCAGCTGCTGCATGAGGAGAAAGTGGTACAAGTAAATGGGAAAGGGCTTCCCATATAGCCTGGGGGTATACCTAGAGATGGGTCTTTGTGGCGTTAACTTGTACCAACATCCTGGCTATTGGCACCCTCTTCTCCTCGTACCGAAACGGTATTTGAGCTATAGCACGAGCAGGAGGTAAGCTATCTCCGTAGAAATTTTATCAGTATACTCTCCTAACATGCCCGGACATATTTCGTCACCTAACCCTGGGTCGGGGAGCGACGGTTGCTTCGCTACGCTCAGCGACATTCTCGACGAAGAATGGGGCGTGGAGGGACAATGGGACAAGAAACACCTAACGCCACAAGGTGATCCTCCATCAGTAGGCCCTAACGGAGGTGGGTGCACCTGTGGCGTTAGGTTCTGTGGAGGTCAGCGGAATAAGCTGCCTATTCCATCGGATAATATAGATAGGGATGGATACACCCTCCGTGCGACCGAAGTAAGCAACACCACCCTCGAGCTCGCCGTCTCGCCCCCCTTCCCCATTGGCGCGGCTGAGGTATCTCCGCCCCTTACTGTATCCAGTCCTACGACAGGGTCTTTGAGCGGCACGGGGAGTGGTACCGCGGCGCAGGGAGGCCCCACGAACTCGAATGCAGGAATGAGGGTCGGGCTCCGAGGGTCGGGGTGGGCGATGGTGGCTGCTGTTATGGGTGCGGTGGATGGGTTCTGAGGCGTTGGTTAACACCATGTTGTATAGAGTGGAAGCGGTAGTGGATAACTGGGATAGCTACACGATTTAGACCCTTGCACTCGATCCCCGCCCCGTACATGATCAAACGTTCCAATCAGCCGTAGTTCTTGTTCTTCCTTGCTGTAATTTAGGGACTACAGCGTCCTGATGCAGAGTGGCCGACTTACGAGCCTCGCTGTCACGGAAGTTCAAACTCATCAGGACGGAAAGGGTTGAGACTCATGACGAGTCCCAGAGCACAGACCCTGATTCCTTCCCCCACTTCAAAATTCATGTGCAGTCCTCTGTTCATCACAAGGGTTGTTTCGAACCGATGCGCGCGGATTCTATATTTGCTCAACGAAACTTCTTTGCTCGCCATCGCCCACGATTCATCTCCTCCGCTCCTCCTTCATCAGTTCGATTCGAGTCATCACGACTGCTCGCTGCGAGTATGCGACATGTCCCGGAGGGGATCTATTGCACATCGTCTACAAGACGATGTTATAATCCCTGGATTCCCTGGATGTAGTATCAACACGGTTGTCGTTGGGCTGATCCTGGTGTTTTGGTATGCACTTCCAGCTCACTCGCCTTCACGGGCCCTCTGTGTGGCGTGTCCCTTTGTTCTTCCCCCCCTCCGCCCACGTACTCTGGCACTGTCGGCTTACATTGCCTCCTCGTTTTATAGTCCTCGTTTCACAGTCCTCGTTTCCTCGTTTCGCAGGCGTCTCACAACGGACAGCCACCGTCTGCCCAATTTCAGGCTGCCCCGCATTGTGGCGCTTGAACCGGCCCCACGTGCATGATCGAACTGCCGACTTCGGACTTCAACCTCACCAACCTCTCAAACGCACACCACAACAAGGACATTGTCGACGACAATTGAAGGCCACGGTGCGCCAGTTCTCCATCCAATCTGTATCTCCCTGAAACGATGGCGCGTCACGACCGACGGACAACCTGCCTATATACCATTACGTCTGCTCCCAAGACGAAGACGAACAACTATCGAGGCGGCGAAACAGGGCTGAGAATGCGGGGGTGGGATGGGACGGTGCCGTTGATATGGTGACATACCCTGCTCAACCTGCCAGGTAAGTCTCCAATCCCCTGGCATGGGCTTTTGGTTCACGTCGCCATTAGTGAACGCGCGACCGCTGCAGGATTGAGAACGATGCCAGAAACCAGCCTTGCGCCTTCAGGGCCGATCCGGCTATCTCAATCGCTCCCCATCTTCTCTCAAGCCAAGGTCAGACAGAAACGCTGATCCGCTAGCTCATTCTTCAACACGGGCAGTACGTGCTCCCCCTCCGCCTTGAGAGCCTCGCTTTCTTCGAACGAGGTTGGATCAAACAGGAGGTCGCCATCCCCTCCCACCTCGTCTTCTAATGCGGCCTCAAGACCATCAATTTCGACGTGTTCGACGCCGCGATGAACTTCTACGTCAAGCACTTCCAATTCGCCAATGCGCTACTAAAGCTCAATCGCTCGTCAATGACCGTCAACGAGTACACGTCCGTCGCTGAGAACATGGCTGCGCCAGACCCCGCCTTCGATGTCATCAAGCCTGACATCCACAACCGCAACTGGTACCAAAACCCCGAAAAGCGTAACATCCAGACCCTCGGATACCTCATCCACGAATATCGATTCCGTCCAGGATTCGCCTACCCCAGAGACCGACTATATGGCCTGTTGGCCTGGCCTGCGATGCCGATACCCTGAAGTCGATTCCGATACCCTGAAGTCGATTACACGAAATCCTGGGAAGAGATGTACGCAGACGCTACTAAGCGGATCATCAGTAAAGGGAAGATTGACGTGCCTCGATGGTGGAATACCCCAAGACCAGCGATCGTCTACCGAGCTGGGTGTTCGTCTTGAACACGACAGGGCGTGATTATATCCTTTGCAACGTAACAGTCACCTCAACCCGCCCATTCGCGGCAACCGGCTCGACATCGCACCTTCCCCCTCTTGCCTCCGAGATCCCCTACACTCTCACCTGCCACAGTGTCGTTCTTGACCGCGTGAAAGAAGACGACGTCTCGCGTTGGCCACTTTGCGCCCTTCTCCCTTGTTCCGACATCATCACCTACATCGCCGCACCCATGCTGTCAAATCATCCACACGCGACTTCCCCAGCTCACCGTGCCGAAGCAGCGTGGCGTATCCCCGTTGTCAACCACGAATACACCGATGCGAGCATTGGAACTAGTTGATGAGTTACCACGGCAAGCTCCGTGCGTACGATGAAGTCAAGAGTATGCTCCTGTGGTCGAACGCGCTGTTACTAGGACAAGACATTGCGGAGGTCGTTCCGCTCACGGACGCGCAGTCGGAAGAGCTGGAGCACATCATTGAGTCCCAGGAGCGCGAAGCGAAGGTGACGCAAATGAGGATAGGATGGTTGAGGCGCGGCGCTGCGGCGCAGTCTTATTTTGGGTCGATGAATGCGATATGGTGGTGGAGGCCGTTCGCGGGGAGGGGTGTTTCGTTGGCGTTGGCGCACTGGAGACGGAAATTGGGGATGTGGTGTGCGTGATGGCGCTATGGTGCCATTTGTGTTACGGCCCATTAACGAGAGCGAGGGGAGTCGGTATACCCTAGTTCGAGAGTGTTATTGTGATGAATAAAGGACGGGGAGGCTTTGGAGATGGACTTGGGCGCAGAGGTATTTAGAATCGCTTGATTATCGTGAGTTACGGGTCCTGTAATGAAATGAAAGGAACCGTTCTTTATTTGGGTGGGGGTTTTGGGCGCTTCCTTAAGTGGACGGCTACTGTTGTAGCCGGTAGCCGGTCATCCGGAATCTCGGGATCTTGTTTAATTTTAATTTAATTTAATCTAATTTTGTATTCAATGTTAATTCAATTCAATCAGCCTTTCCTCACTTGTACACGTGGGAGAGCTTCCAAAGCTAAATGAGAGTTAGCACCGGAGATCATGTAAGTTGCCATATTAATCAATATTCAGGGGAGCCTCAGGGGAGCCCCTCAAAACACTGCTCAGCAGTCATACTCACTGTTTCACTTATGCTCATATTGTAAACTTACACTCTGGCATTAAATATGATATTTCACATGTATCATATTAACTCTGTAGTATCAGTAGTGTAATAGAGTGTCAAGAGAGTCAACAAATTGTCAACAATGGCAATTTCAGATGAACATGGTTGATCAGTACATGTGGATAAGTCTGATAATATATGATTCATAACTAACTAGCAGAGATATGCACATCTGTAGAGTGGATAACTAGTTTTACATGACAAGTGTAGTAGTTATTCCCAGGAATATGTTTGAATTGGTATTTCAAGTAATTAGATCAATCACTGTCTTACTATACAGTAGAATAGCATCTAAATCCTGCAGTAGCTGGAGGCAAAAAAGCAGCACTGTACATTTACAAGAGTCCACTGTTATTGAATGGAGAAAGAGTATATGAATATGAGTTCTCAGCAATTTGAGTAATGTTTTTGAATCTCCTATACTTCTGTATATGTTATAGGCGCATCCAGGAGGCCCCTTAGGGGCCACTAGGGGCATATTCACGTCCACTCTGGCTATGGGCTCGGGCCATGTATACTCGTGGTTACTTGGACTTCTCGGATTATGGACTAAATACATATTCGAGCACACTGTACTTACTATGACCGGACTACTAACTGTCTCATGAACACGCGGCTACCGCATGTTCCTTAGTATATAGTCTTGTACTGTACCTACAGTTACCTCAGTTTGAATATTAGTTCCTTTCCGCACTCACATCCTTGCCTCTCTACTGAGGCCTCTTCCTCACATTCCCTTGCCTCCGCTTGTACCCTCGGTACCTGTTAAGGACCGTGTCGAGGGGCCTCCTGACTCGTCCGTACAGGGGCACGGGAACGCGCACAGAGCGCAGGAGCGCGGACGCACAGACGAACGGAGCACACGGGACTTGGCTTCAGCTTTGATGCTGTGCCCTCCTAGCCCTGCGGTGTCCTGATTTCGGAGAGAGCAAGGTGAGAGGCGGGCTCCGCGGAGGAGCCCGCAGCGAAGACTTAGAAGGCAAGATGACGGAATAGGAACTAAGATTCAGACTAGAGAATACATGTGTACTAGTGCTACTATAAATACTAACTAACACATGTATGTAGTGAGGCTAGTATGTAAGTACACATGTACATGAAACATGTAACAAAGTAATCCTAGTACTGCGCACCATGCATAAGCCTTGAGGGCGGAGCCTGAGGGATTCCGAAGGTCCGAGTATCCAAAAGGGGCGTAGGGGGGACCCCTAAGGGGGCATGAGGACTGGTCTATGACAGTTTAGATAATCACAATGTCCTTATATGTAGATATATTTGATTGTTCACACGTAGATAAATAGGTAGTCTGAATTATTGTAGATGCGAAGGGGAATTCACAGCGTGTGTGAGCGAGGACAGGGAATGGTGTGTTCCCACCAAAAGCGAAGTAGGAATGAATAAATGAACATGATCCGAATGCCACGTGACGAACGGAACGGAGGACGGAGGCCGTACCAAGCAGCGCCGTGTGCAACTGCTTGGACTCGCTTTGGCAACGCAACTGAGGGGGAGGAAAAAATACTTCTTTTTTTCTGTAGCTAGAGTGTATGTACTATATATACTAGTAGGTAGGTAATACTAAATGCAAGGTATGCATGTATAACTAGGTAAATGAGTATGTGAGGAGCCTTGTGTCCGCAGCAACTCATGTTCGAGTACTCGGACCAAACGAAGAAGTAAACAAAACAATTAGGTACGTACAATATACCGTGAATCAAGGCTCAAACAGGGTGCCAACCCTACATTATGTAGTCCCTTGCGCGTTTGCAAGGGTCAACTGCTATTCCGTACGCCTGAGTAACCACGAAGAAACGGTTATTTCTACACTATTTATGAATCAATAGGACCCGTACAGGCCATGCATTGCAGTGGCTACAGCCCCAAGTTACTATAATCTAATATAATCTCAGCTTCGTTACTGACATACTTTTCATGTGTGTATAGACGACTCCGCGAGGGGGCAGCGAAACCAAGCACTAGCGAAACGCAGAACGGAACGCGCAGTGAAGAGTGCAACAAGAACATATTATAATGAAATGAAACACGAAGCGGCAAGCAGTGGCTGCTAGGCAAGAGGAGAGCATTTCCGGCTCCGACCAGCACTCCGACAAGAAGCCACGGCCGAATTTGGAATTCAACTTATTCGTTCTTACCACCAAGCCACTTGCCACTTCGTCTCCCATTGTTTGACTGTGGCCATTAGGTGAGTATAAGTCTGCAGATGAGCGCGTTTCTCCCTTTTTCTGTAATCTACCAACATGGCTGACTATAAGCTATATCCCCAGACTACTCCAGTCAAGAAGACGCAACCGCCACCATATAATAGAAGGCAGATGTCCGACATAGTCACCCGCACCGACTACCTTACACCCCAAAAAGCCTTCAGCGTTGATCGCTTGAACAAGCCTCCCTCATTCGCTGCTATCCTGGAGAACAAGACGCTTCAAGGTCTTGTGAAGCAGTTCAGCTCGAGCACAACCACGAGCTACGGTTTGGTCGTCAAGCTGCTGAACTGTGCAAGCTCTCTCATACACAGTAAGGACTTCTCTCTCACTATTGTTATCTTCATTTACGTATGAATCCGTTACAGAGAGATGGGCCAAAGATAAGGAGCTGTTGGCCTTCCGCGACAACCATACGCGCTCGCCGACGAATCATCCAAACGACAGCAGAGCCGGGGAACCAGACATCGTCACTATCCTGGATCTCATCAACAAACTCATCGAAAAGGACAAAACGAAGCGTATTCCGTGGCACCACGTGTTGTCCACCATCGAAGAAAAAGGAGAAGCGGATAGCGACGACGGCCCGGCTCAATCTGCCGCTTACCTGGCCTTCGCTAACCAATGCCGGCCTGACTTGGTTGGCATGTACGGGATGGCCATCTCGCCCAAGGGGTACATCGTTCAATACAGCTGCCCTGCTGGCCTCCAGACGTCCGAGGAATTCAACTGGGTCGACATCACTCCCCTGCTATCGTATGTTTACACGCTATATATCCCTCGCGAGGACTTTGCCTCTCGCGATCCGAGCATCACTCTAGCTGACAGCGATGATACGTTTGGAGCTCCCGCTTGGAACATCCGCGACGGTGACAAGGTCTATGAAAACTGCGCCGTCAAAGTCGTCGGAGACCCATGGCGACGAATGACTTGGGTAGCAAGGGTCGGCACGTCGCCGATTACGATCAAGGACTCGTACCGCGACGCTCATGCGAGCTTCAGAGAAGGCGAGCTTTACGACATCCTCCATAGAGAAGGGCCCGCTCCTGGATTCTTGCGAATCAAGAAAGAATACGAGGTTCGATGCGAACGGGGTCGTCCCATTACTGTTACCGTTGGCAGCACCACGCGAATCAAGACTCGACTCATCATGCATACGTGGGGGGAGTCTCTGCGTAAATGCCCCAGCCTGATCGATTTTGCTAAATCGATGTATGACATCCTCGAAGGTGAGCAACATCTGCATCAACGTTTGCTCACGATCTGAATTCATTACAGCTCATCGCTGGGCGGTGCTGGAGCGTAATATTATCCATCGTGATATTAGTCATGGTAATATCTTCGTTCAAGCTGAAGACTTCAAGGAGGAAAATGAAAAGGAGTTCGCCGGGAAGGAATCCAGGCCAATATTCGTCAATGAGATTGTAGAGAAGTACGTTCGCCCTTACCCTATCCGCCAACATTGTTTGCTAACATCCCTCGCACACACTTCAGCGTGAAAAATGCCGACCCGATGGCTCGTCTCGGAGATATGGACAACGCAGCGGAGCTCAATCGAGACAAGGCGGTATCACCCTCGTTCGTCGCAAGGAAAAAGAAAACGAGTATGAATAATGAACCCCTGCGTTTTCGGACGGTCAGTTTCCCTTGAAATATATTTCTCGCCTACTCACTGGCTGGTTTTGAAGGGAACGCCAAAATTCATCGCTCGCTCGCCTGCTGTTGGCCGCTTGCTCGTCACCAACGTCGATTTCCGTGCCATGCCGGAACTCCCCAACCACCTTGCCGAGAAATACTTCGAAACATACGCAAACGATCGATCAGGATTGCGAACATTTGTTGACGATGATTTCACCAATCACGGAGGGATGTATAGCTCCCGAAAGAACGTGAAGAAGTACGAGGATAACCCCGACCTAGTAGTCGAAGAGTTTGAGCATCATCCTCGACACGATGCAGAATCCGTCTTTTGGTGCATGGTCGTATTTCTCCTCGTCGCCGTGCCTTTGGGAAGCCCAGATGAAGTGATCCCCAAAGATACAGACAAATTCTCACTCTTCTGCGCTTGGAGACATATTGCTAATCATCAGGTTGGCCCTACGCAAGATATTTGCGATAGCAGGGCGGGTCTGCTCGCTGGAGGCAAACTGTGGAATGAGTGGTTGCATCCCGACCTCGCTCATGCTGGACCGCTTCTCGCGTCGTTGGCGTCTCAGGTATCTCCCGAATGGAGTCTATTGAGCCCGCAACCCCGCGACCTTCACCTCCACAAAGCGATGCAGCGTATCATCCTCACGCATATCGATTTATGGCAGAAGAATAAACTCGACGTCAAGTTTGATACTGGGAGAGTCCGTCCGACGATCCCCCCGGACAACCGCACGGTGCCCCAAGTGTGCATAACCCCAAGCATTGATGGGCAGCACATCGCCGCTGGCGCGCTTAGAAATAAGCGGGGATCACAGAACATCGAGCAGAAAGAGGACTCCCAAGCAAAGAGTGCGTTCTGATATGCTTTTATCTCATCCTTCCTCACCTTTCCGCTGAATCCAGGGAGACGAACGACAAGAGCAGAGGCCAAGGCATTAGGCTCTCAAAGCCTCCCTCCTACACCACCTCTGGCGACAACACCCCGCCGTTTCCCTCGTTTTCATGCTCATGAAGTCGACAGAATCCTCCCTCCAACGCCAGGTTCGGCCTCCACCTCTCTGACTTCGGACTGGCCTCCGCTTGATGCCAATGTATTCTACACTGCTACCAAAGACAAGGCTTGAACCGTATTTTGTTGCACTATGTACTCGATTCTTTTTGTTTTGAGCCTGTATATCATCTCTTGGAGTACTGCGTCTACGTGCTCTTGCATTGATGCACATTTGTCTACAATAAGCTTTACTGATAATAAGGGAAGCTTGGTAATTTCTCTACTACTGATTGCCACGTACGACCTAGTCTGCACACTGCGTAGTGGCCCAATCCGCCCACCCGCCCGTATTCATGGAAGGCTCCTAGTCGTTTGAAAGACCTGCATCTGTCATCTGTGGTCTGTGTCCCCGAATTCCATCGGTCTGCCTTCTGTCTCGTTGCATACGGCGATCTCCGTCAATCTTTCTCTCACATGATCCGCCTGGCAGCTTCCCACATCCCACGGCCGTTGCACTTTCTTCAATCTCTTTGTTTCACCATACCGACATGCCCGCCCATGGTCGTTCATCCTTCTTCATTTTCCCTTCACCATATTCTTGACCTTCATCGTACCTCACCACTCAACTTCGTCGCTGTCAAAATAGTGGTCGCATTTCCTTTCAGTGTGTACGTCGTCCGTCGTAGATCGCACCATTGGGATCGACGTCACCGTGTACTGGTATCCTAGAAGTCTAGGCTCGTAGTATCTCCCGATGCGTCCCAATGATCTCAGAAGCCGCCGCTGTAAGACGTGGGTCTCTCCGCATAAAAACCCCTCTGAACGGGTTTGATTGAATTTCATTGTATTGTTCTCGACCCTCTAGTCCTTCCAGTGATCGATATACCTCATCTCGCTCCCACTGTGGGACTTCGCATCATGATGTCAAGCAAATCATCCACGTATCTGGTAGATGTTTCCCCACTCTAGCTGTTTTGTCTGCGGCGATTGCCGTTGTACTGCTTAGTCCAGCGTAGGGAAAAGCTTGCGATGAACCAAGGCTGCGATCACGGGGCGTCATGTCGTATATGATTCGCGCCATTCAGTGCACACGGTGACGTTAGGGCCACCACAACGGACGCGGGACTCAGTGTATAGGAGAGCGGATATCTTTGGTAGATGGCACCCGTGAACATGGTTTGATCAAGAATGACTCAGTCAATTCAAAGAATCCATCCGCGTGGTATTCGCGGTGTGCTCACGGGCAACACGAGGCTGTATCGGTGATGCTACAAATATGTCAGTACGCAACAAGCTTTCGCTCGATTCCTCATCCTCCGCCTCTGCAATTCCCTGCGCACCTCTGAGCACTATCATTCTCGATCTTCATGAATTCATTTGACGCAAAGAAGGGACTCTTGTGAGTATGAGGCCGACCGTTTCAAAATTGGGAGTCAGATGAACGCTGAGGTTCTGGCACGGCTTGAAGGACGATCTACAAGTCGTACATCGAAGGTAATTACTTCGTTACGTCTGAATGCCTGCGTCGTTGACTGAGTATTGTGGAATAAACCTAGGTATAGAGATCCGATTCGACTGTAGCTGGAGCCCGGAATCAGCGGTCTCGTTCCACGCCGTTCGCAAGAACAGCACACGGCTATTCAGCAAGAAGAATTGTCCGAAAGCCTTCCGATGGACGCTGCGTCAACGCAAGTGCGCATTCCGCCGTGTTGTTCGTAGTCACGAGATGCTAACAGGTCACATAGGCAGATTTGGGATGACATCGTAATACAGTGCGCCAAAGACGGACGCGAGCGCTCCGACGTCGTGGCGACCTGGGATATCATTGCAGATATGGCGACGCAGGCAAAGTACGATAGACAGGGCGAGGCGCACATCGCGATCAAACACATGTTCGCATTTGGGACTAGCACCTGCTGTGTCCTGGTGCGCAGGGTACGTATTGGGGGTTGTATAGTCTTGTGTAAGGCGCCGACAATAAGATACTTAAGAGTCAATACTACACAACCGTAGAATTGAGTCTGAGTGTCGCCCTTGAATTCGCAAACAGCAACGACTGTATGCACTTCATTCAACACGATATGGTATGTATTTTACACGGCTCACTCCACCATTGATTCTGACCTCATCCCAAGCGTAAATTGGAAAGGAAAGAGCTCACATTGGATCGGACAGGCGGCGAGAGGACAATCATCGATGATATGTGCGAGGCTGCCGCCCCTCACGCCTCTGATTACCGTCATAGTGGGTTTCCTCAGTCAATTTGCGGCCATCTACTGACATGATCTACAGCGGAGATAAAGTCTATTGAGCGCGGCCTTTCACGCGCCGACTTGGATGGCGAGTTCACTAAACCACAGACACGAGTGATCCGCCACCGGGGCCCTACTCCCTCGGAGAGCCGTGCGCGCCCATGCTTTCTGATGGTGCACCTCTCCATCAACTCCTGGGCTCCTCGTGATGGCCGCCCATCGTTCATAGGCAAGGTTCGTTGGACTGCGACCAATAACCTCCCTGCGTCTCCATCCTTCTCCAGTGCTTTCCAATATCTCAACAACTTCCGCCTCGAAGTCCCCTCGAGCACGTTCAGATCTCGCAGGCAGCGCTCTCCCTCGCCGCACCGTTCAGGTACTTTCAACATCACCTTCTCCGCACAGGGAATCTCGGTGTTTGATGGTACACGTAGCCTCGCAGTCGATGGTGCGCATCACTCCATCCTCATCAATTACATTAACACTATGCGAGACGGCTACTTCGACGCGATCTACGGCGGTAATGTCGGGGGAACCAATAACACCAACTCTAGTGCGTACTCAACTATTCCATGTTTGCCACGTCCAGCCGCGTCGACTTATTTCAAATGCTTTTAGTCTACTCGTAGACTACTCTCGTTGCGACATCCTTCGCGATGTCGACTTGCTTGTCCCGCGTTCTGTTATTGCTTCATTATTGTAATCGTATCAGCCGCCTGTATTTGTATTCGTCAATTGTATCTGTACCTATCGTCTCGGTATCTATGTTACTGTGACACAGCGTCGAGCTGGTCGGCCGAGGGCTGGGGTCAAAAAGCAAGGCTGACATCGAGCGAGGAAGACGAGGCGCCACGTGTGTCTTGTCGGCCTCCTGCCTATTTTTCATCCGACAGCGCCGTTCTCACGACTCTCCCTCTTCCCTCCCTCCCCCTCCCCTCTCCTCTTCCCTTGCGCTCTCTCCCTTCGCTTGCCATGGGTCTCCCCTCTCCCCAGCTCGCCCATCCCGCCGCCGCCGTTCTTATCGTCCTGCGTTCGCTAACCCCTCCCTACCGACTTCTCGTTATCAGCCCAGTCCTAGGTGAGCCACCCCGATTATCAGACGAGGGTCAGAAAAGACACGAAAAGACGCAGGTTCGCAAGTTCGCAGACTCTTACTCATATAGATGCGTAGATGAGAAGAATCAACGAGAAGAGCAGTCTCGTAGCTGCGTAAGTGCGTGACTGCGTAATCACTTGAAGGTAAGTTTGCGTGGTCAGTGTCTGCGCCGAGACCCCTTTCACGATTTCCACAACCACGACGATGCGAGGACGACGACGAGGGTATTCACGATTGCTACGGTGGACACGTACACACCGCCTACGCTGTCTGTGGCCCCCACCCCCCGCGCATATTTCGTCTCGGTAGTCGTATAGTATCGCAGCGGCAACACTGGGTGCTGAGACGAGCTGCTCGATCTATACATGCCAGGCAGCGAGAGCGAGAACGCCTGCGCAATCTCGGAAAGTCTGACTCTCGTGATTCCCAGATATCAGTCGCACTCTATGCATCTTCCCTGCTCCTCTGTTCGTCGTATCTCCGTCTTCCGAGTTCTCCTCCGTCTTCTGAGTTCTGAGCTCTCCTCCATGACCGTCACCGTCGCTGCCACCATCCACGACATCGATACCTGCTGCCCCGTCAGCGCGGGCGTCTACACGTGAAGATTGACAGCGTCGACCCGCCCTCGCCCGTGCACCTATTCCGACTTTCGGCTTTCAACGTTCGACTTTCAATCCATCAGAGTATCCCACCCACACCACCTACTTCATGGATCCCATCGCCTGCACCACGTCCCGGAACTTTTCGGTATGTTTCTTCTCTATGCTATTTGCCATGTGTGTCGAATTAGAGGCCAAATCCGAATTGGGAGAATTCAGAAACAAGGCCTCTACATGGCTCCGAATCCTCCCACTTGTGCTGACACAAGCGGGCTCAGACGCATATGCGCAGAGGAGAGGTAGGAGAGATAGGAGAGGTAGTATCGACCGTACGGGAAGCTACATCATCGGCGTCCCAGGCTCTCTGCCCTTCAATATCTCGATCTTCCGACTAGAGGTGAGTCGAGTCCGCGTCGTCCGTATTCCTACCTAGCAAGCAAGGAAAAGGGAGGTTTAGTAAGGTATCACTTCATACATGGACGACGTGTTACACGAACCCGTTGCACCCACCATCGCCAAAAGTTGTTCATATCGTTGTATCGTTATTTGTTCCATTGTCGCTTGTATAGTCCCTTGACCCCGCTCTGCCCTCTTCCACAGCTGCTAACCGAACGCACACAATACACCGTCCACAAGCGCCATCAGCACGACATCCCGCGCTGACATAAAAAAGACGCACATGTGGTCCGATGCGGCTTAGCGGTCCATGAAATAGGCTGTGGGTTCGACCTGATCAATTGGTCCGACTTGGTGGCCGACTAGTGGACGGGATCGACACAACTGGTTTCGTGCTCTGCCGCAGTCCATGGGATGCCCGATATCTTGCGGTCCTACGGCTGTGAGAGCATTCAACGCGGCTGCATCCTTGGTTCCTAATTTGGGGCTGAGCCTATGCTCGGGAATCCAGTATAGGTATATGCCGAAGCGGAGAGGCCAGCAAGTGTTTGTGGGCGTATGGACGAGGGGCGTAGAGGCCAGAATGTATGCAGTACCCCCGTTTGCCGTTCGGCGATGGGGCGGTGAGAGGGTGAGAACGCGAGTCTAGCATGTTCTTAACCATGGGTTTAGAGGTCTTGATCTCTGAATCTGCAGAGATTCATAGACTGCGCGATGACATTACCCTGCATGTCTAATTCCAGGATGTTAGAATGTATACCGGCGCCGGCAAAGGGGCGACGCACCATCTCCTTTTCCCATTTTGTCCGGCCATTCGTATACCGCCAGCATTTCAGCTGACTGCCCTTGACCAGGCGCTCTGCTCGGATCGTTCCCTCGATACCCCAGAATCGTGCCAATTGAACGGCTCGCTGCGGGTACGATGGACTCGATGTAGTTGATCGTGTCAGTGTACGACGACGTTTCATGGATGGACAGCCGAATCTGTGAACTCGATGGGCGATAATGGATCCCTGCTCCGCGCATATAGGTGCGTGTGTTCCCGCGAAGCATGGAGAGAAACCTGTCCAGGTGGCCGTGAAGGCGGAGCACAGGTTGATGTCAACCATTACTCACGGAGCGGCGACACAGCGTTGCCCAGAATCAACGTTTGCCAGCCTCGGATGTTGGTGGAGGCGATGTGGCGATGCGACGCCGCAGAGGCCTACGGAGGGACGGGGACACAAGGGTGCATGGCGCGTTGCGCCTTTTCCTCTTGCAAATACGTCGTCGGCCTACAAGAAACTGGTAGATCCCCGGGGAGTCTTGTCGTTCCGAAGAAACCAACAATAAAGTCGGGTTGGAGTCGAGGGATCTGGCCACGTCGTAATCGCAAGTCGGAAACGGAAGCGTTGGGGTACGTACTTATGTTACACATGGCCACCGAAGAGGTCATCTTGATCTCTCGATCCTCCGTCTAAACCCATTCTTCGAGCGAAGCCACGCTTTCCATGACTCCATGGTACTTGATTGCATGATTCGAACGAAGACGAAGCTGTATTAGAGAGTTTGCGAAAGCCACCAGAGGCTGCTTAGTCAGCCACCGGCGGCTTTTTCCGCGTGAGATAGCCACCCAGCGGCTTTGAGCGCGGCGCGTCGTAACTCACGATAATTGAGCGTTTACTTGCGTATTTCTCTCCATGGTCAGGGCTAAACGACAAAAGACCATTCATCAAGACTCCTCACCTCTGAAAATCCGGATCAAACTGCCAATAAAACCATCTGACATCCCAATTGATTCCTCGACATCAGTTGCTGACCCAGTACAACACCAGCCCTCCCCTGCATGGGATTGCGAGCAAGGAAGTCTGCCTGACGATAGTAGCCAAACACCTGAAGATACCACTAGCCAAAGACAGTCCAAAAATGCACGGTCGCCGCGGTGGCTTCCCTGGCAAGACCGGCGCCTCATCAAAGAAGTGGACAACGTGCGCCCATTCGATGAACCCAACACGAAAATGGTCACCAAGGCATGGGAAACGCTGGCCGAGACTCTTCGGCAGCACACCGCGCTTGAGGGGCCTCAGTCTGTCATCGACAGAACTGCGTATGCCTGCCGAAAGCGGTTTGAGAAGCTAATTCAATCCCATAAGGTATGATCAGGTTTGTGAACTCAGATACACATACTGATTGTTGCTCCAGCGCGATGAGACTCGATCGTTACAGTCTACCGGCACGAACGAGGAAGTTGACGCGCATGTGGAAGTGAGGGATACCTCCGTTTAGGCGGATTGAATTTTCTAACAAAACTCTATAGCTGCTGACCGGCCTTGCTCAGCTGTACGATGTACACAGCAGTATCAAAGATGAACAATCTGCACAGATAAAAAAGAAGAGGTCTGTTGAGTCTCAAGCATCCTCCGAGCTACGCGAAGCATCTATGAAGGGGCTTGTTCATCGCGAGTCTCTGGTGGACGTATCGGCTCTTCCGGGAGCAAGTGTGCGCGAAAAACAAGCTCAACGAGTACTTAAGTAAGCTCGCCTGTTGTATAGCTGATTCGTTTTGCTGACGATACTCATAGACGCCGTCCGCTCTCCTTCTCTACGGCAGAGAAGGAGAACTTTGAATTTGAATTCCCTCCGCGGAAACGTCGCCACAGCCATGCCGCCGCACTGATATTGGAGCAGATATCGTCTGACCAGAAATCTCTGCAGGAACTCCGTACCTTGGACCAGCTTCGTCACGAAGAGCTCACTAACCTGCATAAAGAGACGATCGGCATCTTGCATGGCATCTCGTCATTGATGGAAGCCCAACAAAAACATGATATTGAGCGACAAGCAGAAGAGATGGAGTGTGAGCGTCAGCAGAAAGACCAGCTCAATGCATTGACAACTGCTATACTCACGTTGGCCGTCAATGTATCAAAGGATAAATAATTACAGTATATTATTCTGTTCTTATTGTATGATATGTATATATTCACTCCATCTCCTGCTGCGCTGATTGACTGGGATCCTCTGAGTCACCAGTAACACCCTCTGGTACCTCACACTCCCCCCATGGTGTTGACATACACCAGGCATCCAGTTCTTCGTCATCAACAGGCTCGCCGTGGAAGTATTCTGTCAAAGTAGGTGGCGGACAATGGAAGTATTGAGGGGTTTGTGGTCGGTGTAGAATGGTGTGTGCGTTGCAGAAGAGGATAGCGATGAGATAATAGAGCCCACATGGTTGCAGAAGGAGCTTGAAGTTGTGGCTGAAGTCGAGGAACGCAAACTGCTTCACCACCTCCCCAAATATCCACTCTACCGGTTCACGGACCTTGCTCATAGCATTGTTCCACATGCGCTGCTCATCTGTAATAACTGACCCTTTGTAAGGTGAGAGAACCTGCCCCTTGCAGCTATACCCACTGTCCCCATAAATGAAGAGAAGTCGCCCATCTCGTGTATGAAAATGGGTACGCAAAAGGTTCGCTAGGCCACTCTCCTTGTAGACAGTTTCATCATGCCTTCGTCCTTCAACTGGGCCATAAACATGGATGGCGATGCCATCAGGCGAAAGGAGAAGATGATACTTCAAGCAATGAATCCGTTTCCATCCGTTGAACACCATTCGCTGGTTCCGGACAGGGCGAGCATTCTTGCGAAGGGTTCCATCAAGAAATGCAACGACAACGTCCAGCGGTGCACCCTTGAGTGCCACAAATGCAGCAAGGGTCTCGAGTTTTTCAGGGGATAATCGCACGGGATCGAAACGCAAAAGATGCTTCCATCGATGCCATAGAATGAGTGCCGTAATTCGTGTGATCCTCGAGAACCGAGACCGCTCCCATCCAAAGATGAGTTCAACGTCAACGAGACGGATGGGATACGCGAGACGTCGTAGAAGCATGCAAAGAGCAGTAACTCGGTCCTCCGCAGCTCCACTATCTGGACATCGGACAGATTCCGGTAGGTCTAGGTGCATTACAAGCTGATTGATTTCGCTACGGGTGAAGCTATTTGATACCACTGAATTCTCAAACTACAACACAGGGACTGGGAACGAGTCTACCGGAATTGTTGCAACCAAACATCATCCCCAAGACTCTCCAATCTCACCCGCCCTCCTGGCCGCATCCGTCCCGCAGTCTGCTCCTCTACCAAATCATCCGCTTCCGCTAAAACCTCCAGCAAGCGACGGTTGAAGGCAATCCGGCTGGCCAAGAAAGTGGTAGCCATATGGCGAGTGCAGTAAAGCGTCGAATGTGTGATAAACGGAGAGAATAGTGCTTAACAGTAACGAAGGGATGTCGATGAATGGCACGGAGGCGAGGTCGGAGGGTGGCTGTGCTGGTGGCGGGCTCACGCGGCAAAAGCCGCCTTGAGTGGCTTTCTCAAACTCTCTAATGACTGGGCCGCTGACCGTGTGACTTGCAACCCGCACGTACTCAAGCCAAAGGGCCCGCACCTCTATCTAGTGTCTCCTCTTTGTACCTCCATTTCGGCACCAATCTTCCTGTATTCCTTGACCTTCGCCCCTTTCTTCGATTAATGAGCGTATCCAAACCACTCCCAGCTGGTCATATCCAACCCACGATCGTCGTTCTTGCTCCGCCTATTCAAACAGGTATGTGATGAGTGGTACTCGTCGTTGCGTATTACTAAACGATTTGCTATCAGTCCAAAGAGGAGGACTGCGAAACTATCCTTTCCACTCTTTCACGCGACGTTCAACCACGTCAACAAAAACTCGCCGATATCCGTCTACGAGAACGCTGCTCGACTGTCTGGTCGACTCTTTATACAGCCGCAGCGTATGTCGTGTACATTTGCCTGTGGGATTTTCGGGTTCTTACGCTGCTGCGCGTAGGCGTGCGGAGTAGCGCTGGCACCAGCTGTTATTGGACCATCGATGTCCGTCGTCGTTTCGTTGAACTCCCTGCATGCTCTGTTCGTTAATCAGCGTGCTGTTTATCCGGCGGATAGTTCGGCTTTGGTATTCGCGAAAGGAAGCTTACGAAGGTGCGTATCCGCTTGTGATCTTACTATCATCATCATTCCCACCGCGATATAGAGAAGACGCTGCAGCAGCAGAAAAAGGTGGAGAAATCAAGAAGACAAGTTACTACACCGCCCACGATCTCGTCTACAAGTGCGATGAATCGACAGCGCTGATTACGCTGCATCCTGCCCTGGGGCTTCGCCAGAGATTCAACCCTGTGCCGAGCCAGCCCCCCAGAATGCCCAATAATGCTAGAAACGCAGTGCCTCCTATCCATTCTTTCTCTATTCTCGCTCTCCACCTGGTCCTGAGAAACACAATTCAGACTTCCGCTGCGACCAACTGAACGCTTCCGCACCGTCGAAACGTGAGGCCAGGCGATCGGTATCGCCTATCGCTGCCTCGGTGAATGGAACCCAGAAAATCTTCGCCAATGCGGAAAAGCGCGCTTCATCTAGAAGGCTGGGTGCAGCACAATCATCACGTCCCTTCGTCCAGTCTGCCGGGAATACGAGGGAATTACGAATGGGGAGGTCACCGCTCCAGCCACATATGTCGCTGGCTGTCCGGAGATACGGAGTCACGATCTGCAGAAGGTGTGCGTACAGCTGTTTACCGTACCACCGCTGCGATGCTTACCCCAGTGATCAGTGACTCAGGCCGGCATCTTCTTGTCGTGGTACAGGTCTGCTAGGACCTGCGCATATCGTATAGCCATGGCCTCACGATGCGTACGAACCCTCCATCCATCCACATGTCGTCAGCGTGTGCGGTGAACCGGTTTGTTGCGGGCAGACTAAGGGAGGCTGTGCTCTGCGTTCAACTATGTATGACGGCCCAACCCGCCCTTCCCTTCGAAATCGTCGCCGCAATTATCACCAATGTCGACGACACACCCACCCTACTCGGGCTGCCTCCTCATATCCCGCAATCTCACCTGTTACGCCGAGCCCAGACTATACAAAAACGTCTCCCTCAGCGGCAAGCAACTCAAATCCTTCCTCCACGCCATCGACAGAAATCCCCAACGCGCACGCAATGAAGCCGCTTCCCCGTATTTCCGGTATCATCTGTTCCTGCGCTCGCCCACTGCGCGGGCGCTGAAAGACTGTTCTGGCTCAACACGGAGCGGTGCCTGCCGTTCCTCCTGGCAGCACGGGAATCGTTGGATTTCTTGCAGCTGGACAGAGGCGCGGGCAGTCTGCTTAGTACTTGGCAGGCGGCGGCGCTCCCTGTGCTACTATGTCTGCGCACACTGCGACTGCCATATCCTTCCTGGCCTTCCCTGAGTCCGGCTGCCCTTGGTTTGAATCCTGAAGAGTGGAAACGAGCATCAGATGCCCCAAATACGCTTCCGTATGAACGCTACAGCTTTGTAATGTGGATTCAGGAAAGGTAAGCCGCTACAGTCTATCTCTTTGGCCGGCCACTGACGGGTAACACTCCGTGTTGTCATTCAGTGATTGCGCTTCGTGAAGCCTCACCCAGGCCCTGACCTGGAGAACCTGGCTCACCTTGAGGCCGAAGTCACGCAGTGGGTTTTCAACCCGGTCGAAATGGTGTCTCCCACGCACCGTTGAGGGCGTTTCTTGTATTTACCGGAGCGACATAGCGCGCAACCCAGATGAACGCGTCCTGCGACTCCGATGGCGCTCAAATCATTTGGAAACCATGCGGCTAGGGGCTTCCATGGCCTCGACGGGGCTGTCGTATCGGTGCGGCTTGACAAAGATGGCTTTGATTTCCTTGTATGATTCAGAACAGTGTCCATTCTATTGAATCTTCGAGGGAAATGGTCCTCCGTTTTATATACCCTTATTTGTACGCCAAATGTGGAATCCCCATCAAAGTCAAGCTGGCAGTGCGTTGAGCTGATTCTCACCAATGCGAATGCGAAGTTGCTTCTTTTCCTGCAGCACCGCAGCTACACCATATGCCCTGCTTTAGCAACCTTGAACTACCCACGGCCGTCGTATCGCGCCTCCGACGCTGCGGTCACCGCTCCTGAATGCTTTCCAAAGTCAAGTCGTCCTCAAGTCCTAGTACACGCTCTCCAGAAATCCTACGCGCCTTCGAAAGCCGCTCTGTTTCTCTGCCAACACGAACATCTCAAGTTACGATCGCACTGATCACTTCACTGCCTTGAACACACTTCTCAAGCTGTTCAGTTCGCTTTCCTCTCGCATCGGCACATGTCACCTCAAACTCAAACCAAGCGAACACAAGCCTTCGTCTCCTGAGCATTGTCAAACCCTTCGTCGGTCTTGCACCATCCCGCCGGTCCATCACCAGACAGCCCATTGAGATCCTCGACGTGATCGCATTCCACATCGACGCGCCTTCTCCTGCAAGCGCCTCTACGACATTGTCATCCCCAGACACCTTTCCTACCGCATCATCCGCTGTAAACCCAGCTCCGTAAGTGCGTGGAACCATTTCGCCTGGCAGATATGGATGCTGCGGCGGAGCTCGATCCGGAGAAAGCTGTCTCACATACCTTTGTCACGCAGAAAAGTCGTGAGGAGATTGAACCTTTGCGTTGCCGCACTGTGAGTTTGCCTGCTCATTTGTCGTTAAAGCAGGGCACGCCGATGTTCGTTGCCCGCTCTTGGCTGTCTACTCGTTGGCTCTGTCTGTTTTTGCCCCATGCCGGAATTACCCAGCGACGTTGCTGCGGTATATCACACAGAGTGCACCGGCGATGCCTCTGGCTTGCGCACATTCCTCGACGATCAAACCACCAATCATGGTGGAGTCTATCGCAGACAGGATGCTGGATGCAAGTACTGTGACAAGTCAGAGTCATGGCGGGAAGACTTCAAGCACCAGCCGTGCCGGCCGAGTCCGTCTTCTGGTGCATGGCTGTGTTCCTACTGCTCGCCGTGCCCCTGGGCAGCCCTGAAGAAAACCTGGAGTAGTCCTCCCTGTACGTCCCCTGGAAGCATCTCGCCAGTCACCGCTTATGCTCGATCTACGAGCTAGCGGATAATCGGCTTCACATTATCTCGGCTGATGAGTTGGATTGGGAGGCATAGCTTCACCATGCCTGCAGCATGTTGCTCGGCTTATGTTCTTGTTGGCAGCTCAGGTCAGCCCAGAGTGGGGCGTGATCCAGCCGCCGCCTCACATGCTGCATCTGCACGAAGCAATGCAGCGCATTATCCTTACACATATACATATCTGGGATAAAGAGAAAAAGGTGGCACAGAACTGATAGACGGCTTGGTGATTTGTTGGGGTGGGTAACTTGACTAGGCCTGTGCGAGTTCCGACGACTTGAGCTACCGATGCGAGAGGAAGGAGCGACTTCAGTGGAGCAATAAAGGTGTATTGAGAAACATTCAGTTTACCTCGAGGGAGTCGGCGGTAACTCAAGATCAATTGCAGACGAGTGGTGAAAGAAGCACCGTCGGGATCCCGCCTTTAGTGTACAAATAGAGGTACACAGAGCGGGAGTCTATGCGGGCTCAGGCGGTCGCGCGACATAAACTGCTGCCATATCTTGCCAAACCTAAGCAATCTCGCTGACAACTCCTCGGACTGCTCGAGATATTGAGGCTGCGTGTGGAATTCTTATTTTCTGCACATCATGCATGCAGGCAGCCGAGCCAAGAAGGAGCGCCGTTGCAAGCACATTGCACGTACTCATTTCGCGTCAAGGTCTAATACCCCAGGTGAAATGGCCCAAATTCCAACATACTTACTCCTCAGTGGGCCGTGCACCGATTTCGCCTGCGCTCGAACGCGATCACCTGATGCACACATTTTGTTCTCCGACACGTAGTCACCAACGTAATGTGACTCGCACATCTAGCCACTTCCAGCTGTGGCATACCTGTGAGTATCTCTCGTTTCCCTTTCGTGATCCATCGACATTGACTGACGGATTGAATCGCCCTAAGTCTCCCCCGACCACTGCAGTAAGCACCGTAACTGAGATGTCAAACTCGGAAGCGCAGAATACTCCGACATCTTTCCACTCGGCGATGTTGAATAAGCCTGCCAATGAGAAAATTGAAGACATCCTACAAGATAGGGAACTGCGGAGTCTCATCCCAAAATGCGGCTCTAACAGACAGACAAGCTACGGCATGCTTTTACAGTTGCTGAACCGTGCAAGTCTTCTCATACATGGTACGCACGCTCTTTCCTTTGATGCCCGAGACGACAGCAAAAACTGATATCACTTACTGCAGACAAATGGACTGAAGGCCAGAAGTTGATGATCTTCGTTGACGCGCACAACCCCTCGCTGGTGAACCTCCTCCACGACTTCCGCACAGGAGAGCAAGACCTAGGCATGGTCCTCGACGTCACCAATGGCCTCACCGATAAAGCCCTCACGGACAAGATCCCGTGGCACCTCGTATCATCTACCGTTGAATGGCATGGTGAAAGAGATTCAGAAGACTCTACGGTTGAAGCTAGCGCCAACTTGGACCTGGTGAACCGATATCGGCCCGATCTCGTTACCATGTACGGGGTCTTGGCTTCACCTGACAGGTACTCTATCCAGGCCTATTGCGCGTGCGGGACCATCGAGTCTCTGGTGTACAACTGGGCCGAAATCGAACCACTGTTGTTGTACGTCTACACGCTATACATACCTCGCACGGACTTTCCTTCGCGAGACCCCACCATCAGTCTTTCTCGTTGCGCGAATATCCTTGAGTCCCCTTCGTGGGATATCCGCGACGGCGACGAGGTCTACGAGAATTGTGTTGTCCAAAGCGTCTTGGACATGACCTGGGTAGCGAGGGTCGAGAGTTCGCCAGTCGTGATCAAGGAATCATACCGCGATCGTGGCGCAAGCTTCAGAGAAGGCGAAATCTACGATCTTCTCCACGCAAAAGGGCCGTCTCCAGGGTTCGTGAAAGTCAAGAAGGAATACGATGTTCTATGCGACGGCCGCCCTATTATGATTGGACTTGGTCATACAACCTGCATCAAGACGCGACTGATTATGTCCACTCTCAAAAGTGCGCCACCCTAAATGACTTCCTGAAGTGCATGTACGACATCCTCGAAGGTAAGGCGTTCGTGACAGCGTGTTGCTCCTGTGTTGAACAACTTTTGATTCAGCTCACTGATGGGCGGTCGTGGAGAGGAATATCCTTCTTTGCGACATCAGCTACGGGAATATATTGGTTCACGCTGAAGACCTCGATGATGGCAAAGTATTCGATGACATGGAACATGGTCCGATCTTTTTAGTCAACGCTTCGCTGCTCCCATGGCCCGTCCGGCAGATATGAACGCAGAGATCGATCCAGAGAAAGCTGTCTCACTTACCTTTGTCGCGCAGAAATCTCGTGAGGAGATTGACCCTCTGCGTTGCCGCACCGTGAGTTTTCTTGGGATCGCACTGTGCATGTGCTCATTCATCGCTAACGCAGGGCACGCCAATGTTCGTCGCGCGCTCACCCGTTCTCGGCGGTCTCCTCCTCGGCTCTGTCAATTTCCGCCGCATGCTGGCATTGCCCTGCGACGTCGCCGCGAAATACCAGACAGCGCACGCCGGTGATTCCTCTGGCCTGCGCGCCTTCCGCGACGGTGATACCACCCATCACGGTGGAGTCTACCACAGAAAAGATGTCGAACGCAAGTACTGTGGCAACTCAGAGCAAAGACGCAGAGACTTCAGGCACCAGCCGCGCCACGACGCCGAGTCCGTCTTCTGGTGCATGGTCGTGTTCCTGCTGCTCGCCGTGCCGCTGGGCAGCCCCGAAGAAGACCCCGAGGAGTCCTGCCTGTACGCCCCCTGGAAGCTCCTCGCCAGCCACCGCTTGTTTTCGATCTACGAGCCCGCGGATAGTCGGCTCCACATAATCGAGGCTGACGTGCCGAGCTGGGAGGCATGGCTGCACCCGGGCCTGCAGCATGCTGCCCGCCTCATGTCCTTGCTGGCAGCCCAAGTCAGCCCGGAGTGGGGCATAATCCAGCCGCCGCCGTACATGCTGCATCTGCACGAAGCGATGCAGCGCATTATCCTTACGCATATACACGTCTGGGATAAGGAGAACAAGGACATCAGATTTGATACGGAGAGGACGCGCGACACGACGGACCCGAATAGTTGGACTTATCAGGAGCGTAGAACCCGCCAAGCGGCCGCTACACTAGCCCCCAGCAAGAAGAGTACCAATATCGACACTAGTGTTCTTAGAAAGCGGCCGCTGCCTGAAGAGGACGACGACGACGATGAGGAGGAGGAAGAGCAGGAACAACCCATAGCAAAAATTCCGTCCTTCCGCCTTATTTAACTGCTAGATTATCCGCTTACCGTTCTTCCGAACATAGGGCAACGAACGATCAAGGACGTGTTCTCTTCCCTCTAATAGTAATTGGGGTATGATCGATGTGCAGAAGACGATGCCTGGCTGCATCTGTAATTCTCTGTGCTTTCTTTCCCCTTTTCTCATTCCTTATATCATTGCTATACCTTATGATCATGCGCTCCATATCAAGTATTGTCGTATTTCTACTGTACATTGTTGCCGGGTCATAATAGGGGGGAGTCCCGTCTACAGTTCCACGTTACGCTCCATCCCCGCCCAGCGATGCGCTATGTCATCTCATTCAGCGTTCAGCACGTAAGCAACAGGGGACATATATATGGCACCTTCGAGAATATGAACACCGTACACGCATTTGCATTCTCGCAGGGTTTGTCCTAGGGTATTCATGATGAGGTATTCTCGATGAGTCGGGCCTGAATATTCATATTTGGATGTGGACATGCGTGGTAGCTTGGTGGTAAGAGAGGGTAATAACTGGGTAGTAAGAGAGGGTAAGAACGAATATAGGTAAGAACGTTCGGAACGAATTGATTCCAGTGACAGGTCCAGCTCTCATCGGGGCTCGAATTTATCCATCATCTGCCGTCCGCTGCATTTGGGACTCACATTCAAAGCTGGAAGTTCAATACGCATTACGGACACGGCCGTCCTATCTCAGCAAGACGATGCCCCCCTGAACATACGGCTCTAGTCCATCCTGTCCGCGAGATCAAGTCTGTCAATCTGAGCTGCTCTGATGCGGAGAAGCGGCGGGCGACGACGCCGCAAATGACTACGCGTTTTTCCGCATTAGGGAAAGTGTTCGCGGTGAAGACAAAGACAAAGATCCGTTCACCGAGGCAGCGCTCAGCGACACGGATCTTCTCGCCTCGCGTTTCGAGCGCACGGAAGCGTTCAGGCGGTCGCACTTGACGCAGCGGAACTCTACACATATTTCGTCAGAATCTCAGAATTCGGAGGCGGGGAAGGAAAGGAGATAAAAGAACAGAGAACAGAGAACACAGCACTCACGGGATGAGCGCGGCGCGTCGTCGTCGTCGCCGAGCAGGGCTTCCGCGAGCTTGTCGTACCACTGCTTGTGCGTGGGTGTGGCGAGGAGCGGCGGGGCTGGGGCTGGGTTGTCAGTTGCGGAAAATGGGGGTGATGGGCATACACACGGGAGGAGGCGTTTGGGTATGGGTGAATTAGCGCAGCGGGGCCGGACGTCATCGCATGCGGTCCTGAAGCAGGGGGCCGAGGAGGGGGTGCTAGGTTGGCGCGGGGTTGAATCGCTGGTGGAGGCCCTGGGGAGGCGGTGGTGTGCACGTGTTCAGCGGAGTCGATTCATCGTACTTTGAGAGATCGCGCGGAGAGTAGTAGTTTGTCTTCTTCTTGATCTCCTCCACCTTCGTCTGTTGCTGCTTGAGGAGGTGTTGGAGCGTCTTCTCTGTAAGGAGGTAAGGTAATGATGAGGGTAGTATGGAGACAGTGGATACGCACCTTCGTAGGCCTCCTTGCGTGCATACCACAGCTAGACTATCCGCCGGATAAACAGCACGGTAGGTGAGGATCAGAGCACGCAGGGATTTCCACGAAACGACGTACATCAATGGTCCGACAACGACTGGTGGTCAATGCTACCCCGCGCGGGAAGCGCTTGAAAATACCACAGGCAAACGTACACAACATACGCTATGCGGCGGTATAGCGAGCGGCGCTCGCGTAAGGTACATCAGCGAGTTTTTGTTGACGTGATTGGATGTCGCGTGAAAGAGTGGAGAGGATGGTTTCGTAGTCCTCCTCTTTGGACTGGACACCAAGCTCAAGTGTTTCGCGATACGGAAGAAGCACTAAACATCGCATATCTGCTTGAAGAGGCGCAGTAAGAATGACATCGTTGGGGTTATATGACCTGCTGGGTCTACATGCGTGTATAGATCGAAGACGGGCACAAGATAGTGTGGATCGCAAGTCTCACGGTCAGCTGCTTCTTCCCGAAGTGCTATAGTAGACACGATAACTGATCTCTTTCGCCGCCCAAATAACTCGCTTGCCACCGCTATCTATGCGCCGCACTGCCGCAGCGCCGAATGTTGATTATCAGAGCGAGTCGAGTACATTCGCAACGCAGTTCTGATGTTTCACACTATTCCTGCAATGAAGAATGTCTTTCAGCGCACCGCCCATCCGTGTCCATCCTTTTAGTTGGCTTCATATGAAAGATGATAGTTGTCCTCTTCATCCCTTCATACTCACGCAAGATGTTCATCAAACTCTAGTCAGTCCTTTTGCCGTTGTCAGCACGGGAGAGTCCCGGCCTTTTCTCCAGGATTATGAATACCACTCCCCTCTAGCCTATTGGCATGCCTATCCACGTTGATCGCCGCCCTCCAGGTCGAGCCGCTTCGGAATGCCCACTCGCTGGGTACTGTGGAGCTTAGGTGGTGGTACGAGTTCCCCGACTTGTAAGTCCCCCTCGCTCCTTGAGTTGGGATGTTTGAACACCACTTGACATAGTTATCGTTTCGACAACCTCTCAATCCTTCTCCACCACCCCTCCATCGCTTCGGACTTCGCTATCCTCGCCAATCAGGCCGAAAGGGATAGTCCTATGAACATTTCCCTTCCGCTCGTTCCTGCCCAGTTGAGTCCCATCCTCGTTGAGTCACTGTATTTTCTATGTTTCGCCGTGCAGTTGCTTCTTCAGCCTCGGCCACTGCAGCTCTTCGCTCCCCTTTACCTTTGGTGACCTCTATTACTTCATGGGGAAGCCGTGCACCGCTCATACAGCGCTCTGACCGTTGCGGAGGCAACAACACCGCCCTTCACTTGTATCTCGAGTCTTCTTTCCGTTCAGCCCTGCTCATAGTTTCACCCTACAGAGACGGCTACACCCTCCGCGCGACTGAAGTTGGCAACACAACCCACGAGTTCGCTGTCTCGCCTCCCTTCGCTATCGGCGCCGCGGAAGCCGGTTCTTCGCCTCCTGCGTCTAGCCCAGCGCCAGGCGCATCGAGCGGCACGGGTACGGGTACCGCTGCGCAGGGGCGCACTACGAACGTGGGTACGCGGGATATGGTCTGCAGGGGAGGGGTGCGGTGGACGATTGCTGCTGCTGCTGCTATGGGCCTGGAGTGGGTGTTCTGAGGCATCATGCATCAGGTCATGCTATGATTGGTCGAATGGAGTGGGTGAGCGAGAGTCCCGAGGAAGATTTCTCGTTATTGTGCATTGTTCCCGTACTTATTTCCGACTCAATTCTACGCTGCTACAGGCGTGCAATTACAGGCCGCTCGATGAAAAGAGCGAGCACAGTGAGAACGCGCAAAATGACTGTTTCGTGAAGTCTTGGATTCTATATTCGATTTTGCGGTGCTCAAGTGAGTAGTCCTCACCAAAGCTACGCTAGACTCTGCTAATACTTCACCCGTTGCTCGATCCTCTAGGTCGAATGTAGGTATCTCACGTATCTCCCCTCCTTGTCTCCTCTTTAGTCCCTCAGAGACAAGGAGTGGTCTGTGGCAAGTTGTGGCTGCAATGCGGTCACATGGCACGCATTTGTACTCCGCGTATAAAGTCCACTTTGCGCTGGACGTATCCTTTCTTTTGAACAGTGGCATTCCTCATCCTCTCTCCGTGAACTACTACATCTATTCACCGATGTTGCCGCAGAGAATGGCCGGTATAGCAAGCATGCCAGAACCTCGTAATCCCACAGGCGACCCCACACCTCCGCCGACCTTCACGTCAACGAAACTGAACAAACCCACGAATGGGACGTTGGACGCGATCCTTGAGGACAGGGAGCTCCGGCGCCTCCTCCAGAACTACACCTCCTCCACACGGAGGACTTGCGACATGTTTGTCCAGTTACTGAATTGTGCAAGTCGTCTCATACACGGTACACATGGTCTTCCATCTGACGCTCAAAGCACTGACATGTGCTCTCTATGATAGACAAATGGGCGTCGGACAAGAAGCTGATAATTTTCCGCGACGGCCACGTACACAAACAAAGAGGCCTGCTCCACGAATTCCACGCTGGAGCGCTGGATCTCGGCATGGTCATCGACGTCACACACGGCCTCACTGATGTCGACCTCGACAACAGCCTCCCGTGGTACCTGGTGTCGTCCACCGTCGAATGGCAAGGAGAACGCGACCCAGGGACACAGATCGCGTCCGCGCTCTACCCTGGCGGCTACCTGGAGCTGGCGAACCATTGCCGACCAGACTTGGTCACCATGTACGGGATCCTCGCCTCGCCCGGCGGGTATTCCATCCTGTACCACTCCCCGTTCGGGGTGCAGGAGTCGCGGGAGTTTGGTTGGAGCGATGTTGGCACGCTACTGGCGTACATCTACACGCTGTATGCTCCCCGCCCCGACTTGCCCTCGCGCGACCCCACCATCAGCCGCGCTACGACCACGGACATCTACGCACCACCGGCGTGGAATGTCTGCGCCGGCGGGGAGGTTTACGAGAACTGTGTCTCGAAGTGCGGCAGAGACAAGACGTGGGTGGCCAGGGCGGGGGCTTCGCCGGTGACGATCAAGGACACGTACCGCGACGTCGGCGCGTGTTTCAGAGAGGGCGAAATCTACGATATCCTCCACAAGAACGGCCCGGCGCCTGGGTTCCTGAAAGTCAAGAAGGAATACGATGTGCGATGCGGCGGTCGTCGTATTGCGGTTACGTCCGGCAATGTGACGTGGGTTAAGAAGAGGCTTGTTATGCACACTTATGGGCAACCTCTGCGCAAATGCGCGTCGCTGGTTGAGTTCTTGAAATGCATGTACGACATCCTCGAAGGTGGGTCGTGTCTTTGTCGTCCTGTCCCTTCCGTGTTTTGTTGAGGGCCGTTGTACAGCTCATCGCTGGGCGGTGCAGGAGCGGAATATCCTCCATCGCGACATCAGTATGGGCAATATTCTGGTCCACGCTGATGACCTCGATGACGGTCAACAGTTCACTGACCTAGAGCATCGTCCGATCTTCGTTAACGAGGTTCTGAACGGGTACGGTTCACCCCCCAAACCTTGCCATTCTACACTAATCATGCCCATCACCTCAGCGATTTCCGCGCTCCCCCAATGGGTCGGCTGGCGGATATGGACAACGCGGCAGAACTGGTCCCAGAGAAAGCGGTATCACTTAACTTCGTCTTGAAGAAAAACCGTCTAAAGGTCCAGCCCCTGCGTTGTCGTGTTGTGAGTCCACCTTTGACTGCGCGGTGCATCTTCTCATTAACACCTGACGCAGGGCACGCCGATGTACATCGCCCGTTCTCCCGCCGCTGCGCGCATACTTGACTACGACCTCTGTTTCGACTTCATGCCAGAATTACCAAGCGACCTCGCCGAAAAATACTGCAAGGCGTACTCCACTGATCGGTCAGGCATGCGAACATTCGAAGAGGGCGAACTCTCCTTCCACGGCGGCATTGTTGACCGCAAGATGAGGACGGAGTACAGAGACAACAGGGCACTGCGCGCGACACGGTTTCAGCATCGCCCCCGCCACGATGCGGAGTCTGTGTTCTGGTGCATGGCGGTGTTTCTGCTGCTCGCCGTGCCCCTGGGCAGCCCCGCGCAAGATGCGGGAGACTTGCCACTCTACCACGCCTGGACGTGCATCGGTGACCACGACCTCGATCCTGCGGTGATAGATGAAAGACCTACTTTGATCCATGCCCGACGATGGGAACATTGGCTGCACAAGGACCTTGCGCACGCCGGACAACTCATGAATTTGTTGGCGGATCAGGTGTCCCCCGAATGGAGCTTGCTCACGCCGCCGCCTCACATGTTCAACCTGCATGAGGCGATGCAGCGCATCCTCCTCACGTACATCCACATGTGGGACAATGGCGAAAAGGACGTCGGGTTCGATACAGAGAGATTGCGCGACACCACGGATCCGTATAACTGGAAGTACTGGGAGCAGAAAAGGAAGGAGAATGTCGTTTCTCCCAAGGACGAGTCGCGTGGGAAGCGGCTGGCTGACGACATTGAAGAGAAGGAGGAGCCTGGAGCAAAGAGTGCGTCTTTCATTCATGCTTGTACTCTGGAACTTGCTTCTGAGTCTGTCCCCGAATCTAGGACAGCGAAACGCAACGGAAGGGACTCCATCAGAGGACGTGGTAGACCATCAAAGCACACTTTCGACCCCTGGTTTGGCCTCTACCGGCTCGCTTTCTCCCCCGTCGTCGTTGGATGTCCATGGAGTCGACGCCGAGACTGGCGTATGATTGAAGTTTGTACCCGTACGAAGTCCATCTATGTTTGCGCCCGCATTGAATACTGTAAATTTGCATGTCAACAATTAAATCTTGTTTCGTCCCGAATTACGACAGCAACGCACAGGAGGATTTCTAGACAGCATCTTACGTTGCGGTGAGCATTACGGCGAAAGTTTGATAGAGACTCTCCGATCTCTCAAGCCACATCCTCAGCCCTGGATTCTGTTGTACGTTGTCTTCACTCGGGCCTGCCCTCGTCGTCGTAGACGAATGACTGGATGCGTCCATCGTACTTCATCTTTGGAAATATATACTGTATCAGTCACGAACCCAGCTCCTTCCGGCGAGCACCTTGGAGTTCCATGATCGCGCTCTCTCTGGCGCAAATGGTGCTGCCGTGAATCAAACACGGGAGACACGGCTGCTGAATGGATGCCAACAACGAATCATGCGCGAAACGAGGGAACCGCGGCCCATGAGGTCCTCACTCGCACAACGCAACCGAAGAATGGGGCTGGGCACTGCAGTGAGTTTTGTAAGGTGGAGGAGCGTATTCAGGGATGCTGAGCTACCTTTAGGAGTTCCATAGCTGCGAGGGAAGCTCTTGCGCCCAGGTCCAGTATGTCGCCTTAGAAGGTAGGCAACGTAGAGGAGCCATGTGACGGAGGGGAGGAGTTTTCTTGATGCTTCTGAAAGGTCAAGATGAGGGGATTCGACTTGGGGTCTGTGTGATTGAAGACTCGAACACGTACCAGTGCAAAGACTCCTGAAAGCTTAGACGTCTTGTGTGCCCTTTCCTTTCAACGAACTTTCTGTTGGGTAAGACTTTTTTCAAGACGAAATGGCAGAGTCGACACGCCAATGGGAGTCCCTTCGTCCGCTGAAGTCTGCCCATGGACGGGTCCCAGGCGTAGTGCCCAAATTGCCACTGCTTGCGGTTCGTAGGCAACTTCATTGACAACAACGGTGTCAGCGTCGACGGGTATCATGATGTCGAATGCCACGTACCTGGTGATCCGTATCATCTTAAACCATGCTCGACAACATCGCCAATCAGTTACTCCCTCGTTCAACCAAAGGACCAAGCGGTGAACCCTCCCGGGTATAGGCCGACACAACGCTAGACAACTTGACGATGGCGCGGGGATGCGCTGGGGGACTGCTTGCGAGATAGATGGAGGACTCCATACAGGTTGGCGACATACGAACGACAATGCATCGAGCGTTGACTGCGAATCAGAGGGTTTATGCGAGAATGGGAAGTTGCTGGCCCAGCTATCTCGAATATATGACGGGATTCTCGCGTCTCGAGTAAATCAAATCTCCTGGAATGACTGTGCATCGATTGATTGATTGATTGACATCGCTTGGGAGGAGGTGGGAATGAAGCTGGACGCACAATGACTGTGGTCGTGGTCGAGCTGCCCAAGCAAGCGCAACTATGATGTCAGGGAGATAAAGATGAACGCGCCGTGGGTATGTAGCCCATCGCTAGAGCTCGTTCTCATACTCAAAGTCGGACAAAGTAGTAAGGGTCGCGAAGTTTTCACGTTACTTTCGTCACACGGTGCGTCGATGCCAGCCGACCCGCATTCTTTCTCTTGAAATGCAGGCCACTGTGTCTCTTCTCCCTCGCGAGTCCCCCAAGACCACCACCACACTATGCAAAGAAGATGTGAAGACGCGAAACGCTGGACCATGTACACGCCACCTCGACTAACGCCCACATGCTCAAGCCATGCGTATATCTACGCCCACGTCTGGTCGAGCAAATGATACAAAGCAGGCTCTGCTGGCCACCCCCGACGCTCCCAGCACCGTAGAGATATATAACAATCGCCCTGCTTCGATGCACCACCACACTTCTCCATCTACCGAGCACAATACACCACCACTGAATGGCAGTGACTCCGCATTTCATCACCGCTAATCGACATCGACACTTATCCCCGATACGTTGGGAATCATTTGCCTCGGCCGGTGACGCGCCCTCGAAGCCGCTGTCCCCAACAGGGAAGGCTAATAAGCTATCACGTTCTCCTGGTTCGCTGAAGGCGCCGTCAAGCGCGAACTCCGTGCTTGGGGATCGGGACAGGAAGGGGAAGGGCAAAGCTAGGGATGTTCAAGAGTATCACGGGGAGGATATTCAGGAGAACGGATGGGACCTCGCTCAAGTTGATGATTATGGGGAGGACGGAGGAGAGGAGGAGCAGGAGGTCATCTTCCCCTTTACGTTTCGACCACGCGTCGAAAGGCCCGTCGAGTACGCCCATCTCGGGCCCCCGACCCAGTACTTTTCCTTCACCTATGTCATACAGACTGGGGAAGACGCGCACGATACGCATGTCTGCATCAATCCCGAGGACATTCACCGCGAGACCCGCCGCATGGAGGGAGACCGAAGCGTAGATGCACCCGTTGACGGAGCCACTCCTGCCGTACTTGCTTCCAAACCCACGCCTCTTCCGGAGCCCAAGCGCGCACGCGCCATCCGCGCACCCAGACGCCCAACAACGCCGACCAAACGCAAATACACGCAGATCTGCGATGGTGTGAGTTCCCGCCTCCATCTATCGCCTCCTTTCCGATACTGATTCGTCGTGGAAATCCCGCGTGGATTTGGGGTGCAGATCTTCGTGTGCTCCGTCTGCGGTCTAGAGATGTCGAAGAGTGCGACGAACAAGCATGCTCCTGCTTGCAGGGCCACGTCCCAGTACTCGACCTGCGAATTGTGTGGACGGAAGTGAGTCTCCCCCTCCCCTCTACCCCCTCCCGCTCTCCCACCCGCTCTGCCCCATACTGATCATACTGATCATACTATACTTCAAAAATACCACGTGCAGATCGCTCAATCACAGAGAAGACAGCATGAAACGCCACCAGCGAAGCAAGAAGTGCTGGAAGCAGCGCCTCACGTACGCCGTAGCGTCCGTCCTGCGGTGGTCGCCGACCCCGCGCATTGCGGCATGGGAGCGGGGTAGCTTGGCGTCGAATGCGCCATATAGGTTCGCGAGGGGGAGCGGTGCAGCCAGAGACGAGGATGGTGGTGAGGACGATGAGGACCCATGGGTCTATTCTGATTCGAGCGACGGGGAGGATGGCTTGGACGGGGCGGCGCAGGGGTATTATGGGATGGCGATGTCGACGAACACCTGGAGGGCGAAGACGAAGACGCTGGTGGATATGGAGAGCTGGACAATGACGACAGCGAGGAAGATGGTATAGACGAGTGCGTTGCAGGTGGTGGTGACGCGCAGAAACACCAGGATTCACACGCGCTCGGTCGCGATGAAGGAGCGTGGGGCGAAGATAGGGCTGGGGAGCTGGAGAACGAATGTATAGCAGGTCCGTCGTCTATTACGCTTGAAGACCTGCGAAGGCAGGAGAGGGGGAGCAAGGCCGCGGCGAAGTGTAGCCGATCCGGAGGTGAGTAGGGTTGGGACGATGATACGAATTAGAAGAGATAAACGGTCGTCGGTTAGTAATGAAGCTCAGGCGCCGACGCAGACGTTAAGATCAATTTCAAGTGTTTCGGCATCGAAAGTTGTTGGAGAGGGAGAGTACGTTTGTAGAGCCCAACGCTGGCGTTGAAGGAAGGTCCTTCCCGAACGTATCCGTATCTAATGAAGATTCGAGTGGAAGCTGGCGTTCCTTAACCAAGCGTGGCGATGGCGGGAGGCAATGTGGTATGATTCTGTAACTACCTCGTCATCATTAGCCGCTCCAGGTACAGAAGAGTATTAAGAAAGAGCCACGGAAGAATAAGACGATGAACTGTCCGTTGGCTCTCGGCTTCCAGGATGCTTGAGGCATTTTCCGATTGTTGGGGGTTTCTGTTGGTCGTATCCGCTCTGTATCAAAGTGAACGTCTACTTCTGTGTTTTCCAGAGGGATCATCCGCTGCATAGCTTCGTGAAGGTGCAGAACGCGATGTTTTGGCTCGATGAGGCCCCAAGAGACGCGGCGGAATGATGTCGATCTTGATACGTGGAGTGGCGTCAACAAATAGCTGTGACCCAATGGCTTCACCTAATGACCACAAACGAATATTTATTACAGACAAAGGAGCTGAAGAGTGGCCTTATGGCGAGGAAATCGTTGTGACTCATCTTCGGGGTACGCCTCTGGCGATGGAGCTGGGAGTAGAAGAATAAATAATTGAGGCCTTCGGGATGGTGCGCTCAACCTTCAGGCGCTGCAGATGACTTAAATGTAGTTCTCAGTAGGTAATACGCCCAACAAACCAGTCAAAATCTGTATCAGCGCAAACAAGACATAGCCAAGATTCGACCAGGAGTACATGGGTGACTCGGTAATTCAAACCTGGCCACATGAATAATTCGAATCCCGATGAGTACTCCGACAAGTAGCCACGACCTAATTTGGAATCAGTTCGTTCGTTCTTACCGCCACCCAACCACCAAGCCACTTGCCACTTCGTGTCCCATTGTTTGATAGTGGCCATTCTGTGAGTATAAACTCTGCTGAGAATGCGAGCTCTCTTTCTCAACCCACGAATCACCATGGCTAACCGTATTATCTCCCAGACTACTCCCGTCAAGAAGACAAAACCACCAGCAGCCAATAGACAACAGATGTCCGACATTGTTGACCGCACCGGCTACCTCACGCCCTCCTCTAAATTTAGCTCGCTACGCTTACACAGACCTTCGACTCGTAAAGCAGTTCAGTTCCGTTAGACAGACAAGTTATCATCTTGTTGTCCAAATGTTGAATCACGCGAGTTCTCTTATATGGAGTATGTGTACGGTCTCTCTATAGCTTTCTGTACTGACATATTTCTTTTGTCAAAGATCGATACGCACGGGAAAATAAGCTCATAGTCTTCCGGGACAACCATTCGTACACACCGAAATACCATGTGAACCGCATCGAAACTGGGGAGCCAGATATAGTCGCAACACTTGCACCCATTAACGATCTTCTCGAAGAAGATGATGAAGCTCGACTTCCTTGGCACCACATATTATCCGTCATCGAAGAGAAAGGCAAACTCGACAAGAATAAAGGACCTCGTCAATCTGGAGCCTATTTAGCGTTCGCGACCCAATGTCGTCCCGACCTCGTTGGAATGTACGGGATGTCTATATCCCCCGTCGGGTACGTCCTTCAATACAGCTGCGCATCTGGTCTCCAAACGTCAGGGGAATTTCCTTGGGCCGATATCGGGCCCCTGGTCTCCTATGTCTACACGCTATACGTTCCTCATCCAGGATTCGCGAGCCGAGACCCGAGCGTGACTCTGGCTGACAATGGTGACACACTCGGCTCGCCTTCGTGGAACATCCGTGACGGGGACAAGGTCTACGAAAACTGTGTTGTCAAGGTCGTCGGAGATCCATGGCATCGGATGACCTGGGTTGCCAGAGTCGGCAATACCCCAATTACGATTAAAGATTCGTACCGTGATGCTCATGGCAGCTTCAAGGAAGGCGAGCTTTACGACATCCTGCACAAGCAAGGGCCCGCGCCTGGATTCCTGCGCGTCAAGAAAGAATATGAAGTTGAATGGAAAAAGAGTTGTCCCATCAGAGTTACTGTTGACACCTCCACGCGCATCAAGACGCGACTAATCATGCACACCTGGGGAGAATCGCTTCGTAAATGCCCCAGTCTCATCGATTTCTTGAAATGCATGTACGATATCCTCGAAGGCGAGTCACATATCTATTAGCCCATTTCTCGTATGTTGAACAACTTGTAGCTCACCGCTGGGCGGTGCTGGAGCGCAATATCATCCATCGAGATATCAGTCACGGCAATATCTTGGTTCAAGCCCAAGACTTCAAGGAGGAAGGGGATAAGGACTTCGAGGGCAAGGAACATCGACCGATCTTCGCGAATGAGATCGTCGAAGAGAAGTATGTCTGACCCCCCCCCCGCTGTCGATACCCGCTCATATCTCATTAATTCAGCATGAAAAATGCCGATCCGATGGCTCGCCTCGGGGACTTCGACAATGCGGCGGAACTGGACCGAATGCTGGCAGTATCGCCAACATTTGTCGCAAGGAGGGACACCATGCTCATGAATGATGAACCCCTGCGATGTCGAACTGTGAGTGTGCGTCGAAATTCATCGTGGATGTACTAATGAATCGGACATAGGGAACACCGAAGTTCATCGCACGTTCGCCTGCTGTTGGCCGTATGCTTGTCGCGGACAACACCTTCCGCAAGATGCCAGAACTGCCAAGTCATCTTGTCGATCGATACACCCAGGTATACGCCAATGACACGTCCGGTTTACGAACATTCTCCGACGTTGGCACCACTCGTCATGGGGGCGTTTATACTGAAGAAATGGCAGAGAAGCACTACAGAGACAGAACCCTACGTGTAAAAGAGTTCGAGCACCGTCCTCGCCACGACGCAGAGTCGGTCTTCTGGTGCATAGTAGTGTTCCTGCTCCTTGCAGCCCCTTTGGGAAGCCCCCCAGAAAAACCCCACGAACTCGAGGATCCTGACGAGTTTGGACTCAACTGCGCATGGAAATACATCGCCAATCATCAGATCGGCGTACGTAAAGATATAGGCGATAGTAGGTTGAGTTTACTCCGCGATGCAGAATGGGACGAATGGCTACACCCTGAGCTTGCTGATGTTGAACCCTTTCTGCTGGCGCTGGCGGCTCAGATTACTCCTGAGTGGGGCCTCATCGAACCGGCACCTCCCATTCTCCACCTTCACGAAGCGATGCAGCGTATCCTTCTTCAATATATTGACCTCTGGAAGACGCAGAAGAAGGACGTCAAGTTTGATACAGGACGAATACGACCAGCAGAAATCCCCGACAATCGAGTAATGCCTCAGGTAGCGCATGAACCGAGCGTCGACGGACAGCATATCGCCTCGGCCTCGCTCAGGCCAAAGCGACAAGCGAACCAGCTTGGAGCGAAGGAGGAATCCCAACCAAAGAGTAGGAGCTACTCCCTATCATTTGTGACTCTTTCTGACCATTCTTCGATATCTAGGGCGCCGAACAACGAGGCAGGGCACATCGTCATACACCGAGGGTACATCAACATACAACGAGGCGACAACATCATACAAGAAAGACGTCCCCCGAAGCCTCCCGCCATCGCCACGCTTGTTCGCGGGCCGTCGAATAACGAGGCAGACCACAAGATTACTCAACAAGGGCACAGGTTCCTACAAGGATGTTGGCCCTCAGAGCCGTCCGCCATCGCCGCGCTTGTTGATTGGTTCCGGGATAACGAGGCAGACTTCAAGAGCATCCAACGAGAGCGCAGGATCACAGAAGGATATCGGACCTCAGAGCCTACCACCCTCGCCACGCTTGTTCATGGGCCGTCGGCTTCCCCTCGAATATTCATTAGATGAGGATATCTTTGAGAGAAGTCTCCCCTCCACGCCAACATCACCCTCCACAAACCTTCTTCATCTCTCACCACCTGTCGATTCGCAGACACTAGATACTGATGGTGATGCTGAAGCCTAATATGCTCTTGATTGTTTTGCTGTATATTTCATGATATCGCGTAGCGTTGCCTCGTCTTTCACCATGTCTTCCTCTCATGTACTAGTATATAATGTGCTCAATGCATGCCCAATTATTTATCATCCTCCCGCGTGATAGGTGAGGGCGTCATATTCATGGAATCGGAGAATACGTAGGTCATCACACATCACTAGCTTCAGAGTGCCCCTCCAACGTGCTCTTCAATATCTCCAGACTACAGATCGAGCACCATTCGCCCTACATCTGAGCAGCAATGTGAACGTGAGTACCGCCAGATATCCACCAGGAATTAGCCGGCCCGTTGGCGATATAAAATTCTGCACGTTGGCGACCCCACATGACAGGTAGAGAAGGTCATTGTCGGCATCGATTGGCGATGAAGATCAGAAGGAGAACACTGACTCCCTTGCGAACCAGCGCACCCCTCACTTTACCCCGCGTTCCTGAGTGTCTGCTTTGACGAGAAGAGGTCTTGGGAGCATGGAGGGCGCGTGCACGTTGTGGTGGGAGCGCGATGTCACAAGGATACGCGAGGCGTCCCAGTACAGTACGCCCAGGAGAAGGGGACTCACTCCCATCTGCTTCCATCTGCAGAATGTTCAGGTCGCGTACGGAATCGGGCCCCAAGCGCTTGAGTTCTTGTTCTCCACATTCTTCTACATTTTGCGACGACAGACCGAGCAGAGGTAGACCCTATTATCGACATATCAACGAAAACCGGTTTCGACTGCAGGCAGGACGGAGTCGCGCTTACTTTATACACTGACTTTGAAGCAAATCTGAATACCGTGAACTTTCACTCTTTAGCGACTTATCAGCGAAGCTTTAACATGTTTGTTTCAAACTCAGCTCTCGGACTGGCCTCTTGCTCTTCATCGTCATGATCATCTTTTTGCTTAGCCCGTTCATACATCAACTTCAAGACTTCTCGACGCGTCCAAATCGTGTCTGCAGACGATCCCAGCAGTCATTCGAGGAGTCGAGGAGTCGCTTCTACGAGCGAGGATGGAACGAACAGAAATATCAACGAAGTCTGTCAACTTTGTATACGAAGTGAATCCTATATTACTCAATCTTGCGCTTTCTTGCTAGATGCTTTGATAGCGATGCGGGCACAATGGAGTGCAAGGGATATCGAATATGAGACAGTTATCAGATCGGAACGTTTACTTAGTGTCGTACATGAGGTATTGTGCATACATACGCACATACGCACCGACGATATCCTACAGAAAACCAGGATACGGCCTCTCCCAGTCGGGGTGGGAGATAATCAACCGCTTGTCCGTGAAGTTCTCCACATCGAACCGTCCGTAGCCTGACGACCCGCTGCACAAGGATGATCATCAGCCACGGGTCAAAGCGGAAAAGAGAAAGATCCACGACAGCTACACAAGGAACGCGAAGAGATGATGCGGCAAAGATTGCTTACCCAAGGCCGACGACACCTACGTATGCCTCGGAGTGGAAGGTCGGACCATTGACGCTAGTGACGCCTACGAAATAGGGCACCTTAATGGGCGAGCGAGTTTGGAATATGGGTGAGACATATACGTACCAGCACGAATACGCGGGGCTACGGCCATGGCGGAATGCACATTCGTTGTCCACAAGGCAGCGCTCAGAGAGTATGTAGTCGCGTTTGCCATTTCCACTGCTTCGTCGACATTTTTGACCGACATGAAAACAGTCACTGAATAAACAAGAAGCCATGCTTAATCCTGGAGACCTCGACGTTGAACGGGGAACGGACCTGGGCCAAAAGACTCCTCCCTCCATATCCTCATTCCAACGTCCACGTCCGCCAGTAAATGGGGCTGCACGATCGAACCCGTGTGCTTCAAATCTCCCAGCACAAGCCTCGCACCCCCACCTACCGCTTCCCGCATCATGCTCACTACATTCCGCGCAGAGGCCTCGGAGAACAGCACCCCCAACTTCACCTGCGGATCATCCGAGGTCGACGGATCCCCGGCCTTGATACCCCCACAGAGGCGTTTGACCTCCGCCAGCAATTCATCGGCAACGTCCTGGTGAACGATGACACGTTCAGCGGACATGCAGACCTGACCGGAGTGGGCCATGGCTCCGAAGACGATGGATCGAGCGGCCTCTTTGATATTTGCGTCGCGGAGGACCTGGAGCGGAGGCGTGTAATGAATGAACGATGAGATGCGCGACATGTGTACAAGGGGACGGGACGAACTACGACGGGCGCCTTGCCCCCGAGCTCTAGGACGCAGGGCTTCAAGTATTTGGCGGCCTCCATGGCCAATATCCGACCAACCCGTCCGCTTCCTGTAAACTAGGGTCTCTTTTCAGATAAAGCAAGATGAATGTCAAAGATAACGTACAGCAACTTTGCGAACCATTGGGTGGGCAATGATCTCTGCCGTCAACTGCGGCGCTGTCTCTCGCGATATCGAGATGATGTTGAGGACGCCTGGTGGTAAGCCCGCCTGTAGATCTATGCGAACCTGTTACAGTGTCATGAGGCCGCAACGGAGACTTACCTCCGCGAAGACGTCTGCGACGATAGCCTGGCTACGAGGGCTCAGCTCGGAGGATTTGAAGACGATGGTGTTCCCGCAAAGGATGGGAACGGCTATCGTCCGCAGGGTCAGAGTAAGAGCGGCGTTCCATGGCGCGATAGCAAGGCTGACGATTCCATCAGCAGTGCGTACGACCGATAGCATCGGTGATTCGACTCACATAACACCCAGTGCGCGCCTCTGCGTGACAACCTGCGCCCCCGCTACGCTTCCGCTCACAAACGACTCCCCCTTGAGTTCATTGGCCATGCTCGCCGTCGTCCTCAAGAAATTCTGCGCTACCGCCCACTGCCCGTACCCCCATCCGTCCGTCGCAGCCGTCTCCTCCCGCTGGCTCGTGATCAGTGCTTGTTTGTACTTCTCGGTGGCGATGAGATCGGCTGCTTTGAGGAGGATGTCGCGGCGCTGCCAGGGCGTCGTTTTCTCCCACGAGGCGAATGCGTTGTTGCCTGCCTCGATGGCGTCGCGGCAGTCCTGACTGGAAGCGGTGGAACACAGGCTGACTACGTGATGCGAAAACGGATTGAGGACCTCGAAGGTGGGGGGTGAGGATGAGGAGGGTCGGTGTTCTCCATTGATGAAGAGTTTGGTGAGTGGCGGCATGTTTTGTTCTGGGATCGTCTGAGGAGGGCTGAGTACTGGGCAGCAGATGAGAAAATGGGTCCGTACCGACGTCGCGGACCGGCGATTGAAGCTTGAGCTTGAAGCCTAAGCACATGGTGCATGTTCACACAAGGAATTCCACCACCCCCCACGCTCTGCTCGAGGTCAACGACGAACGAGAGTCGGAGATTGTGGTGGCAAGAGATGTGATGATTGGCAAGTCACATGGGTATGTGTTCCAAGTCCTCTTCCTCTTTCCCCTCGTCAACTCAGTCGTATATCCAAATAGCAGCTACTCGGCAGCAACTGACTACGTCAAGAAAAGGGTACAGGGAAATCTAATACGAGTTCAACGTCGGACCAAAAGCAGCGCGCTTTTGAGCTATCAATGTATCATGCATCAAGTCTATGGCTCAATTTTCATCTTCCGGAGCCTCCCATTCTCGTTCACCATTTTACGACGCGTATGTCCCTGCAAATCACTAATCGCTTCCCCACATTCTCCGCATGACCGGGATCAATCAGAGTGAGCCTTGTGATTTTGACGTGTGCTCTTTATAAATGGCTCTCCCTCCGGCAGGCGCAACCTTCGACTCTTGCCCCCGTCATCATGGCCGTAGCGCTCGCTGAACAGCACTGGCAGCGATTACTCGCGAACTACTCCAAAGGAAGCATCGAGATCGTAGGGACTCTCGTGTTCCATCTCATAGCATTCTACGTCCCATGCGCCGTCTACGCATCCCTTGAAGTCCTCTTCCCAGCCTTCAGCGACTCGCACAAGATCTAGCCCGCGCCGAAGCAGCCCACCCGCTCTGAAGTCCGGGAATGCCTCAAAGTCGTGTTACGCAACCAGCTTCTGTCCTTCTCCCTCCACCTCGGCTCGGTATACCTCACGTCGGGAACACGCCACCACCCGTTCAGAGTCGACGCCAAACTCCCCGGCATGGGTGAAATCGCGCTCCAATTCGCCGTGTGTATCCTCTTGCGCGAGGTGTCTTTCTACTACGCCCATCGACTTCTCCACATCCCCGCTCTCTATCCGAAGATCCATAAATCACACCACCGATTCACCGCGCCTGTGGCCTTCGCCGCGCAGTACGCGCACCCCATCGAGCACGTATTCGCCAACATCCTGCCGATATCCCTCCCGCCGCAGCTCGTCCACGCGCATATCGTCACGTTCTGGGTCTTCATGAGCTTCGTGCTCTTTGAAACGGCGACGGTGCACTCGGGGTACGATTTCTTTAGAGGGGCAGCGAGGAAGCACGACCTGCATCACGAGAAGTCCATGATATATTTTGGGACCATCGGGCTCTTGGACTGGTGGCATGAAACAGACAAGTTTAAGATTCGGGCTGATTAACAGTGGCTGTGGATTGGACTTCTATGGGAGCGCAAAGCTCAGTTACGCTTGCACTTGTACATCCTTTTGCTGAGGGCGAGTATAAGTCCTTGGTGGCGCTCTTCGCGGCGAGTGCAACGTTATTGTGCTTTGATAAAATATCATTACCCCTGTTTGTGCGCATATTGCTCCTGCGCACACACGGGGTCTCCGATATACCTCACACACCGCCCGTAACTTCATTCGCGGCTCGAGCTCCAGATCGGGGTCTTAATGCGTCCTGCCCGCTAGTCTCTGTATTCGGTCATATTCAGACACGTCGTCCTGACTGAGAATAGGAAGTCGTGAATTAGAAATCGTGTTCGCCCTCGAGCAGCCCGAGTTATCGCGACTGCAGTACTGCGACCGCCACCAAGATTCGAGGTTGGGTCCTCGAGTCTTCGTGTCCTTCCCTCTCTTGTAGTCCGTTTCCCGGGGCCTCAAGGCCTAACCATTCCCGTCGCACCGTCACGCCTTCGTGAATCGTGCGGCGGCCGACGTCAGACTCCAGATCCACTCGCAGAATACCACGAGTGCGAGTGCGCGCAGCGAGGAAGACGAAGGACCAACGAACGCCTTCCCTAGAGATCGCGGCGATTGGGTCGATCAGAGTGACACGGAGACACTCCATAAATACTTTCAGTTCGGATATTGGATATCGGCGCCGTTAAAACAAACGACCCAGATTCAATGCCGCTGAATGCTGCATGGGCTAGCAAGCCGACTACGGGTAGTAACTAACTAACTAACTAGGTGGTATTTGAATATTTGAATGTTTGAATATCTGAATCATCGACCTGGGGGCCAGGACTGCAGGACTGGTGGACTGGTGGACTGGTGGACTGGTGGATCGACGCAGGGCTGATTATGCCTTGTGGCGTACATAGCCCACGGAGCGGGCGATATCTTCGTGCTCCGCCAGACGCCAGAACGAGTGCTCTGCCCAAGCCCACGCAGGGGAACGCGCATTCTCTGCGTCCGCCGTCCGCTAGGAGAGACGCGTCCAGGTAAGTATGCGTAAAGAAAGATCTGGCGCAAAGAGTGCATACGGGGCGACCGTTGCTCGCGAGGCGGTGAAGCGATTCTGCCCAGTACCGGGGCAGGTTGTTGTGGATGGTTGCCAGGCCCGGGCTTTGGGCAAGACGAGCGGTGGGGTAGAGATGACCTCTGGGGACGGGGATGCAGGGATGCAGGGATGCAGGATATGTGCAATGGCAGCCTTGCGCCATGCGCTTTCCGAATGCGTTGTAGTCGAATAAGAGGATTCACCGCATGTTTGTTATCCCAGCACGTTTTGAGGAGTCTGATGAGAACTTGGAGTTGGAGTTGGATCGAAGGGATCGGCGCAATTGCGGGGAACGAACGAAAAGTAGCGCGGGGGTGTACGGCGGGATGCCACATCTACGTCCATCGTCCATCAACGTTTCAACAAGGCCATCACGACCCATCTACCTTACATCTAAGCGCATCGTTCCTTTCCTTGATGCCTGCATGTCCTCGATTGCATCATTCTATGTTTCGAGCGAGCGTGCCAAGCCGTGGTTGCTACTATGCTAGTCCATCCTCGCTTGAGCCATCATGCGGTCAATGCCAACGAATCAACAACACACTTTTGCTTCGCCCTCGAAAGTATATACGGGCCAAGCAAACGACGAGACGAATGTGAAGAGTCCCGAGAACTGGTTTGAGCTCATAAAGACGCCAGTCTGTTGACCGCGACTCCGACTTCGCTGGTGAATCACTGGATATTGGTACTGAAGGGCTCGTGAATTTGTAGTCACCGTGTGTTCAAACGTCAGTGTGCATAGAACATAGAGAAACTAATGGAACAGTCAAACATGAAACATGCAAAAGCGCAGCAACATCCTTTGTTCATCTTCCACTCGCTGGTCTAAACCTTTTTCCAGATACCTTATCACCCAGGGTACACATTCCTCCGTGCTCGGCGCCATGTTATAATTTCTTCATCAACACATGTTGACTCGGGATGCAACACCATGATTCCCCCAGACAGCAGCAAGGGTGCTACGGTATTCGGTCGATTCTTCATCCCAATAAACCTCCAGGATTTATTTCAAGAACGAGCCAATAGATATACGTCCTGGCACCATAGGTGGCCATCGTTCACGACGGCGGTTATGACAGTTAGAACGGACTCACTTGGACAACCCAGTCTCGCCAGGCAACAATATATACCTCCAGGCACGTACAGGGTGCACAAGGATGTTTGCCTAGATAGAGAGTGCCTTTCTGCGGGCCGCATGTTTGACTGTGGATCGCCTGACAAGGTCTTCGCATCCCCCTTACTTTGGGACGGCCGACTTTGCATTGCATGGTCATAATTATCATGCTATTTTCTCTGGCATCCTTGGTAATATTGCCTCGCAAGTCGATGCGCTTCCGAGGCAGGACTTCTGAGTATTTTGATATTACAAAGACAATTTCCCTTCCTTCTGAGGACAGATGACGCATTTTTCCGTCTCGTAGCGTCCCCCCAGCAATGCATTGCACAAATTTACGCATTCTCCAGGAGTAGTACGGTAAAGACACCCCATTCACACATGAAACACCTTCCTACAAGATGGGTCAATAAATGCGTCCGAGCATACTGATCTACCTGATCGCCTGCCCATCCGCTACGCAGGAGGCAAATGAGCAGCAGCCACTCATTGGGCTAGGACTCTTCAAGGTTGTCCCATCAGGGAGCGTTCACAGAGTGTGTCGTCCTGCCCTGGTTGTGCACGTGTGTGCCATTATAAGATGGGTCCGACTACGGAAGATAATCGTCACAATCCTACGACTACTTATACCAATTGACCTGGGTGTGTGACCTCACGCCTTCTGCGTTGATTTCTCCCCATTACTTTGAATCTCCCTGCCATGAATTCGGCTGTAGAACAGGACAATACAGCCCCAGAAATTGCACGCCAGCCATTACTGGAAACCTCTCGCCATGCCTCTCATGCGTGCTCAATTGATTGTAAGCACAGTACCACCTGTATCTCGGTCTTTTCTGCAAACTCACGGCACCGTGAGACACCCTGCCTCCACTAGTGGCGTCGATCCAACAGTCCTACATAACGCTCTTCCAATCAGGAGCAGTCGTTGTACGCCTCAATCTTGACCTTGTTGGCTAAATTCAACTTACAAGAGTTCTTCCGCGTTACGACCAGTCCGCCCTTCTTGCCGCGAACGCTATCAACCTCCTCATCTTATTCAAAGATAAAGATACCTTCTCTGGAATCCCCGCAGGCGTCTGCCCTCCCTCACTTCTGAATTTGGCATATATTTCAATCGTGATCAATACTTTCGCAACTGTTTATCCCCTGGTCGGAACAGCAATGATCATCGATATTGCATACAAGTGCTCTTGCGAAGGTTGCAGGCTCCAAGAGCTCATACCCACAAGGGGTTGGATGAATGCAAATTCGCTACAGATACTCAAGATGTTCGGTGCTCCCTGGGATTTCCCCTTCTACTGCATATATTGTTTGTCCTATTGTTCAAAATCCACTTCTCTGGACCATGTTGACAATGCTTCATCTTAGGGGCGGTATTATTTTTGAGCGGGCTCATCATCACTGTCATAGAAATCTCTCTCTTCGTCGCGACTGTGGAAGTCAGGCAGATTGGGATCACTCTCTCCATCGTGATCGTCATAGTCTGCCTTCCCCTGTGCTGGTACATCCTGAGAAAATAGTATTAGTATGGATTTATGAACAATTTCAGTCCGTGCATTGTTGTCGTGAGCTGTATGTACTACTATATTGCTTGACGAATTAAATTATATCTTTGACGTTTTCATGGACAAACATAAGCTTCTGCGTTGATTTGAGGGTATATGTACACCACACAGTTCACTGCGGGCGTACTAGCACAGACTTCATGTTCGTTGTCCCGCCTCCGCATGCCCTTCGTCTTGGGGAGGACACCAGCCCACCAGCGCACTTGCACAGGGGCAGACCAATGCGTGTTCTGCGCCCGGCAGTCGCGGTCTGGCAGTGATAGTTTCACGGGTAACGTTTCACAGTCGGAGTAGTCTTGCCGGCCCCGAGAACCAGACGACCAGACGACCAGACGACAGGGGTCAGAGGTGCCACGTGCAGCTGGAGTCGAGGGATCTGGAGCCCGTGTCGTAACGTCGTAACGTCGTGAATTGTGGTTGTGATTGCGAGGCACTGCGAGGGGCAGGCGGTGGAGGACGTACTGCCGTTACACCAATCGCCCGCTATACCTATCGGGAGATCGGGAGGAGCCACTCCCACAAGAGGCCGACTTTACATTCGAAGGAGGTTGAGCGTTGAACGCGTCCCACGAGCGCCGCGCACTCTTATCGCGATCTGCGCATCCCTGGTCCCCGCTCCCAGGAATGCAGAATGCAGAATGCAGAATGCAGAATTCAGAATTCGGAATTCTGCGTGTTGCGTGTTGCGGGAGGAGCATACGTGCTCTCCTGGATCGAAGACATCGAACGCGCGAGTCCAGTCTGCGTCGCACCCGACCGCCTGTTCGCGACTCGGCGCTTGAATGGTATATCGTGCATGTGGGTCCCTGACGATAAGGGAGACGGATTTGTATATGTATACCGTGCATGTGCATGTGCATGTGCAAATACGAAATACGCGACCTGCGGTATGAGGTTGTAGCTGGAGGGGTGGTTCGTGTATGCCATATGATGATGGTGTACATGATGTAATAACGACATGCGGCGGGAGGAGGGAGCAGTCGGGCAGCAGGAAGCACGAGAGTACGGGAGTACGGACAGACGGTGTGGTGTGGATTTAGCGGTATAGATATACGTACTTGGGATGATGGATGCAGCGGATAGGATGTACAGAGTAGAGTGGCAGTCCAGAGAAGAGGCCGAGGAGGCGATTGGCGCGGTGATATCAAGAGAGTGACTATGGATATGGAATATGTGGTGGGTATGCGATGGAGGATATGGATACGCCGTGGAGGAAGGGGTACTGGGGTGATCGCACGGAGGACGAAACAGGAGGTCGAGACGCGCGTAGGAGGCTGGTGAGAGGACCGTGGGCGGTGAATTGTAGGAGGAAGAATGACGGGCGAACAGACGAGGGGAAAGAGGAGAGACGACGACAAAAGACACGGCGGAAAAGCGGAAAAGAGGTCGCTAAGAGGGCGAAAGAGAGAGCCTCGAATAGACACTCTAAGAGGAGAACAGACGGCAGCCAAGAGGAGACGACGGGAAAAGACACGGCAACGAGCGCGGATGGCAAAGAGGCAGTCGGGGGGCCACGTGTTCAGAGCGAAGTGGGGCGTGTACGTACCTCTGGTTATCTGCTCTGACTGAACCCCTTCCTTGTCCTTTCGTTCGCCGGTCTCCTGCCTTGTTCGTCCCGCGGGTCTCCTACACACTTGTTGTCCAGTTCTTTCGGCCTCTCTTTCTTCCTCTCGGTCCCTCGTTCTCTCTGTCTGTCATCTGCGTCTCGTCTCGTGCGTTTCTATTCTTTTCTTCGGTTCTAACGTTTTACCACGAGTCCCGACGCAATGCGACGGAAGTTGCGATACCCGGGACGGAGACTCGGAGTCATGTTTGACTTTGCAGGCCTCGTTATAGATTTTAGAAGACTGTGAGGGCCAGAGAGTGTGGGTGGCTGTTTAAGGGCATGCTGGAGATCGTCGTAGCGGACACCGTTGGGATGAAAGCTCGGCCCTGGAGGTGAGAGGCGCTCAATAGACGCTGCTCATGTGTTCCTCACGGTACGTCCCCCTTGTCAATCTCTCCTCTCCTCGGACGTCGTGCAAATTCACTCCCAGCCGAACCCGCCGTCGCACCTCCGGTGTATGCATTCCCAACAGCGTCTGCGTCTGCGTCTGCGTCTGCGCCAGAGGTCCTGCCGCTGTTGCATGAGGACATGGATGTGGGCAAGCGTGGGTGAGTTCTCCGCTTTCGTGATGTTTTCGCGTATTCATTTCGTTTGGCGAACCGAGGCGTGTTTGCTTGGTGCTTGGTGCTTGGTGCTTGGTGCTTGATGCGTGGTGCTTGGCTCGTCAGCTGGCGCGGTTATCTTGGACGGCCTCGCCGCGAGTTCGTGGGACGTCTGGGAGGGTCTCGGTGTAGAGGCGACAGTGGTGGAGGCGATGCCCTGCCTCCTGGCGTGCGCGGCAATGGGGAATAGGGAATATCCGACGCTGCATCGCACAGAGCGACGTGCAACACGCCATACGTAACCCGCTGACATCCCGCTGACATTGCGGGTGCCGTAGCTCTGCCTGTGCATCAACTACTTCCCGACGTCGTCGCCGATTTCCTCCACGTGTGGGGATCTTGGCATTTTGGCGCCGACACGATGGGGACCCACCTTCTTCAGCCCTGCGCTGCGATACGTCGTCGTCGTCGTCCCCCACCATCCTTACGTCCTCGATACTCCAGCAGGCAAAGTGTTGAGGCCGTTGTTGGGTGCTGGGTGCGACGCTGCGTGGGATTTGGGACGATGCGTTCGACACTGATGGCCACAGACGGAGAAGACATGGGTGGTGTTGTACGCATTGTCAGGGCGTCGCACGGAGTGGTTGGACGGGCGTGGTAGCGTCGACGGGGCGCGGGGGAAATGTGAGGGCCAGAGGGGGCTGTGTAGGACGAGATATTGCGGTGAGCTCGTTCTCACTAGTGTGAGATGCGAGATGGGTGGTCACTTCTCATTCGTTGTTTGTTCTCCTCATCGTCGACGCCAGTGCCTCGCAGCCTCTCCCTCTTGCCATCTGTTGTCTACCCCCTCTGTACGCCTATACGACCTGCTGGTCTTCGTAGCTCCATTGCTTCTCCGTCGCGCTGGCCTGCCAGTAGAGTCCGCGAGGACAAATTGCGTTTCCGTTTCTCGCCATCGTTCCGTCGTCCGTTGATGGAGGATGGATGGAGGTATCGGTGATTGAGGATGGCTGGAGCTCTGGAGAGTTACGCGTAGCAGTAGCCTGATGGCGTGGAGTCAAAGTCAAAGTCGATGTGGGTGGTAGATGGCGACGGGAGATGTGGGTGTTGACGGGGGATCATGACGGGAATGGTGAGTGGTGATGTAGGCGCGAAGTCGTATTCGCTGGTGTGAATGCGAGGACTGGGAATGGGTGGTGTTCCCACCAAAAGCGAAGTGAGAAGGAAAGTGAAACCGAACACCACGTGGCGAACGGAACGGAAGACGGAAACGCGACCAAGCAGCGCCGCGTGCGACTGCTGGACTCGACTTTCGCAACGCAACGGAGGGAAGGGGAAACTTCTTGTTATTGTTTTCATAGGTAGAGGTAGGTACTATATATACTGTAGGTAGATGTAAATAAGCACGCAGAGTGTGCATGTATAATCTAGTAAGCTAGTACCTAACAATGAATGCGGCCGCAGCTGATGACGGACCGAAACAGGAAGTAAACGAAACGATAGTATACGTACAATAAACCATGAATCAAGGCTCGAACAGGGTGCCAACCCTACAGTGAGTCTGCTTCGTATTCGCGTATGCTCGCGTCTTGTTCTCCCCCGCTTCCTTCTCGTTCCCATTGTCGTTCAATCGTCCGCAGCTCGTACCTCCTACCCGTTCCATTTCATTTTGTTTCGTCTCGATCAACTTGCGTCGTTCGCTAACCTCCTCTCAGCCACAGGACCTTCGCATTCGGGTACCACCACTACCACCGCAAGACAGTCGTCTCCGGGAATCGGCAATCGGGGACTGGGAATCGACAATCGAGGCCGACTTTCTCGCGAAAAATGTGTTTTGTGAGGATACGTTTTCTGCGTGAGATGAGGTGTTGGGCGTCGTTTGGCGCGGAGACATTTTGCGCATCTCGTTTACTCTTTTCGTCGTTTGTTTGCAGCTTTCGCGGTGGCGAAACGTGGAGTGTGGATGGTGGTTTGGATGGTGGTTGAACGGACGGACGGCAGTTGCAGGGGAGTGCGTAGGTAGGCGGCGAGGATGCGTGTATGCGCGTTGAACGTTGATGGAGTAGGGAGACTGGGGTAGGGAGAGGCTGGGAGGGAGGAAGGGAGGGAGGAAGGGAGGGAGCCGCAGTCGAGAACGATGGCTGGTGATTGAGCTCGAGGTTAGGTTTGGCAGTACAAGTCTTTGATAGCGTACGTACCCTTGGTTTTCCCTTCATCCGTGTTGTCCAACCCATGCTGACTGACTTGCTAGCGAGGGACGAGTGGGGACTTGTATGCGGCGAATCGTGTATGGGCGTAACGGCGTGTATGGATAGATTCGACGCGATCTTGGATATTCAGGGTGAAAGGGATGGCGGGATGGCAGGGCCGTGTTGAGGGATGGGGACGGAATAGGGCTGGGTCTGAGTGGGGATGGGAGGGAAGGGGACGGATGTTTGTAGAGTAGAGCCTGCGCTGTGTTTGAGTCTGGACGCGCGGAAGGGGTTAGCGAGAGTGAGTAGGCGGCGAGAATGCGAGTTGGATGGGTTAGGACGTGTGCGTGAGGGCTGCTTGCAGCAAGAAAGCGGCTGGACAAGCGCTACGAGTGCACTTGGGTGTCCTTGTCAAAGTAGTGCAACGCATCGCCAACGCATTAAGCTCCTTCGCTACATCTAGCTTGTCGATACCTTCGTCGATGGCCGGCGTTGTTTGGAGCGGGCGCAGAGAAAGAGAAAGAGGAAGGGTTGGGAGCGCAGGCAGCGCTGGCGTGGGGGCGAACAGGTTAGTATGGTCCAATGTTTCACGATGGGGTTTTACTTACCTGAAGCCGTTGCCTGTATGTTCTTGCCTCCGAATACGTCCTGCGGTTCAAACGTTCAAGTTCGCAAGTCGACACAGTGTTTGACAACGACGCAGGGTGCGCTAGAGATGACGTTGGTAGGGTAGGGAGAATGAAGATGATCAGAAGCTGGAATACTTACTAAGTTGCTTCCGAACGATGCCAGTTCGTGCCCCTGCGCGTGAGGTTGACGATCATCGAGGACGATCGGCTGCCCCGCATTATTGGCGCTCGAACTAACGCCACGTGCTCGATCGAAGTCCGCTCCGTTCCTTCAAGCTCTCAAGCGCGCACCACGACGATGGCGAGGACGAAGTAGACGGCAACGACGACGACGACGGGATGCTATGATACGCCTAATCATTCTCACCCCCTCCTATTGACGTCAAAGTGCGCATTCTTGTGCAGGACAACTACAAACGCGCCAAACGATTCGAGCCGCTCCTAACGTGAAAGACGGTGAACCTGGCGCGAAAGGCTGGCCAAGGAGTTAGATGGAACGTTTGTGGTCGGCTATCCGGGGTGAATCCATCAGGTGAGTATTGAATCAATGGAATTGATGTTTCGACTCTCATAGGCGGCAGGGGACAAATGGTGTCTATTCAGGCACCTACAGACCTACTTCGTACAGACTGACGATCAAAGCCGGATGCCGTCCTCCATCCTACCTCATCCAACTCAGGCACCCCTGCCTGAGAGTGCAGCGGCCGACTCGCCAGATACATCGCACGCCCAGCCTGTCCAACATCTGCGCAACAAGTCTATTCAGGTACGATTAACAGCTACAGACTGGGTTCGTACGGTCTTATAATTGAGCCAGATCCCCTCCGTCTGCTCCTCGCCAGTCAACTCGCACGCCTCATACTCTGCAATCGCGCCGAACTCTGGGTGGTGCCACTCATCCACCACACGGCGTACACCCTTCCTACCCGATCGGAACAAGGCAGCAACCGTTGGCGAAAGGACCGGAGAGAGACTGACGCCACCGTAGGACCAGCGCGCGGAACGACGAGGAATAACGAGGAAAGAGGCAGGCAGGGGGGGGGGGTAGGAATAGCAGGGCAACCGAACGCCTAGGTACGTAGCAGCCATCAACATCACAATGAGGTCGCGCTCACCCGCGTGTATAGACCTCCGACTGCGGCCAGGAGCGTGGCGCGCAGGGCAGCATCAGCGCGCCATGGTCTCCCAACCTGCCCCGTCACGGAAATGCTGGGGGAGAGCCTACTCTCGACACTTTTCTATCCCCAGACCGCCGTTGACGACTGCCCGAGGACCACCGGAGGTTCCCTAGCCTCTCTCAATCGCAAATCGGCGACGAGGATGGCGGATGCGAGACCTGGAGCACCACTATGAGATCAGGAGCACCACGAGGAGGCGCGTAGGCGACATAGATGGTGAGGTGGGTAATGGGGAACTGAACGAATGATGCAAAGAAAAGCGAACGCGCCAGAGACGACAAAGGTAAGCCAACACATCTACAGTGCTAGAGCAACCACTCACCTCCGTGTCCTGTCCCCAGAACTGGGCGGGGCATCCATCCCTTTCTCCCCCGTCCTTGCACGCAGTCCCCACGATCGCGGGCCTCTGGCAGCCCCGACCTCATGGCCCACAGAGGATGATCTTGCCTCACGCTTGATGGTGAAGGTCAAGGAGCCCCACGGGGAACAGACGCGGACGTACGCACCCGAAGGAAACTTCGAAACAAGACGCTTGCGGGTCCGAATCTGAGGCTTCGACAGCCTCTCAGCTCCGATGGAATCCCTCGAACGTTCCCATCCACGACGGACGCGCCAAAGGGCTGAGCGATGACGAGGGGATCTGCGAATCCACCGCCGACACATTAACGGTAGCGATGATAGGACAAGGAAGGAAGGGGGAAGGATGGCCAGATGAGGGTGTATACGATGAAGCATTGCATCACTCCGTGTCTTGTTTGAAAGGCATAGCCGTGTCCATCAGTCGTGCCCGTGCAAACTTGCATCGTAGTGCTCAGTCCTAGCCTCTGCCGCATCTCATATTACACCTCGATCTCCCGTTCATGTCCTAGAATTTCGCAGAGCCAGGTGGCCAAGCGGTAGCCGCGCGAGTCGGGACGTTACTGCCTTCGTGAGCTCGGACACATGGCGAACTTAATTAGACCATGCCATCTCAGACGCAGGGTCATTATCGCGGCGGAACTGTCAATACCATCATCTGTCGTTCTCTCGACCAAAGATTCGCTGGGAACACCCCCAAGAAGGTGATGTTCGTGAACACCCACTGCTGCACGCTGCCCGAGACCGTAAAACAATACGTCCGTTGTAGACGGATTGTAGGTATATACTGCCTGTCCCGTCAGGTTGCCACACGGAACAAACGTCGATTACGAGCGCTCGACGCTGCTTCGATGGATAGATTTACATGTCGTAACTACTACCCAGTTGATATGGCACCAGTACTTGGCTGTCAACGCTCGAACAACGCTCGGACGTCCGCGCCAGTAGCTACTGTCGTAGCATTCGGCAGATATCACCAGATCACTACAGCAATGACATTGCTTGACATTGAACCCCGATGACGTTTCCTGTGATGAGCGCGATCATTGAAATATTAACGGATAACCCCCAGGCCGCCGACTTCCAATCGATGGGGAGGAGCGAGGTCGAAGGGCGAAGTTACGTTTAACACCTCAAATCGCTTTCGTTGAGAGGTCCATGACATAGGTATACATTTGGCTCAGAGGGGGCATTGAAACTCTGCAGACGATGACATCCCAATCTCTAGAATTGTAACTATCTGCTAGGAACAAAAGGCTGGTAGGGATATCAAATGATCCTATCCTCCAAGAGCACTGCAGTCCATAACATCGTACAGAGGTAAAGTATTCAGCGCAGATTCGGTGTATATGACGAAGAAAAACTACTACGTGTCTGTCCAAATATGATAATTGTTAATAAGGTTGGGTGGGCTGAAAGCGATACAGGTAGTTCCGTGGAGTAATAAGACGACGGATATGGAAGTGGAAGAGGTGAGCGAGTGATAACGGCGACTGGGACATGCAAGGGTGATTAGCGCAATGTTATTCTCTGGGTGCGGGGGCAGAGGGAGGAGGGAGGGATGATACGGATTGCGTCCGAATAGTATACGTGAACGAAGCTACAGGCCCGCGAACTGAACGAAGGTTCCAATGCTATTCAATGAGGTAGGGAAGGGGACTCGGTAGTACAGGTAAGCCGCTACTTGAAGGCAGCGAACCTGGACAAGGTCAAAGGAGTGTGGGTGCTAGGCGCTGACTCTTTAGAGGATGGCAGTCGCTCATGGTACAAGGGTGTTTCGATTGTCTAACGCCGTTAGCAGCCGTCCCACTAAAGCTGGTGTGAATACTGGTGTCATGATCTCCGGTAGAATGATACATACCAAACTGTTCTTGGGCTTGGCGTACGGCCATGATGAGTGATTGGCATCTGAAGAAACAGTCAACGAAGGTAACATGGCGATGCCATCAACGACGACGTACTGGTATAGGCATCCATGTGGGCATTAATGTAATCGGCCGTTGGGTAATCTTTAGGGCTGCAGCCGACGTTGATAGCGCCCTTGCGTTGATAGACCCGCACGTAGTCCACGAGCATCTCAGCGGGAAAAATCAGGGTAGAGAAATCGATCGTCTGCCAGTTAGCTACGATGACGGTTAGGACCTCGTCCATGGTGGTAAAGGTACTGCGACATACGAGAGATGCCCAAATTGAGGACGATAGACATGGGTTCCTCTGGTATAAGCCGCTGCCCGACACCACTACCGTCCGGGCCGTTGTCCGGGCCAACAGCTTTGGCCCACATACGATGGGTCTGGCTCGTCCAAGGTTGCCCATGGTCCATGCGCCAGGCCACTGGATGGCCCACATACGATGGGTCTGGCTCGTCCAAGGTTGCCCATGGTCCATGCGCCAGGCCACTGGAAAATGGAGCCAAAATCAGCATTCGCAATGGAACGACGATGATGATGAACGCGAATTAGCCTCGCGGAGACGAGAGGCAGTCGGCATAGATCGAAGCCTTCAATAGCGGCGCTATGAACGCGGATCACAAAGAGCACTGTGAGGTACAAAGGCAGCAAGAAGCTGCGTCGCCCATTAACGTAAAAGATGGGGACTTGAAGACTATATAAGCCCAGGGCACAATGGAGGGAAGGCGGCGAAACGGCTGCTTCCTCTTCCTTTCAACCAAGCGCCGCGGCAGGACAAGAAGAGTGGGAAAGGTGAGCACTCACGTATCCTTGTGCATTCTCGTTGACCCCAGGCAAGACCACGCTGACTTCAATATACCCGCTCGTGTAGCAGAACTTGTTCCAGCTTTGCAACATGCCGCTTTTATAGTTCAGGGCGTGGTTTTCAGCCGCAGTGAAAGGTGCCGTCGAACCTAAACAACGTTGTGGGTTAAAAATGGAAAGCCGAGTGGGAGAATGCAAGATGAGATCGCCCGAATCACCGTCTGGCGGAGAGAAAATGGGAAAGAGCCAAGCTAGAGAAAGACCTACCAACTGTTTGACCAGGTACCGTGGTCTCGATACTATCCATCGTGATGACCAGATTACCGTTCCTCGTCGTCACTTGACTTGGGTCATACCACTCGATATCGCCGGTCACACCATACCAAAGATCAACCGCCTCCCAGAATGGATCGTCACCTTAGGCAAGCAGAGACCAGACAGACGTCAGAGAAAGTAGACAAGGAATCCGCGGTATGGTGACAAACTGACCTGGGTAGAAGGACCTCCCATCTACGTTGAATTCGTCCGAGAAGACGAGTTCGTATTCATGACCATCGAATCCTGTGCGTGACTTCGCGGCGTCCGGGGTATCTTTGTCAATCAAATCTGGCATCTGGAATCTGCAGAATTCGACATCTAAGGTAAGCCACCATTCCGAAATGTAGGCGACCTAGAAACACGTACAAAACTGGCGCCTGGCCGATCGCGTTTATCCGTATATTGCCATCGATTTTCAGATTTCTCGCCGAGTTCTGGTAGAACGTGAGCACCGGGTAGAAGATAAAAAGGCATAGGAGGGCGAGGATGAGGATAATGAGGACGGCGATGTTGAGTATTCCTCGCCAAGGAAAGGCGCGCTTGAGATCAGGATGCCGTTTGCCGCCGCCGCCGACTATGAGGTATGGGATGAAACGAGCATCAAAGAGAAGATATATCCGACTCACTCCACGCTTTATCGTCCGGGTCATGCAGCATGTCCTCTTCATCAGGTGGTTCAAGTTCGTCGGACGCTGGGTCATAAGCATATGGCACCAAACCTCTTGGGGTAGTTGGGAAGGATGACATCAAGTCAGAGGGATACTTGCTGTCTCTATCCGAAGAGATGCTGACGAAGCTGTCTCCTGATGATGACCAGACGCTGTCGCGAGCGAATTTCCGTTCGGGCGGCAATAATGTGGAGTCCCTGACCGAATCTCTATTTCCACCAGGCGACACTATGTCGTCCGCCATCCTATACAGCACCAGCGACGCTCTCGTCCCAGAACCACCGAGGCCCGTTGGACTTGGAGCGGCGAATGTTGGATACGCTGAATCAGAAGTATTGTAGTAGCTGGCCGTATTCGCCGAGTGGTCTGAGGCGAAGCGGTTGGTAAGATATTGAGAACCACGAGAGCCTGGCCTTGAGCGCGGTATTGGAAACGTCCCAGTCGCGGACGAAGCGGGGTTCAAGGGCGACAAGGCGCTGTGGTGGCCGGACGACAGAGTCTGCGACCGTGCAGACCGTGGAGTCGGCGAGGTCGAGGGCGGTGACGAGGGTCAATCAGTGAGCATGTGGTGGGTCTCGTGAGGGGCGGGTGAAGAGGGAGAGGAAGGGGGTAGGTAGGACGTGGAAACACTACGTTCTCCCGCATAACGACAGATGCCACGATGAATGGCCATCGAGCTGACTTACGGAGAGCAGGGAAGATGGGAAAAGGACTGGGAATGAGGCGTACACTGACGTTGGTGAAATAATACAGATAAGATCCGCGAGCGCAATCCCGCATCATCCAATCACACGCCTGCACTCTGGATTCACCAGTCCCCCGTCTGTTTCTTTCCCGTTTCCGTTTCCATTTCCGTTCCTGCCCCCGCCCCCGCCTCCGCCTCCGCCTACGTTTCTCTACCTTCCACTCGTCCGTTCCTTCTGCACCGTGTTGTGTCGCGCTCCGTCCGCTCCCGCTCTGCTTCTCGTCCCTGTTTCCGGTGCGTAGGCTTATTTGTGGTCGAGTTCGTGCTCGTGCTCATGTTCGTGTGCATTCGCATGCGCAGGCTGCATGCGTGCACGCGTTTGTGTTTCTGCTAGTACCGCAGTACGGAGTTCACGTCGTTGGCATTGGTGTTCGCGTTCGCGTTCACGCTGCAGCCGCTTGAGCCGCGAGCCGGTTAATGGACGGGCATGGTGGTGTCGACGGAGCTCGGGGGAGATGTGAGGGACAGAGCAGGCGCTATGGGGTGCGACATCGTGGTGAGTGCATTTTCATGAGTACGAGATGGGCGCTCACCTTCATACGTGCTATTCAGTTTCCTCCTCGTCGTCGCCAGTGCCTCGTCGTCTCTCTCTCTTGTTATCCTTCGACCATCCCCTCCCTAAGCCTATATAAACGACTCGTATTCGTCACTGCCTCGATCCTCCGTCTCGCGCTGGCGGGCTAGTGGCGTCCAGCAACCCAGGCGGCCACCGTCACCATCTTCCAGCAGCACCTCTCGTTGTCGTCGTCCTACCCCGTGTTGCCGGTCTTACGTTGTCTGGAAAGGTTCCTAGGCGTCTGGCGGGCTGTGAAGGAGGGTTCGGAAGCGGTGTTGTATGCCCAGGTGCGTCTGCCCCTGGCCTTGATGGTTTTGTGTAGTCCCGGCTCTGGCCCCTACGCCATTGTCTGGCTCCGCAGTCACGGCGCGATGTGTTCAGGTACGAGATAAGTGGGCCCTGCATCATGGACGTTGCGGCTGGCAGCATGAGAGCCCGGGTTTCCTGTCGTCGTGGGCAGGGAGGCGGGCGGGTACTGCAAGGCCGGTAGAACGAGTTAGGGAGGTGGGACACTATCTCTGGGTATGGTGAGTGGACAGATAGCATCATATGGTAAAATACGCACCACGCACCAGTTCAAGTCAGTTTACCTGTTACGATCCCCCGAGCCTCTTCGTCTCTCCTCAGTTCGTGTTGGGCGTAAGGCGTCGCGTAGATGGTGGAGATGCGCTTGTTGGCTGCGTAGTTGGTAAGATCGTGTGATCATGAGAGAGAATTGATGGTGCTGGTCTTGGATGAGATTGACACGACTTCACGTGGATTGAGGAACGCTGGAAACCCGTTCAGGTCAGCGCAAATGCACGATGAGCGAAAACAAGGTGGGTGCGTACCTGGTTTCTTTTCGAGAACTCGGGGCTGTACGCGCCCTGTTGAAGGCTTGTGGCAGGTCTGGCGGCGTTACGGCGGCGTTTGGGGCCTTCACATCTGCGCGACGCCGTTCGTGCTCGACGAGCTTGTCTGCACCATATAAGGTGGATGCGCGGGCTATTGAACACGATTTTACTTACCCGTGTTGCGCGCCCCGTTTCTCTTTGCTCATCGCCTCTCATCCGCTGCCGTCGTTTCCTGCGCCGTTTCGTGTTGAGCAATGTGTTCAAGGGCGTAGGGTGCTGGCTGTTGAGATCGAAGACTGAGTTGATGCCGGCTTGAGCGTCAAGACACGTTGAAGAGCCGTGGATTCCGTTCGCGGCGTGCTTGGGAGTTAGTTGCGTGTCGGTGCGCGGGGCAAGGTCGTGGTGCGCGCTCTGGGCCATGTTCACGGCGTGCTGGTGGGCGAGGAGGTTGGTGGGCGGCGTGGGCAGGAGTTAGCCACCAAGGGTCGCGTCTGAGTGATCAAGCGCGTGAGTAAGGGTGCCTAGCGAGTGAACGGGGTGCTCACCGAGATGGTAGTCAGTCATGGACTGGGGTCCGCTGTCTGGCGGTTGGTGGTGGAGTTTAGCGGTTACTTGATGGTGTTTGGCCTTGGCGTCTTCGCTTCGCCGCAGCCGCAGCTGCCATTAACAGCATCGTCCTACCGTTGCTGGTGCCGTAGTCGTTCGCGTAGCCCGCTCGCGTGGGCCCATGCCCACACGTCTCCGCAGCCAGCGCCATCTCGCGCATTTGTCTCCCCAGTCGCGCTACTCTCCCTCCCGGGGATTGAGGGATATACTCACCGTATGAATATATTGTATTGGAGCGGCTCGTTTTCGTGGGGCATGCAAGGTGGTGACTGCGTTATCGGCGGCGTCTACGGTAAGCAAACGGTCGAAACCGTCATAGATGAGGGACGAACCCAGCAGATCTCCCGCGCCCTTCGCATCATGAAGCGTTTCGTCGGACTCAAAGTCAGGGGAGTCAGCTCGCAAGACGTCGTCGTCGCAGCCGGCCTGGCTAACGCTCGTGATCGATTTCCGGTTCGGCCCCGTGCTAATCCTGAGCGCTTCCTTCTTGATGAACGTCGCGAGTTGGAGGAGAGACTGCGGGGACTTGGAGGAGTAGCAAGAGTGTGGCGTAGATTTCCGTTCTGATGATCATCTGGGCCTGCAGCCAACGGTGGGTCGCTCACGGTGGTAAGGGCGGTAAGCTTCGAGTCAGCTTGATTTTCGTCTCCCATTCCTCGCTCGCCTTGGCCAACCAAGCACGCTCCTCAGACCACTCCTTGCGCATGCTACTCCACTGCCCGTCTACATTCTTCTTCCAGTCTGTCATTAACTGCTCTAGCGTCCCGTTCTCAGTATCCGATTTTGCCGGCGTTTGGGCGTCCCTGGCCGCAAACGCAGAGGCAACGACAGCTGTGGCAGCTGAGATGGAGGCGGAGATAACCTCTTCCTGTCCGGTCTGAGACGTCTTCACTTTGTCCTCTAGCTCGACAACTTTTGCTTGTAGGTTCAGAATGGTAGATTGAGCCGCATCGTGCTGAGCCTGGAGAGACGTCGTCAACGTCATGAAGCTTTCGAACTGGTTTGAAAGCAGTAAAAGTCGACTGTTCACGCCTGTTACCGAAATTCGGCCTTAACAACGAAGGTGGTGCGTCAATATGAAGGACGAAGGGGGAATGGGGGATTGGGTGGGGGTGGAGCAGTCTTGCGCGTCAGGCTCGATGCTCGATTCGAGCTACGCTCTGAGGTTCGCCGTCTTCTTCTTTCTCAGGTATCGTGCTTCGTCTCTAACCCTTCGTGTGTTCCATCTAGGTCTCCCTTCTCTGACCTCTCTGCCAATGCTCGGAGTTCGACAGCATTGACAGCGTCTACGTCTGGCTTAATCTCCACGGTACGTTCTCCTTTGTTCTCCTGCGACATTCGTACCAAATTCAACTTCTCCTCTGTGCCCTTTCTACGCCTTCCCTCCCTCTCATCCCTTGTTCTCTCCTTCCTCTGTCCCTGCTGCTCCTCGCTCTCGTTGTCTTCCTCGTTCTCGTACACTCTCGCCCTCTCCCTCAGTTTCGCAGATCGAACGCCTTACCCGGCATTGACATCCCCATCGCACCCGCACCAGTGTCATCTGCGCTACCCGGACTCAGGCGAGCCTATACGCCCACTTCCCCACCTTGAACACGTACTCACACAGTTCACTAACACCTCACACCGCGTCCAGCGCCGTCGCGACTCGCTGCAAACGGAAACGCAAACGCACTCGTACCCGGGGGAGGGGCGAGCACGCAGCTCCACACCTGCACTGGCACTGCAGGAGCGTGGATATATTGGGACGTGGGTGCGGACGTGGTGGATGTGGATGTGGATTCGGGGCGACGTGAGGCGAAGCGAGTGTCTCTGACGTCGTGTCGCCTTACGTTTCGTTCGTGCATCTCTCCCTCCTCCCCCTCGTTCTGTATCTCCCCGTTCTCGTTCGCGTTGTCTCCCCGTTCAAGCGCCCTCCATATCGTTCGCCAGCTTCACGAGCTGCGGGCGCTGCGAATAGCACCACAGCGTCTCCGCGCTGAATGTCGGCCCGTGTTGCTCCCGCGCCAGAACATGTGTTCGTCCGTCTTGTTCGCCCACGGCGGGTCGTTCGAGCGCGGGTGGATGTCGTCCACCCATGAGATGAGGCTCGGGAGCTGGAAGTTGTGGTGGACCATCGTGTTGCAGTACGTCGCCTGCGCGGACATGGGGGACTGCGCATGGGGCGTCGTTGGGGGGTGAGGCAGGAGTTGCGCGTGCGAGAAGAGGAGGGGCGGTCTGTGGCAGAGGTCCATCGCGTGGCGGTGGCCGTGTATGAAGGTCTTTTCTTTGCGCGGGGCGGCGGGGTTAGGACCCTTGCTATTCTAGTGTGCTGGGAGGGTTGATGGAGGGTGTTTCCATGATGGCTCGGGCATGTCGCTGCCTGCGGGAACAGGTGAGTCTGGCCTAAAGTTTGAGCATCATGATCATGCTTACCTGTACCCTTTCACCTCGTTCTCTCGATTCCTGACACGCCGCAAGTCAAGTTCGCCCGTCGTGGTGATGGCGGCTTTGTTTGATGATCACATCGTATCGACGAGGGAGGCTCTGGAGTTCGTATGTCAGGAGAAACGAGGGCGAGGAGAAGACGAAATTTGTACACACCTAATACGCTGATTGCCTGCCCAGCCAGGATAAGTTCGTGCCTCTGCGCGTTTGGTTGGCGGCGAGAGGACTTGAAGGCGGCGCTATGGCGCTCGAACCAATACCACGTGAGCGATCGAAGTTTGCTCCGTTCCGTTGTGTAATTCCGGACTTACTACTCAACTGCTCATCGACCAGTCGACCACCTCGATTCTTCATTCTCATGTACACTGTCGTAATTGACTCGCAATGTTGACCCTATCTAGATGACTGATCAGTCAAATGGCCGAAGATCTAATGGATTGAATGGAGCACCAGTACGTACACTACTTACATTTCTACTAGTCCCGTACTCAAGTTCATTCCAGCCAACGCCCGACTACGCTCCGAAACACAGAAGAACGACGGTACCCATAAGCGCAGAGGACCGTACCCGGCCATTGCAATGTCGCCAGCCAGCACTCTACTCGCGCCCAAAGGCCATACAGAGGCGGCAGCTCCCATTCCACACCCATCCAACAGAACGAGCTGCAAGATATGCGCCAGAGAGACACACACCAACGAGAGGAACATAATCACAGTCATCTCGTTAACAGGGTCAATGCTCCTCTGGCAGCGGCGCATCAAAGGAGAGAGGGACGGGCGGGCTTAGCGACGGAGGGGAGAGGATGGTTGGATGCTCGCGAATGGAACAAGGTCAATGGTAACCAAACGACACTGGGCAGCAGCGCAAGGTGAGCAACACTTCACGTGCGTGGATATGGAACAACTCACCAATGTATTGCTTTCCCAGCGCACAACAGACCTAGCATATCCCGATGCTCCGATACGGCCGCCTTCCCGCGCATTGCGCCATCCCCCGCCCATGGGACTGCAAACGCCTTACCCCACCCAGTTGCCCAACGACGGCACGCAGTGAGATTCCGCCGTAGCGATCGCGCGCGCTGGTGAGGGGGCTGGCGATCCCTTGGTTACGCTACTTCCCGTTACGCAAGGGCGGTGCGCATCTGGTCGCAGTGTTGCTGCCGTTGAAGGCGCTCCGTTGACGGGAAGTGTTGATCGTGCTGATGGTGCTACTCTCCTTGATGTTGGAGGTGGTACTGTGGGTGCTGCGATGGGTTTGGGGTCTAGGAGTACAATCGCGGTCGTCGCTATCCCTGCGCTCCGACAGACGTTGGAGTGCATGTTTCGGAGAGTGGGCGGGAGGAGAGGGGTCGGCCAAGAGCCCAAGTTCGTCGGGGATTGCGAGAGTGGACCGACGCCGTTCATCATGCCCATACTCATCGGTGCCACAGCTGCGGGTCCTCCACCAATCGCTCCTCCAAGTATACCCGCACCCCTCCCGCCACCGCCCCTCGCCGCCTTGTGTCCCTCGCCTTGTTGCGGCGGCCATTTTCGCATGCAGGCTCGTCCTCGCCGGTGTGTTTTCTAGGATAAGAGGAAGAGGGGGTAAGTATAACGAAACGAATGGATGGATAAATGGATGAACAGGAAAGGGGGAAGGCGTGTAAAGTGGAGAGAGGGCAGAAGGCGAGAGTAGGCAAGGGACAGGGCAAGTTGATAGCTAAGGGAAGTAAGGAGGAGAAGGACACGCACTGTATATGCCTCGCCAGATGCTCCGAGCGGCTGAACACCATCCTGCAATCACTGTACCTGCGGTACTGGATGAGAGCAGGGCGGTATCTCCTCGCATCTGACGCCGACACCGACACCGACGGGCTTGTTCTTCTACCTAACCCGTCGTCGCTGGTCCTCAATGCGGCACCGTCCATCATTCTTTCTTCGTCACCCTTTCTTCATCCCTGCCGCGCCATCTGTCGTCGCGCGTTCCCCACGTCCTTCGGTAATTTTGTATCCTTGTTTTCGTTTCGCTTTCATTGTCGTTTTCGCTTTCGGATTCTGTCAACCCCGGTTCTCTACGCGACACTGCTGCTAAACTTGCGTCCCTTCCCTTCCCTTCTTCAGTTCTTCGGGTCTTTTCTTCCCATTCCCCATTCCCTGTTCATCTCATAACCCGTCGCCGCACACCCATTAATCAAACCGTCCCAGTGCCCTGCCCCGCAACTGGGCCTTGCGCGTTTCAGCGTAACCAATAATCAAAAACAGATCACACAAACGAGGTCCGGTCGCAGGAATGGTGGACGTGGATAGGATAAGCGGTGATCGCTTTGCGTTGCGCGGGTTTGTGCTTGCCTTCGGGCTGTCTGAAGGTCGTGGGGTGAGTATCGTTTGCGTTGTTCTTTGACTGACCGACTTACTGATGTCCTCTCTGTAGCTCCTCTTCACCGTTGTCGTCGTCATAGTACGTATTGGCTAGCATCTAAACCCGGCAACAAGGCACTCCATGGACATCGAGGCACGCCGCGCCAACGCCCAATCCTCCACACGATCGCAATCGCAATCGCAGACGTCGCAATCGCAGACACTGTCGATAACGCCCTCTGCCACGGGCTCGCGAACAGCAGCGTCCCTGACTCCGATCCCACTTTCGGCGCTGTCGATTCCGAATACGCCTATTTCTGTGGGTATGGGCGTGGGGATGGGCGGGATCATGGGTGCGGGTGCGGGGATGGGAATGGACGAGCTGACGCCGTCGTCGATGCTGTCGGGGGGGGAGGCATGGCGGTGTGCGCGGGATGATGGGTGGGGGCATGATGGGGATGGGATTCGTCAACGAACATCACCCGGATGTGTCCCAGGGACACCACTACAGAGGCGCACCGGGGGAGTGGTATCGACGGTGATCCTGGATTCAGCGGTGGAGGTTCGGATTCAAGTATCTGGAATGGGGCAGATACAGACGTGAGTATGTGCTTGACGGGGCCATCCACGCACCATGGACGAACCCACCTTGTCTTCTACATCCCCGCCTCCATTCCTCTTCACATCGTCACGCCGTGCCTCTTCGTATTGAGCTTGCGCTGGCGGACATGCCCCGCGGTTGCCGTGCGCTGCTTCGCTGATGTCCGCCCCGTCGGGGACGGCGCTGTGGATACCGTTGCTTCCACCTGGGCCCCTGCATTGCCCTCTGCATTGCAAGGCCTGTCGCTGTCGCTGTCACCGTGGAAGAATGAGTAGATTGGCTAGACGGAATAGAGCTGGCACTGGACATCAGAATGGATAGATATCAGAACGTCCTGGGGCACATATTTGAGGATGTATTTGAGGATTGGCAATAGCTGGTCTGCTGCTCCGGTCAGTCGCTGGTGGTACGATCTTGAGACAGATTCTCACTTTTTCATGCTAGTTATCACCCCTCGTCATCGTCGTCGTCGACAGGATAGCTACTGTATGGGCGGGGTATGGTGTTTCCACCGAGTAGTCAAGTGCGCACTGGGCCGCAGGGATGAGACAGGCGCTAGCAAAGTTCGGCACGTAGGCAATGGCATGACTGGGCACATTTGAACGGTAGAGGACAAGGAGGGGAGCTTAAAGGGAGGACAATCAACGGGGCTGCCCTCGAACCAGCGCCACGTGCGCGATCGAACTCCGCCGTATTCTGTTGGCCGATTCTCAACTTCGAATTCACTCTCTCATGCTTACCACGACGGCAACGACGACAATAAGGACATTGACGACTGTTGGGAAGGCCACAGCGCCCCCATTTCACTCCAATCCCCCCCTCTTCCGTATCTCCTTGAGCAAGAGGACTCTGGCGCGTAACGACTAACAGAAAAGGTGCCAGTACCCAATGCTGCGCGTTCTCAAGTCGAACCAGGCGGCGAACGGGGGTCCAGGGTGTTGGATGAAAGGGATGAGCAGTGAATAGAAGAGATATCCGCAGGTGAGTCTCCACACCATTGGGAAGGCTGTCTCATTCATATAGCCTGTAGTAGACGCGCGCGACGGCTGCAGGAGCGTGAACGAAAGCGAACGTGGGCTTAGCCTGACGGCGTCATCATCGAGTTCAGCCAGACGTCGTCGACTTCCCCGTATCCCCCGGCCTCGTGCCTTGCGCGTTCCACCCACGACTGGGGCGCACCCAGCGTCTTCAGACTTGCGACCACGTTACGTCCCCCTTGGTTCCCTCACCCACAGTCGTGGTTCGCAGAGGAAGCTCAAGGCGGTCTGATACGCGTGCATATAAGGACGTTAAACGCGACATCGGCAACGTGCGGGTATGCGGGTACCAGTCAGAGAAGGAGAGTAGAACGGGAGGGCTGTAGGGTGCAGAGGACAAGGCTACGATGGGTAGCACTACCGCGGTACGTCGCTACTGAGTCCATGCGCATATACGCACTCACATGGGGTAGATTAGGCTGGCAGCCACTGGAGGGGTCACGACGCCGCTGTCTCGCTGACACGCGCCCTCCTTCGACCGAGATGACCGCAACCACCCCCTCGTCGGGGGAGCCCCTATCTCCCACCCGCAACTTGTGCGGGCCCCTGTCCCATACGCACAATGACATTGACTCATCCTCTCCCTTCGCCGCGATGCCCGTAGCCACCCCCTCAATGTGGGGGCCCCTGTCTTCCCTTCCCCTATCCTGCCTTCGCATTCCCCCTTCGCCGATATGCCCGCAGCCGCGCCCTCGTTGGGGGAGCCCCTATCTGTCACTTCTCCCCTTTGCCGCAATCCCCGAAGCCACGCGCAACTTGTGCGGGTCCCTGTCTCATACCTATGTGCATGCTCCCTTCGCCGCGATGCCCGTAGCCACCCCCTCGCTGGGGGAGCCCCTATCTGGGGCATGTATTGCTTGGGTGCGGCAAGTATCCGCCCTTCGCTGAGATGTCCGTAGCTGCCCCCTCATCGTGGGGGCCCCTGTCTTACGCAGCACACTGCTATGCCTCAACGCCCCTTGTCTGTTACATTCCCTACCTTTCAGATGTGGCTGCCGCTGCCTCACCCAAATTGCAAGGCATCAAGAGCACACTAGTTGAAGGTGAGTACTGACTCTAATGCTGAATATCCTAGGCTCACTTATGTGACCAACCAGATGAATGATATCCGGCACTTGTATGTACTCACCTAACCTAACCACCGAGACAGTCGCTCGTAAACGAGCTCCAAAACAAATATACTGAAACCCTAAACCTCAACCCCCTAAGTACCTAAAGCCCTAAAAGCCCTAACTCCAGGTTCCGCATTCAGTAATGATTCCGCGTTAGACCTCGCATTCGACAGCCTCTGGGGTGTTCAAAGGATCACAGAGGGCCATCCAGCAGGCCTGCATCATTAGAATAAGTTAGGGTAAACTACAGTAAAGTTAGGGTAAACTACAGTAGACTTAGGGTAACAACAGTTGGGGTAGGAGGGATTTAGTGGGTAGGATTATCCTACGATTTCAAAATATGTCCTATAACCCTAACCCTAAGTTGGCACACAGGAATCTAGAACAGTCTGGACTCTGATGTCGTATGACATCACTATGGCACAATATCGCACCATGGTCCCGAACATGATGTAGCCCCATGATAAGATGCTTATCACAGCACTATCAGTCTAAATGGGGCAACCACTTCTCACAAGAAGCATAGCGTGTAATCACTGATGGGAGTCCTGTTGGAAAGACCCTCCTAGATCATCAAGACCGCATGGTAAGGTACCCAAACTAATAAGGCTCCAGATAAACAAATATCCGACCTCTAGTATAAGTACTTGAGCTTGAGGGACTGAAGAGAACCCATCAAAAATGTTTGCCCACTTAGTTGTGCTACATTTTCACTCAAGTTCCTTCCTAGCGACCTTTACACCACTAACTAACCTAGCAACGACAGACCCGGTCGCCAGCGCTTGAGCATGGTTAACCCTAAGGTACATTTTCTTGGAATCTTGATGCGGAGGAAATGTCGTGAGCCAAAGTGACGTAAAAAGCGAGATGAGGATCCAAGCTCAGCTCGGTCAAGCTTGATGCTGTTTGTGAAGTCATCCAACTTGCCTCCCAGAATGATTTTGCCTCCATAACACCCATCATCAGAAAGGCCTAGACAAGCATATTGATCCTTCTGTATGGCCTCCTCCTGCCAATCAAACTCCACCCAAGGAGACTAAAAATGAATAGGTTTGAGTTTCTCTGAAAAGAAGTAGGATATAGAAGCCACACCTTTGCATTCACCTCTTTTGCACAGGCAGCCAAGTAAGATTTGCTATCCTCAACCTCACTATACAGAATAGTGTCAGACTAATATTGAATTCATAGCATTAAGTTCACTCTACCTGGTAAGCCCAAGGACAGTAGCAACAGCAGAAGTTGCTTCAGCACTTGAATGCTTGACCACCAGCTTGTCCAGCATCTCCATAGAAATGTGTTCAGGTGAAATGCACTGGTTGGATACCAGCCTCCATATTTCATATTGAGCACCATATAGTACCCCACGCCTGAGCATGAACTGCTGGATTCACTGATGGGATGCCTACCCATCAATATGTTGTTAATGAAGAATATACTATTTGAAGGTGGGGAGGTACAAACAATAATAACTGGTGATGCACTCATGAGACTAGCCGATGATCTCTGGTGTTCATATGACACCCGTCGCCACAGACCTGGTGGGGGAGAAGTAGGTGAGGCCTTGCGCTTGCCATGATTGGATGCCAATATCTCAACTAAGAGTACCATCAGCACAAGTCAATCACTAAGTGACAGTGTTGAGGCTTACCTGGATCTTCAAGGCCACTTGGCATCATTTCAACTATTGCCAGTTCAGCATTGCTAGCCTAAGATAAATAAAGCAGCTTAATAATAGTGAACCAAGGGAGACAACACAGTCGAATTTCCCCGGTAGCCTACCCAGGTTCCGGAAATTGGAACACACCTGCTAGTCTCAAAGCTCAATCTTCACCCTCGACCCTAACCACGCCTCCGCGACCTTCGGCCGCTCGGCTCTAACCCTAATATACATATGAGGCGTGCAGGATTCGTATTGAGGGCCTGCGTCAAAGTCCGCCAATACACCGGAGAGATCAACTATAGTTTTGGGACACGGTATGACCCAGATTGGACCAGGCGGTGATGTTGGATGCGCCGTCTTCGCGGTAGCGGTGCTCGTTGCCGTGGTACTAGCCCCCTTCCGTCTCTCACTCATTAGAGCCGCTAACTTGGCCTCACAATACTCCCTCTCCCACTCATAAAACTTGTCCCATGTATTGCGGAATATCTCCAAACAGACACTACAATGAGGCTTTATTTTCTCGCCGTCACTAGTTGTCTCCAGGTTATAGGTTTTGCTCATAACACTAATAGTGTCAAAGTTCGTGCCCGAGGTATGCTTGTTGGTAGATATGATGTGTATCGAAGGTACGAACGAGATCGCTTCACTTACAGCATCGGATATTTCAAACTCTGCAGAAGAAGACTTGGAAGACTCTTCCTCCTCTTCGCGTAGATGCTGATATGAATCACATACAATGGTGTTGTGGTTCATGAGTTATTCAGACTCTTTTAGACGCATGCGAGGTACATGGACGGTAGTTGTGTACCGTATCACGACCACAGCGGAGATGGAAACAGAGGTAGAGGCTCCCGAGGGAATTCGAGGGATTGCACTAAGTGTCACGTGAAGGCCTAGTGACTCTCACACAATCTCTTAGTCGTACCCGCCTTGCGCTCACGTGTTGAACGGATCCTAAACCTGGCTTGTTACCTCGTAGTTGTCTCTCGTACACATAATGCAGCACCCCCTTGGAATACTCACCTAGAGGTCTTATCTCGCCTCCCCTCACATAGACGCTGGGTGTGGTCCAGCGTCTATGCTAAAGGGGGAATACCAAGTATTAGATAGTACACTCAAAAATCTCTTTCAATGCATGCCTTGATTGGAAATTCTGTAGAATATTCTAGACTTATCCTGTCTCCTTATGGTCAGAGCAATCGGTGGAGGCCCAGCAATTCTTCGAGTGCGAGATGAAATAGAGGTTGCTGCAGGGGTCGGCGGTGCCATTGGAAAAGGGGCAGGGATCCGCCTCTGGTATTTTTGATTGGGCGGCGGCAGCATCGACTGTTGCTTTAACTCTAACCCTGTAGTAGAAAGGACGGTCATCCCTGCCATGGTCTTTTCCTTCAGAGGACGAGATGACGATAACATCCACATGCATATCTACTATAGTGAATGGAGGGACATCACAGAGAATTGAGTGTGCCATTGGTGAGCTTGTACTGGCTGGTCAAGCGATATGAGGTGCATACGTACCATCTTCAGTTGTCTTTGCCCCTCCCTTCGAGCTCGTGTAGCCAAACCTATATGTAGCTGCTGCTGCGTCTCTCTCGTCGACCTTGTGCTCCTTGCGCAGGCCACGGAGACCTTTGTTGTTGAATTTGGGTCTCAGGAGCAGAACTCGACAGGGCGGAGGTATCATCAAGGTCCCCGTCGTAGTACTCAAGCACTCCTTCTGAATCAGACGAGTCGGACGATTCTTTTTCTTTGTAAATTGTTGGTATCAGGTGTCATTGAACAAAGAAATTTGATTCATTGATAATAAGTGTAAGTAGAGCATTCAGAATGTAATGGGACATACTGCATACCTGCGAGCAGCACTTCCCATTCCGGCCCAGGTTCTGTCTTGATTCTACCGCATTGGTATATATGAGACATGGGAAAAGGACACCCAATGGTAAATTAAACATTTCCAGTGCTTCAGCCAGAGGTTACTGGCACAAACCGCAGCGAGACGACACTGACGAGCAATGACCAGAAACAGACCTGGTCACCAGCACTTGAGCATGGTCTGGGCAGCCCAGATTGAAACTCCGTTCCGTTCCATTGTTGGGACTCATTACTAAGTAAAGTATCGTAGCCACAGTGTGGCCATGAGTTGCTAATATAATATTTCAAGGTATATAAAATTTTCCTACCGTAGCAGCCTTCACCCTTGAAACACCATCATGTGTCTTGAAACAAACTGACGAGGTGTTCTTTGGCTTCATCTTGCTGGCATTGCTTCGATGGGTTCGGAGTAGCCATGGGACGGCAGGCCGCCCCATAGCTGTGATTGCGAACGCATTCGAAACACCCGTCCTGTGAGGAGTATACCAACACTCCACTTGGAATTCCATATGTTTTGATCCCTACAGTGACTCAAAAAACCCTTTCTATGTTGGTCACTTTTGCACAAAACACTGAATAACGGAGGAACCACTGAGAATGGTAGCTCAAAGTCAGTGTAGCGTTTGTAGTGCCCCTTCTCAGCTAAGTGACAAATCTTAATTCAAGTCAATCGGATAAGTCTAGAATATTCTACAGAATTTCTAATCAAGGGATGCATTGAAAGGGTTTTTTGAGTGTGGTTTCTGAATGCCTTGTTCCTGGCTATTACTCATCATAAAGTCTCAGTATCATCAGGATGACACATATGATGTCATCCATTACTCATCCAGGCACAACCGGCACTATATATAAGCTCTATCAGTTGTTCATCTTCCCTACAACAATGAAGTCCATTCCCAACTCCCTTCGCACCGATATCACCTCTGCCCTTCTTAATACCAGCCATTCTCAGGCCAAGATTGCTCTCAAGTTGGGTTGTAGTGCAGCTACTGTCTCTAGGGTAGCTCGCCAGGTATTTCCTAACAAGGAAAACCTGGTGGGTGGACGTCCTAAGAAGCTCACTATGGCTGATGAGAGGGCAATCATCAGCCAAATCAACTCTGGAAAAGCTGAGAATGCTGTTCAGGTCACCAAAAACTTGAACAAAGTCCTCAGTGACCCTGTCTCCATACAAACTGTGTGCAATGTCCTCAAGAAAAACGATATGAAGGCTGTGGTGAAGAAGAAAAAACCCTTTCTATCGGTCAAACATCGGAAAGCACGTCTTGCTTGGGCTTTGAAGTACAGGAATTGGACAGTGGAGGACTTCAAGAGGGTATTGTGGTCAGATGAAACTAAAATCAACAGATTTGGGTCAGATGGTAGGAAATGGGTGTGGAAACAGAAGGGGGGCACCTTTGCAGGATCGGGAGGTTGAAGGAACTGTCAAGCATGGGGGTGGAAATATTATGGTCTGGGGGGTGATGGAATGGAATGGGGTGGGGAGAATGGTTGAGGTTGAGGGGAGGATGGATGCCCAGCAATATGTGGACATTCTAGCTAATGGTCTCCTTCCCACCATTGAGGAGTGCAACATTCCTGCAGAGGATGTGATCTTTCAGCAGGATAACGACCCCAAGCACACCTCAAAATTGGCACAGAAGTGGTTTGAGGATCAAGGGATTGTGGTCATGGATTGGCCTGCCCAGTCTCCTGATATTAATCCCATTGAACACCTCTGGGAGCACATCAAACGGCAACTCAACACCTACAGTACACCATCTAGAGGAGTACATGAATTATGGGAGAGGGTTGCAGAGGTATGGGATGGGATTGATGTGGAGGTATGCCAGAACCTTATATCAAGCCTTCCCAGGAGGATTGAGGCCGTTATCAAGGCCAAAGGGGGGAATACCAAGTATTAGATAGTACACTCAAAAAACCCTTTCAATGCATCCCTTGATTAGAAATTCTGTAGAATATTCTAGACTTATCCGATTGACTTGAATCAAGATTTGTCACTTAGCTGAGAAGGGGCACTACAAACACTACACTGACTCTGAGCTACCATTCTCAGTAGTTCCTCCGTTATTCAGTGTTTTGTGCAAAAGTGACCAACATAGAAAGGGTTTTTTGAGTCACTGTATTTGGTGCATTTCTTAGGGTTAGGTGCTTTATTGGCTTTCTGGGCCATTTTAAATGGGCTTGGAGTAGCTATGGGACGGCAGGCCGCCCCATAGCTGTAATTGCGAATGCTTTCGAAACCTCCATCCTGTGAGGAGTATGCCAACACTCCACTTGGAATTCCATGTCGGGTGCTTTATTGGCTTTCTGGGCCAATTGAAATGGGCTTGGAGTAGCCATGGGACGGCAGGTCGCCCCATAGGCGTAATTGCCAATGCCTTCGAAACCCCCATCCTGTGAGGAGTATACCAACACTCCACTTGGAATTTCTTGTGTTTTGATTCCTATTTGGTGCACTTCATAGTACTGATTGGGTGCTTTATTGGCTTTCTGAGCCAATTTAAATCGGCTCAGAGTAGCCATGGGACTGCAGGTCACCCTATAACTGTGAATGCAGGTATGGGGTCTTTCTGGCCGTTATGGTCACTTTCCGTGTTCCTTTTCGCTTTTGCTTGATTTCCCGTGTTGTATAGCCCACTTGAGATGACACATACTCATTTGGCACAGAGCATAGGTGGTGAAGGATGGTCAGCGGCAAGTCGGTAGCCAACTGGGTGTCTGATGCAAGGTAGATGACGTGGGAGACATATTGTCTTCTTCTGGCATGAGTAATAGATAGCTTGAAAGAGGAAGTGCGCAAGTAAGAAGCAAAACGAGAACATGTGATACGTATCAGGATTCTATCCATCAAGACACATTAGTGACACACCAAGGAGAAGCTTTGCTTGCTAGAGCTCCAGAGATGACAAACAAAATGTGGGCATGGTGAATGTGTTTGGTAAGGCTGACTGTCAATGACACTTGATCTTGGCGACAGATCAGGTTGTGAGGTGGGTATCCTGACACTCAACCCAATTCCCTGGTTTTGTCATCTCTATTTGGTGCATTTCAGTATTGTTGAGGTGGGCGCTGAGTAGCTGGCTGTTGATCTTGAGTTGAAGCGTCAATGAGTCAATTTTGACGTTATAAATGTTATCCTTGGCCATAAAGCGAGAGTTTTCTTGAATGCCAATTGGCAAGCCCACTGGCGGTGATTTACTCTTGTGATTTCTACCAATCACTTTGACTGATCAGCAAGTGGTGTTCTTTTGAAACAACATTTGTGCATACTTTGTTGCACTTGCATCTTTTTCTTCGCTTTTATGTGGCATTTCTTTGTTTTGTTCACAATCCCTTCTTGATTGCAATCCATCGCTGCAAGCACCCACTCAGATTAGATACACATTGCCATCAAATGTCAATGTGGCATCTGTAGTGTGCAATCCACGTGTACCCATTCGGTGCGGAAGCCACAGTGTATATTTGATTTTCCTTGAACTTGTGGCCAATTACAAAGGCTTGAAATAACAGTATGAGCCATTTATGACTTTAGACATCTATATCTTGGCTTACTAATGGGCATTTTAGGGTGAAGTCAGGGAGGGGGAGAGGCAGATGGTTTGTGTGACAATATGGATTAAAGGCTGGGCAAGCTTTAATGTGTGCAAGTGTTGTATTGGTGATCATGATAGGGGAGGGCAGCAAGGGAAGTAGTATATGGTGTCAACATATACTGTATTCCCATTATTGCAAGGCAGGGGATAAGGAATGCATAGGAGGAAGTGGGGCAAGAGATCATGAGTTTATTGCTTCTGGGGCTCAGCCATTTGTGCTGCCCATCCATTAACTCGAAAGGGTGTGTTCAACATGTATAGAAGAAGTTTAGGGCTATATAGCGTACCGGGGACATCCTGGCCGTATATCACTTTGCCTCCTAGTTTAGCCTTCTGTTGTGTGCACACGGTGATGGTGGCATGGAGATACACAGTGTAGGACCATGATCTTGGTGCCTACCAGGACAGCTTTGCCAGACATACCTATGATGCTCTCGCGTGCGGCACAGTGCAATGCAGCATGCACATATACTGCTACCACCCCTCCCTGCATGAATGATCATGCTTGAGACGGGCATCGGACGTCGTTGGCTAGTGAATTCCACGTCGCGTAGCCCCAGCGCATACCTCATGTGCTCACCCTTTCGCGTTTGTCGTTCCCCGTTTTCTGTTTTCCCGGTTCAGCTGTTCGCATGCTGCCCTGCGTCCGCGCCCTGCGGCTCTTTCGGTTGCGTGTAAACGGATGGCTGGATGGCGACATGGCGTGCACTCTGGTCGGATAGAGGGTAAGTGGGATAATGAGGATGATATATCCAACTTTTATAATGCACTGTCATAACGGTCTATTCTTCTATTCTAAGAATGCATCACAGATGAATTCAAGGGTGTGGGGTAGATGAATGGTGTGAGAGGGCATGACTCTCAGGATAATGCGGTGAGGAACAGATTGGCCCTGTTGAGGCGTGTTATGGCAGCAGATGTGAAGAGGTGACGGCAACATACTGGCCGCCCAATTGTTGCTACTGTGCCCCGTGGGGTCTAAAGAAGATACATGTATAATCAGAGATTGCTAACATTTCCTTTGGAATGTTGGAATAGAAAAACCATGATATACTGATACACTACTGCTCGTGAGCTTCCTCGACTGAATGATCATAAGTGTGTACAGCTCGTTCGATATCCTCGCACAGTCGGACGATATGCCGGTATTGACGCTCCACGTTGGTTTGGATACCAATACGTTGAGCGTGCAAGTCTGCTTCCGTCAGCGTTGCGCGTATCCTGTCTGTAGCCATTCGAAGTGGTTCGATGCATGAGCCGTCAGCAAGGGAATGCAATGGGAACTGTTCGCATCGACCCAAGACAGTCCCCGTAGCGTGTTCGACGCTAGTGAAAATCCAATATTTATTTGCGACACTGTCCACTGGATTGCTTTCTCTAATCGCGTGGTATGATTGACCGACGACACCGGCTACTGCTGACGCCTCTGTGTAAAGATAAGCCAAGTTCTAGACGGAAACGGTGTACGTACGTTTGTAATGTACAAGTTCGAATTTATCCACCCACCGACATTGGATATAGTCGTTGTCGATGGTCTTGTCGAGCCACCGCTCTGCAATTGCAGATAATAGGACCGGGTTATTGAATGGTTCGCCAATATTCCTGTTGCTAGCGTCGGAAATACGATGGAGGCGAGAGATTTCTCCGCCCATAACCAGCTTGATACCATGTTCGTGATATAAACACCAAGTAATGTCTAGTGGTTGAGATCTCAACAGGACTGCGAGATGTACAGTGCAAGTACGTACTGATGATTCCACGCCCAATCTTTACGACATCTTCGTCTTCCAAAAGACCTCGAAGACGCGGGGGAAACGCTGAGCGATTCGTCAATACTATATTTGTAACCCTTGCTATAATAACGTACCACCCATGAGCTTGATATCGAATGTGTATACGGACTCGCCATGGCATATAGAAACTAGACGTATGTTGTTTGTATGAGTCAACGTGATGGATATGCCGACGGTGTCCCCTTCTTTAGGAATATCTGGATAGATGTCGTCGAGATGTTTGATAGCCGCATCATTGTCTTGAAGGATGACTACTTGAGGGTACCAGAGCTCGTAAAGGGGGTGCGACCGTATACGAGCCATGATCGTGCGCGAGCTCTATTGATGGGTGCATTTGTAACTATTCGAAAGTGACTCGTAGTATTTGTAGTGTTTCGGAGTTGATTGAATGTGGCAAGTAGGGAACAGGCTCCCGAATGTAGATCCGTATGATATCGCTAGCAACCACAGTAAGGTTAGTCCGATATAGCTACGGAATCCTCCGTACATCAATGTCAGATAGTACTCTATGTGGAGAAACTTTAGCGTGGTTGATAGATGCAGACGTAGAGTATATATACAGGCTAAATAACCGACCATTCACCGAAGGTGCCGAATAGCGAAATACTTCCTTGTATCTAGCTTTATCATTTGCAACACGAGGTCGTGTATCTCTCAGAGTTGACGAAGACATGTCGTATTTGTATACACTCGTCTTTCCATAAACCGTTCCGACGTCCGTGCCATCCAGTGGACACCACTGGAGCAGATTTGGTGTTGTACTCGACGGAAACCGATACAGCGTCGAGACTTCTTTCGCTTGGACACTGTCTTGAGACCGTCTGAGTCGACCGGAGCCATAGACTGGCGAGCTTTGTTACGACTAATCTTTGGTCGTATTTGCCTATTATGGTATGCTTATGTCATGTCGCACGCTTCGGATTGGGTTCCCGGCGCTTAAGCAGGGTGAAATCACCCTGCTTAAGCGCCCAACAACAAGGTAAGGGGTTGGGTACGTCATGGCTGCAGGCACCAGACTTGGCCTCGAATCGGGGCTCGTTGATCTCTAGCGTGCGAGAGAAACTGGGACCTCGCTATTGTGGTGAAAACTGAATGTTATCTTTACGTAGAAGAAATGTAAATGGACTCGAAGGATTGAAACGACGAGGCGGACGCACATAGCCCCCAATCTAGCGGATCCGTATTAACCACATGTCATCCAGTCTTCTCTCGCCGTCGTCGTGTGACCAGCTGGTCTGCTGGGCATCCTTGATAACGAGCAACTTCCTCGGTCCGCTCCCGATGACGCGTGGGTGCTCGGCTTCTACGACCGGGGATACAACGCCGTCAGAGCGAGTGTCACCAAGTTGCCTCGAAGGAATGATGCTGATTTTACAAGCTCGCAGCACGTAGAGGGAGATTGCAGCGTTTGCAATACAGAAGCCGGTGCAGGCCTTGATTACTTGGAAGTGGGATGGACGTAAGTTGCTCCATCGTTGTCGTTTGGCATTTCCATAATGACGTCCGCTCTTGTTACTTGGCCCATTCCCATTGCCCTCGTAGTACCCAACCTTCTCGTTGCCTCGCTAACCAACCAACTAATCCATCGTCTTTGACAGGCCGCAGCCGCAGACACCCACTGGCGTTGTCCGCCCTTGCTGCACAGTAAGTGGAGAAGTCATCCACTCCCGTGCTTGCCTTTCATCGTATGTCGGTTTCGTTGCCACAGCGTGGCCGCTGGATGCGGTGGGGGAAAGCAGTAGGGCTCCCGCACTATCGCGCCTCCAACTTCGCCGTTTGACGCTGGACGACACAGGAACATTTAGGGCGGTGAGGTTGGCGATCTAACGGATGTAGAGTAGACGGCCCTTCCTTGAAGCAAGCACGGAGATAACTACACTGACGTGTCCTTCAGATGAGGGAGTCGTGGTAGACGAGGCGCGCCGTCGTTCGCCGGTCATGGGTACACAAGAGCTCGGGTGGCTCTCGGTCAACGACGATCTTGCTGGTTCATTCGTATTTGTCGATTAGCCTTCGGGGCCGGGTTTGCGCGTGAGTCGCGCTTGAATGTGCGTCAGTTTTCGTTAACGCGTGCGACGGGTTACTTACTGAGTCTCCTTCCCAATTTTCCTCGCCCTTGGGGTTATTCGTAGCGGGTAGGCTGTGCAAGAGCGTCGAGTTGGCGACTTGAGAGCGGGGCGGGGAGGATGCCGCGTTTCGCGGACGACTGACGTCCTCCGGTCTGCTGGCCGTTTCGCGTATGTGCGAGGTGATATCTACGTTACTAGTAACAAGTATGTACGACAAAATGTAAAACTACATGTAAATATTGCTAGGCAGAGTGAGTAACGGACGTCGCGAATGAAATGAGGGTCAACTCACGATAAAACGCAAGTCGTTTTCGCTTTGATTGGGGCGCCGTGGTAGTAGAGACCGGTGCCTTCACGGACATATTGTTCGGTTACGTAGATGTGCACTGTCACCACACCACGTTTTCGTCGGTATCCCCGGAGGGTGATGTGAGGAATTTGATCCGAGTTGCTTGAATGGCGCTCGTGGCTATAGACAAGTAAGGGCAGTAGCAGGATAGGAAAACGGTAGAACTTACACGATAACCCAGCTGTTGAGCTCCTGGACGGGGTATCCTAGGCGCGCTGAAATCGCGCGCGGAATGGCTTTGGATCCCAGCCATTGCGTGACAGTTTGGATTAATCGCTCTCGGTGCTCTTTTCGATTGCAAAGGAGCTGACGTATGATTCTGAGCTGCGTCATTTGCTCGGCTGCAACTCGTTAGCGTATGTGTAGAGAGAGAGGTGGACAATACCGACGGGTTCGCGTGCTGGAACTGCAACGGTAGGCGGGCGGATTTAGCGCCGATTGAGGCGATTGAGTGTTGAATGTGTGAGATACGAGGCGTTTGGTTGTTGACGGAGTGGTAAGAGTAGATGCAGCGAGGGACGAGCGATGGGTAGGAGTTGGTGGTGGTGAGAAAACGACAAAGTCGAGAGCGCTTGCCAGGAAGCGCTCGCGCTAATACTCGCGACTCGATCATGATCGAATCGGCGTCGGGACGGAGATAGCGAACATGCGTCTGGGGAAGGATGGGTAGTGCAAGGACCCTGGTTTATGAACGTGAAGGCTTGATCCAGCGAGCCCCAAAATGTCTGAATGGATTTGGCCAAAACTGCCTGATTTGAATCCGGCCCTTCTCAACGTTCGAAGAAATATCTATTTTACGGAGGAGGGCCTGCGAGCCCCATGATTTGTCCGAATTTTGCGTTCAGGCCTCCTGAGGCTCCCAAAATGTCCGAAATTGTATGATGGGCCTCTTGTGAGCTCTCCAGAGCTAGCCAATGCCTCACGAGAACGTTGTACAACGTGTACAGGCTCACCAGCCTCCCTGCACAAGTAGCTATCATTCTATGCTTCGGGTTCATCGGAGAACGGTAACTACGTGTACACAGTAAAATAACAACGGTTGAAATTTACACGGAGATCTGGTAGGGAACAATGGGAGCGGCGAGCCCGGTGATACCTGGTGATAGCCAACAGGTCATGGATCACCACAGAGCGCGGCCTTCGACCGCCCAAAAATATCTGAAAACGGAGCAGGGTCTGACCTATTAACAAGGGTCCTGTAGTGCATCGTGCTTGACTGCTGGCTGAGATTTTTGCACTCATCGTAGATCGGATAGATGGCGATGGTTGAAGCTGGGTTACCAATAGAGTGAGCACGGTTAGGTAGTAGAGCGAATATGACACTTAGCAATGAATGCAGACAGTGAGGGGGGCGAGAGGGGCGTGTCACGTATGTGTTCTCATCATCGTCTACGTCAAGGTCTATAAGCGTGGAAGATTGAACTTTCGCGTGGCTCGTACTGTCAAAGATACGGCTTACCTGTCAGCGGAGACTCGGATGTATCTGCACGAGCGAAGGCGCAGATGGCTTGCGGATGTCCAAAGGGACCGCTGGAAACGCAGGGAGAATCGGACACGAGTATGACATCAGACGCTAGTGCATATTGACGGTGCACTCACTCGTCTGTTTCGGCGGATAGATCGATGACCCGACGAGGCGTTTGCCTCTGAAGAAAATACATGAATTTGTAGACAAAAATTGTAACTACTGCGTATATATCACTAGAATACAATCAGCGACGGTAGCGAATTGTGTGCGAAAAAAGACTTACAAAATACTGCAATCCGTTTCGGAAACAAAAGTGTTCTACGCTGCATAGATATTGCTAAACGAAAATTAGCGGCGGTATGAATATAGACCGTAAACCTGCTCACCGAGCGATGCAATCGGTGTCGGCGACGATAGGCCCTCCGGTGGGGTAGATGCCGGAGCCCTGGCGGACATATAGATCGTCTACGTAGATGTGGACGGTTGCGACGGCCGTGTGTTGTCGGTAGCCGCGTAGCGTGATGTGAGGAACGGGGTCGCTGATGCTGCAATGTCGCGATTGGCTGTGGATGGTTAGATGACGATTGAGAATGCGGGGAATGGTGGGCACTGACACGATTACCCATCGGTCTAGCGTGTGCACCGGGAATCCCAACCGACAAGAGACGGCACGTTGAATCCCGGGCGATCGTAGCCATGATTTCGTCGCTTTGATCAGGCGCTTACGCGTAGCTCGTTGAGTCGACAGGATGTCGCGAATGATGCGTAGTTGTGTCATCAGAGTGTTGGTGAAGTTGAAGCGTTGGCGGCGACGATGGTGGTAGAGTGCGTGATGCGCTGTTGAATTTGAGAGTGAACGTTTGACGGCGAGGAGCGAGCGGAAAGACGCAGAGTCAACGCTAAGCAAAGGTCAAGCGCCCGTTTCGATCATGATCGAAGTGAAGGGCGGCGAGATCGAGATCGGCGGTGGCGCTGACTGCGGGGCTGGACGGAGAATGCTTCTTCGTTTACGGTGTCGGGATGGGGTTGGGAATGGGTCAGTTAGAACTTAATTTGTGTGCTTATTGACGGGCAGCGAGTGAGCAGCTGACGGGGCGACTGCTGGGCGGTTAGCATTTATGTATACAAGGGTGAGTACCAGACAATGTCCGCTTGATACAATAAAATGGCGGTAAATTTTTACCAATGGTTTCAATGCAACAAAAGATTGTTCTATATATCTATGCATGTAAGTGAAGTACTATATAATGTTCGCAAAAATCAAGAGTATCCAAATATGCCACAGTCATGTTAACTAAGGGATTATAGTCAGTAGGGTGTGCTACAGGAAAAAGTGTGTCAACTCACCAGGATATGGGAGATGAAGCTCGAGGCAAGATTGTCGCTGGCATCGCACACGACATCGCCATCGCTGTTCTTTCGTTTCAGCGTCAACACCCATTTTGTGCTCGGCTTCATCCTTGCTGCATCGTCCTCCAACTCCTCTTCACGTCTCTGTACGTATGTGATGCCATCATAGTTCCACTGATCGCCCCCATACCGCGATTTGTCCCACTGGCTAGGCCTTGGCCAATACGATCGTAACGCGGTCTCGGCGCCACCAAAATAAAACGCTCCAACCAGTGTGTCGCTGACATTGTCGGAGAGGGAGTCGTCAAAGTAGTGAGCGGAGCCATCGATGGCGACAAGCTGGTCAGCATAGACGGGACCAGAGAAAACATCCTCGTCAGGGACTACTCGCAACGCGAGGAGGCCAAGTATTCCCGCTCGTAGACGAGCGGCACGACCAACCGGCGTCCTGAGCAATCCGTCGCGGATGCGCACATAGGAATAATAACACTGTCGAGGTTCCTCCTTGGCTTGGGATCGTATCTGAAGCAACGGGTTCCCGACGTCGGGTTTGGCCAAGAGCGGGGGGCTACCTGGCTCCCTCTTGATGACTGTCCGAAACGGGATACCAGCTTGCAAGAGCTCCCTCGCGCAGGAAACCAGGTCACTCGAGGTACTAGTGTGGTACACGTAGAGTACCGCAGTGGCATTGAAAAGGGCGAGCGACCAAAATGCGGGCTTCAAAGAATCAGGGGGGGAGCCGAGGAGGTATATCGGACAGGAGTTGGGCGACCACGCCTTTCTCAATGTGAATCCCGAGTGCTTAGTGACGAGAGGTGAAGAGGGATGCAGGTCCCAGCGAGATGGGAGGCGACTCAGTTGAACTGCAGGATTGATAAGGGTGTTGTGCCAGTCGACTGCAGCCGCAGTCACATCTGATGCAATACGACCATCATGCCGATATCCCAACAACTGTTGAGCAATCGGCGAATCGGGGGGCAACGCAGAGGGGGTGTATAACGATTCGTCTACGAGGCCCCCGTTCAAATCGTATCCATGTCGCTGTCGGAGGTACGACTCGAGGGAGAGTATAGGACGTGCATCGGGAATGGGCACGTCTGCTTGTGATACGGCAGAGGATGAAGGAGGGGGAGAAGCCGTGGGTGACATGGGCTCGTCAAGCGTTTCAGCGGTTATTGAACTTGTATCCTCCGCAGGAGTAGGGCTTTGGGTGCCTGGGACGGGACTTGCATCTTTATCGGGGAAAAAATAAGCGTTGGCGTCGTATTGCGCAAGCGAACACACAACGGCTCCTGGAGGAGTCGGCGCGGTGAATGGAACGAGGTCCCATTCGCGTGTGCACGGCCAGTAAAATCTGCAGACCGGACGATAGTCAGGCCAGTGGTCCCCTACCGATAGGTCTGGGACTATATGGCGCTGATACGTGCCCAAGGCGCGGTGGTAGCGCCAAACGTGTAGCCTGGTGCCCGTGACGTGGCCGATCTGCTGGACCTTTTCCAGGAGGAGTGCAGTGTGCTCAGGTGTGCCTGGGGTATCGTCAATACGTGCCCAAGCCGAGATTTCCTTTTCAAGATATAACTCGCAATGTTTTTTCCACACATATGGGATGTATTCTTCGTCCTCATCCTCGCCTTGGAAACAGTATTCGGGGGGGGATGTCCAATCGGGGGGGTCTTGTGGATAGTTGACAGGTTGAACCCCGCTGGGCGGAAGGGGGTTAGACGGAGCCTCGTCGCCATGGCTGGCCAAGACTTCTGCAAGTACGACCGCACCAATTCGCATGCCGATCGGTCTGAGCTTGGCTGCGGAAAGGATGTGAGCGGGGGGGTAGTACGTGGTTCGCATCGCAGGGTCGAGGACGAGACTATGGCGTTCTCTGCCCCATAGCAGCCATATGGAGACGTCAGCCCGGGCCAAGCGGGCAAACGAATGCCCCCAGAAAGTGCGGTAAGGGTCGACGAAGCCACCAACGCGAAGGCCAGGGCCAAATCTGCATAGGACCGACATGTAGATTAGCTGCCATTGGGGAAGGTCAATCCCCAAAGGGCTTTTGAGAATCTCCGCCTGAGCTTCCGCTAGGGGGTCCAGAGCATCGCGGCCGTACCAAAGTGCGAGCGTGAACGAGACATAGGCGGAGAGTAATTTGAAGGCGTGGACGGTTTCAACGCAAGCTTTGTAGACTTGATCACGGGGGCCGATGTCCCTGTAGCCACACACACTGGGCATGGTTATGTGCAACGCAGGGCCATATACCCGGTGTCGTGAACAATAAGCCAGGAAGAGGTGGTCCCCGATTCCCTTCAGCAAGAGCTCGAGGCGCTCCCAATCCTGCCTAACCTCTTCAGCCAGGGCGTATGTACCTCTAGGTGTTTTGTATATATGGTCCAACAACTCCTCCCCGGAGACGCTGACGAATTTGAACAGAGTCCCCATGTCGAGTGTTTCGAGGGGATACAATGCATAGTAAATTCGGTCGTCCGTCAAGAGACGGGGATGCCGCAAAGTCGGCGTGCGGTTCTGGGCACTGGTAAGTTGGATTGATCTCGGAAGCCCAGACGAATTAACATCGACGACAAGGCCGTGTTCAGGATGCCAATAAGAAACGACGAGTTTGTCAGGTATGTAGTTTGGGGGGGGAGATGGAGGTCGCTGCCGTGAAATACGGGAAGGGCCTGCACGCGGAGACTGGGATCGTCGTCGGCGATAGGGCCGGTACGTATCAGGATGATCCCGATGACGATCCATCGGACGGTACGAATCGTAAGCGGGCCGGCGTGGAGGGGGCGAACGCGAACGCGAACGACGAGTTGGATAACGCGATGACGATGGGCGTGGTCCAGCGGAGGAACGGGGTTCAGTAGGTCGTGTCCCGGACGAAGACTGACCATGTCGTTGGTTGGATTGCATGATCGGAGGTGGCAGAAATACTACAGCTCCCGCTGTAAAATCTCTCCACTTATTGTTGTTCTCGAATGAATACGGGGGTGGATCGTCAAGCTCCCGCCTGAACGATCAATTTCAATAATCGATATTAATCTGTGAAAATGAGCGAGTGGTAGTCCGACGGGCAAGCAGACACCTACCAGTAGGACGGACGATGGTGGAAGTGCACGCGTAAGCAGGGTCAACATCAATAAACAGAGTGTGATTCAAACAGCGGAGTTTGAACTTAGTATAGGGTGACACAGGGGCAATCAGGGAGTGAGGGAGTTTCTTCAAAGATATCATAATTTGTAACTACTTCCAGTACGAAGCAATTGCAATATCAACAGATTTGCAGAATTGTTCAAGTCTAGATAATTTTTCGGTTGCCCAGTTGTGCTGTCCTCGGCTGTTCATGTATTCATCAGCGCACCTCACAGTCTTTCTGATCTCCTCAACTGATTTTGCGATCTGATTGATGTGACGTGGGTCATGTACCGCGTAAGGGGCATAGTCAGGTCGTAATCCATCTGGGCGGCCGGTATTATGGTCGATATCGTCGAAGATCCAAAAAGAGCGCTCGATTGCGTCGAGAAGTGGAACATCCTGCATTTTCCAATATAGGGTAAGAGTAGCAGATGCCTTCACCGCGAAGTCTGCAGGCTGTATGAGTGGCATAGATACGAATAGTGGACACCAGCATACAGTGGTAGTCGACAAGCCCAACAGGCGACAAGGCGTTGTCGGCGTATTGATCATCTTCGATGGTCAGGTTGAGCCAAACTTCGCAAGCGTGCTTCAAGGAGATAGAGTCGCCAAAGGGTACACCTTTGGCCGCTCCGCTAGAATCGAAGACCCGGTGTAGACGGGATATCTCGCCGGCACCTCTCAGACGGACCGCGTGCGTACGATATAAAGCTCTAGCACAGTCTGCCAAAAATCAGCTGCACTGACAAGCAGTATTCTAATGATGAACCCACCGTATACATCGACGCCAATCTTTACATAGTCGACTTCACCAAGAAAGGCGCGTAAGGCGTCGGGAAAGGCTGCTTAGTTGATCAGCACGTAGATGCATGGATATATGCGTGTAAACGGACTAGCCACGCGTGTCACATCAAAGACTGACACAGCCCTCAAAGTGGCGATGGAGATCACTCGAACTCGACCGGTGATTGCAACGGCGATGGCGATCCCAAACGGCAGTCCAGGGCGTGCTGTGGCCACCAAATCGTCGACAGCGGCATTGATTGTATCCTCTGTATCGTAGACTAATATCTCGCTACGATAGAGGTCGTAGCTTTCAAACGATGGCACAGTAGGCTTCGAGGACATGACAGTCAGGCAAGAGGGGGGTGGGGATCAACGTTAACCTACCACGTATTTATATGCGGTATTATTGAGCGCACAGACCATACAGAGGATGACGATTCATTGAAAAGGCAAGATATACAATAACGCATACAGGCGCAAGTGAGCAATGTAATCTACTATGCGATATTTGATCGATATGTAGCCAGAGCCGAAGAGACGGCTTGATAAAACGCTACTGTCGCTGGTACGTTGATCGAACTCCAAGACTGCGAACCACCCATCTCCAAATCAGCAGACGACAGTACATATTCGAGCCTATTGATATGCCCAGTAACAACGTTGACTAGCTGTGGGCTCTTGGCCGCATATGCCGGGTGATCATCACGTAAACCCAACCGTGTGTTCGTAAAGTGGTCTATGTCCTCGAAGATCCAGTACGAAGCACGGACAGTAGCCAACTGGGGGACTAGCATCATGGCTTGATAAATTTTGAAACCAGCTACTGCGTCGAGGGCGGCGTCTAGGATAAGGATATCAGTGTCATTGCCATTGAAATTCGTGATGGTCACGAAACACCTACATACATCGGTATTGATTGATAGTCAGCTGCGAGCCCCAATCACTATTTTGAAGGCTTTTATCGAGTTCGAGGTCCAACCAAACAGAAGTGAGAGTGGCGAGGGCGACATTCTGCTTGAATGGCACATTGGCAAGGGCACCAGACATATCGTGGATGCGATGCAGGCGCGAGAGTTCCCCACCACCACGGAGAGTGACTGCGTTGGAACGGTAGAGGATGCGGGCGTCGCCTTTTGGTAGCATATATTGAGCTATGATTACCAGGAGGCTTGGCTATAAACTCACCATAGGTGTCCACGCCCATCTTGACGAGATTGGCATCCTTGAGGAAATCCTGGAGAGCTGCTGGAAATTCTGAGAGATGGATGAGATGGGTGGAAACAGACGAGTGACGCATATATACTCACCGCCAATGGCAAAAAGGTCGAACACATAGACGTGGAGGGGGGTAGCCAGTTGAACGAGCCTGACACGGTGATCGCTCGCGTGCTCAATGTCGAACCCAAAGAATCGGGATGCTTGAGCAGCATCGTTGAGATGGCCGAGAGCGTTGGCGACACCGTCGAGATGACTGACGACAGTGAGGGCGTCATCAGCAACACTAAGAAAGGTGGGGGCGGGGTTCAGCAGGGTCATGGGCATGGTTTTGTGAGGAAAGATGGGGAGCAGAAAAGATGCGTGTCGGCTTCCTTTATGCGACACGGGTACGCACAGACCCTAAATGTGTCAAGACCATTGTGGATATATATATGCCAAATTAAGAAAGACGGCGCATGTTAGGGGCTTTCGATATACTGGCGAGAGTGGGTCAACCGGGCTGGGCAGATCGCCGTCTAAATCGAGGCCACGCAAGCATGATGGTCCCGTTGCAGTTGCGATCATTGGGTTCCCGTCTGACGATCCACTTGAACGAAGGAATGAAGAGATGCTGGGAAACATTCGAGGTTCTCAGACGCAGTATTAGGCAGTGTGATTATATATATATATATATATATGTGTGTGTGTGTATAGCTATGTACAATATTCTAAAACAAACGGCAAAACATACTCTACATCCAAGTTCAAGTCTGAGTCACCAAGGTCGACCGATTCTGAAGAACTATTCAACATTGGTTCGTACCCCTTGGTCTCGGGGATCTTGGACAGCCGCGTATGCGCGCCAGTCAGCAATGAGTCCGGAGACCAGCTAAGCAATCTGATATATACAGAGCAGACGTGGCGCAGGTACAACACGTAAATGTCCTCGTAAAAGTCAAGTGGACGTCCGTTGGAGTCCTTGAATCGGTGCGCATCCGAAGCTTGGATTTGTTGAATGAGCGCTAGCGAGCTGGTCGAAGCAACGACGAGATCATCATTAAAGGATTTGTCGTCCTTGAAGATGGCCGGTAGGAGGCGACCGACGACACAGACGACGAGCGTATCCTTTATACCTTCCGTCGTTTTCATGTCCGCGAACTGCGAACGGAATCTCGCTTTTTTTGGAAGGATGAGATGGGAATTAGGAGGAACGAGAACAAACTTACCAGGAATAGCGTCAAGCGTGAAACATGCAGCCCTGAAGGCAGCGACCAGCCTGCGGATGATAGACGCGGCGCATTGATTGTGGTCCGTGTTCGTGGAGAGCGGTATACACGCGGAGTGAACGAAGCTGAACATGTGGCGTCGTATACTGCGCCCTTGGTAAAAATGACGCCCCATAAAGACAGTAGAGTCGTCAAGCGTCACGACCATATGCGGGCAGCCTCCAGGCATCACCCTAAGCAATGGTCAGCAAAATAGGGTACGTAAAACACTGAAGAATTCTTACAAGGCGGCTCCAGGCTCCAAAATGGCGTAGTCCACTTCGTATTCCTCGGAATCCAGAACGTTATCGTCCAAAAGGCCGGGGTTAATTTGCCAGTCGATTGGCCGCGTGCCGAAAGTATCCCCTTTACACCGAAAGACAGCCCACAACTTTCGACCGTACGTGGACATGGCGAGGGTGCCAAACCCATTGGTGTCCATATGTAGATGGTGCCATGACCAAGGCGTCGTGGCAATGGTCCACTGAAGGGACGTCATGTCTGCAGATTGCCGTGCCTGGTGAACATCCCACGTCATGGGGTAGCAGGCGCGGTCAAGCGTGTCGTCGTGGACAAGTGGTACGTCCGCTGCAATAGGACCAGGAATGTCGAGGAAGTTGAGGGATTTCGCGTCGGGGGACTGGGATATATCGATGAGCTGGGCCAACGTAGTTTCCCGGTGCTGCTCGTTGCCTTCTGCACCCATCTCAACAGATTGATCTGTGAAAAAAAAGGAATGGGGAATATAACAGGCATTTATTCGCGAAATCTTACCATGACAAATAAGAGGGGCATCGAGTGATATGCTCAAGTCTCTGACGGCCTCATCTAGTGTCTTGTGATTCGGATGAGGAACCCCCGTGACCAAGATGACCTTGGATTTCAACTCGTCGCCCAGTTGACCCGAAGACTGCCATGCCTTGTAATCGTGATAGGAGACGGGTTTTATTAGTATGCCTTCTTTTCCGGTTGTGTATGGTGGAGCTGAATCCCCATACGAGCGACGTATGCCCCTGATCAAGGCAAGGATGGACTGAACATGCGACTCATTCTAACGAATTCATAAGATGTGATATAAAGCGGAGGAACAATACGCACATGGAAGGAAGGGAGGAACTCGACGGCGCCACCACGGATATCGTACAGACTTTGAGGAGGTGCAAGGAAACGCTGGAATATAGTCAATAACGGAGTATGCTCCATTTTTACACACTTACATGCTCTTTGGATGTCCCGACAAGAGGGGGGAGAGATGGGTTCGTGACGGGAAGAACAGTCGGGGTGGTCGTTGGTTTCCTAGTCGACCTGCGTCGGACTGTGATGGAGCTGCTGGATTTGGCGGCGGGGGGGCTCAGCTGAGACTGAGGTTGGATGGTGGAGGAACGGAGGCGAGTCGTTCTTCGATGCGGAGGGCTAGGAAGACCTCTGGGTCTGAAGGTCGTCGACCGTGTCCTCTTGCTGTGTCCGCTCTCAGGCTCGATGGCGGGGGACCGTCCCCTTTTCAACTTTCGAGGCGGGATGATTATCCGCAACGGTGCGGAATTGGGATCCCCACCACTGCGGCCAGCACCACTCGTATCAAGATCTTCGTCGTCGTCAACACCACTTGGCTCGCCGGCCTCGTCTGCAGTAGGCGGGTTGTTCGTATCACCACCCTCATCTAAGCCATGGCCGCCCGTGTCTCGACCAGCCGACGGTTCTACGGGATGGTTCTCAACATACATATCGTTGTCGCTGACGTTGTCGACGGCGCGTGTGTCCTGCTGAGGTCCCAGGGTATCATTCCGGCGGACATCAGCATCAGAGTCGTCGCCGTCGTTGTTTTGATCGCGCGATTGTTCAGCGGTGGGGCTATCGACTCGCATGGGCGGGTCAGCTGCTGGAGGCGGGGTGATGCTCCGACGCCCATCCTGGCCGCCATCTGGTCCGTTCTCCTCGTCGGCATTTGCCTTGCCACCTGGTTGGGGGTTTTCCGATGGTGGTTGGCCATCGCCATCGACATCCATGGGCGGGTCAGCTGCTGGAGGCGGTGTGCCATTGTGGGCGGGGGAGGCAGTAGGACGGGGTTTGGATGGCCCGGGTTTCGACGAGAGAGGACCGTCCGCCGGTGGTGTTGAAGAGCGGAGGAGGGGTTCAAGCTGGACGAAGAAGCTCGCGGCTTCGGCTTCAATCCCAAAATTGCTGTCCTTGACGGCGGGGTCAAACTGTGACAGTTGTTTCAGACGCTCGAACATCTGTTTCATAGACGAGTCGACTGAGCTTGGGCGTATGGCGATGGAATGAACCGTTCTCCATATGACGTCTTCATATGCCACGAGCTGGCTCGGCCTAGCAGAGCCAAGGTGTCTCCACATCTGTCGCGCTTGCGTTAAAATCAGAAACCATATGTGTTTGGTAGAACTTACCAGCAGGTGCGAATGTCTCGAGATACTTTTCGCCATCAAGTCCTTGGTCATGAGGAGTAAGAGGGGGGACAATGTTGCGGCGAGATGGATGGGGAGGAGGATAATACGCGGTCCATAGGTGCCGTATTGGGACTTGTATTCCAAAATGTCTGTCGGATTGAGGCCTGTAATATTGGAGACTTCGTCCCAGTACTCTGGCAGGTCCACTCCCTAAGGGGGTTGGGGTTAGAGAGTTAGTGGCTTGCCAAGTAGGTTACTTACATCCATCGAGTATTGAAGTCCCATCGCAGCGATGACGATGTTGGCAAGTATCTTGGCGTAAAGCCCTCGTTTCTTGTATTTGTTGAAAATAGAGAACAAATTGGAAACGGAGTCGTCCCCGGGGGGTATACTGTCCGCCGGGCCCTTGCCGTGCTTCTTGCGCTCGGTTTCCATTGCGCGGAGGGCCTTTCCAAGTATAGTCGACGGCCAATCGCGTAGTTTGGTGAGGGTGTCCGAGATACTCGTTGAGAACTTGATCTGGCCGTCGGGGAGACGGAAAGCGTCGCAGGGATACCTGTCAATCGCTGCGTCTCCTTCTAAGAACGCTAAAAGCGTCTGCGTCAGTATGGAGCACAAAACCAAAGAGGCCCTGTTTTCTTCGCAGGAAGGGTCGGCAACCCAAGCCCCTGCTTCCCGGTGGCTTTGGAAGAGCTGCTTCCGCAGGAGCTTGCGACGACATTCGTTCTTTCAGAGGGTGAGGAGAAGAGCAGTTGCGGATGTGGATGTTGTACTCACAGTGGATGAAATCTCGAGAATATCTAGGGGCGTGAACCAAGGCAATTGTGCCAAACCCAAAGAGTTGGCGACTGTTGTGAACGTGGCCGCGAAACTAGAAAGATCTTGGTCAGAATATATCCACCACGCGGACGTTGAGGGAGGCTTACCCTGGCTCCAAAGGGCCGCTCAGAAGAGAGAGGGGTGCTTCTTCCTGCAAGGAAAGAGAACCGATGTCCTTGCTGAGGTTCGATGACATGGTGCTGTTAGGGGTACGACAGGGGCTATCAGCGTGCAACGATTACAAGCGCCCGCAAGGGCAAAACACCCTGGTTAAGCGCCGAAACGGGGGCGTGGGATAATTCTGACAGGGTGGTTGGACTTACGAATGATTTGGTGAATTGCGGGTGGACCTGAAGAAGCTCGCGCCTTTTCAGTAAGTGTTGGTGCTAGTTGGTGACAATCGGCAGGCTCCCGCCGTACGATTGTGTATCGGTTGTGTTTGAGGCGACGTGGGAGGAAGCAAAGAGGGAAGTAGAGAGGATAGAGGGCCGCGTCAGCTGATGAGTCATGCGGCGGGACTGTATTTTCAAACTCAGCCATGTTCAACAAGACCATGTGCATCACAGGCGGGAGCCTGTGATGCGCGTCGGCGTAACGAGCGGGAGCTTGTTGCGCCGCCAATGGACTGCAGCTAGTCTCGCCAAGATATATAACGCGCGAGGTTCCGTCGCTCCCTCGGATTGAACGCGTATGTCACGTCAGCACGTCGGTGTAGCGACGGGTTCCGTCGCCAACCTCGGATGGGATGCGTGAGAGAGTGCACAGACATGTCAGAGCAAGTGAGCGACAACACGTCGACTAGACGGGAGAGCAACTGGTTCCGTCGCTCCCTCGGATTGAACGCGTATGTCACGTCAGCACGTCGGCGTAGCGAGCGGGACGCATATGTAGACGGACCGATGCGCAGCTGAGAGCACCATGTCGTTGCTGCTCAACGGAAATGTGTCTTACGGGGCCGTGGGGTCACGGCTATATAGCTGCAACGCGATGAGTTGGACGATAACGTGGGAGATCGACGACATACGTCATCATCCAAGTCAAGCTGGACGGACGACCTAAACGGGACATACGCACCGTTTAAAAGCAAGGCAGTCCAATACGCGTTGACACCCCCCCGCCGCACTCCCAACACATCGCGACTCCCCTCAGAGTCATCGCCGTCAGCATGCTCATGTACAAGTCCCCGAAGGAAAAGATGAAATATATGACCGAGATGGCTTGCAAAATCGTCATGAACGCAAAGGAACTCTGCGAAGAAAACTTGGATGCCGACGCAGACGAGATCGGAGAAGATTTGCAGTTCCTCGAAAAGGTGGTAGAGCAAATGCATTCAACATGTTGGGCGATCGTAGCAAGGATGAGGGGGGAGGCTCTTGATGAACAAATGGACGAGTCTTGGGGTACGTGATATTGGCATATATGCGCATAAACTCGGACCAACTGACTACGTCAGATGAAATATCAGACAAAGTCTCATTAATAGTGGAAAGTTCGATGGACGTTGACGATGATCCAGCGCCACGTAAACGGAAGCGGAAGGGCGATAAGGAGAATACCATCGGTCGTCTGCCAAATGGAGAGAATGGCGACAAGTCCGTTCGCAAACGGAAAGGCAAGGGGACTCAAAAGGGCAATGGAGGATGCACGGCCAAGGACGCCAACGACAACGCCAGAAATGGGGGCGGGGGTAAGGCGTCAAAGGGATCAAACGAGGCGTCAAAGAGGTCGGGTGAGGCGGCGCAGGAATCAGACACATCAGTTGATAAAGAGATACAAGCGGAACAGGAGGAGGAAGAGAACAGAGAGTACCTCTTCCAAGTGAAGGTGAGATGTCTGAACGAGGTTGTACTGAGGTGTATGGCTGAATGTACGACAGTATCGCCGCCAATATATCAAAATGAAGCTCGCCGCTGAGAATGACGTTCTGACGGTGATGTCGTTGTGGACGAGCATCAACAGGGACGCGCTCAGAGATCACAGACTGGAAGAGAACGACGCATATTGGCGGCTGCTGGCGGGCTATGGGACCCCGACTATAAAAGAGTTTGTAAGTCTGGGATTTCAGATTTGGACGTGCGTCCCCTAACGAATGGGCGAAGGATGCACACTTTGGCGCTTTCGTGGACAGCCAGGGTTCCTTTCAGGAGCAAGTCAATTGGGATAAGAGGATAGATCAATGCCCGATCGATGGTAGGATAGAGAGCAGAGACAAGGTTCGTCGCTTGAATTTAGGAAAGCAACCGTCATTTATTCTCGGGTCTAGTTGATATACAAGACAAAGGGTACACACAAGGCTCAATATGTCGTCCATAACATCCTCAGCACGATGATGCAGATCAAACAAGCTATCGATTGGAAGGGGAAAGAGACAGAGTGGAAGACCGCATACACCAACAGGAGATTCAGAGACGAATGCAAGGCAAGAATTGAAGAGATGAAATCGTTGAAGAGCCCCGACGATTATAAACAGTGGCTAGAGGCGGAGCGCAAGAAATTCAAGGATCGGCAGGGAAAGTCAATCACTGCCCGCAACTGGGCGCTGAGGCTGTATGCCAAGGTAAGAGGTGAACCGATAGAGTCGACAGTATTGACAGCTCGGTGTAGTTTGGGTCCATAGTATTGTTAGATCCACGGTGGAGTCCAGAATTGTATGGCAAGAGCAACAGGAGCGACACATTCGGCAAATTCCTCGATTACATGGACGATCATCCGATCTATAGAAAGACCACCTGGGAAGAAGCGGTCCGATACGACGGAAACGTCGTGGAGGTCAACGGGGACGCATACATCGACGCCTACACAGGGAGCCAAATCGAAAACAATAAGATGGTGCTCGGGGTCGTCAGATACGTAACAAAGGATGAGGAGGTAGTGGCGCATGTCAATGAATTCATCAAAAAGAAAGTCGAGTAGTGATCACGTACGACATAGATAACGGGAGGGACTACTACTACAGGCTGATACTAGTACCGGAATAGAGGCTACCGTTGATGGTGTGGTAGACAGGTCCAAGCGGTGTTTGTAATCACGATGCCCACAAAAAGCATGACCAATTAATCCTCGTCCAATACCCCCATCATCCTCACCCAAAATGTCTCCCACCAATGGTCCGTTTATGGACGAGCGCGTAAAAACACTGAACAGGCTGGCCTGCAAGGTGCTGCTGCACACCAAGGAAATGGTCGATTACGTAGAGGGGAGCGACGTAGCCGAGGGGCACAATTTAGAGTTCTTGGAAAGCGTCACCAAAGCGACAAGCATGGCACTGAGCAAGTTGTCGAAAGGCCGAGAGTGTGACGGAGAGGATGATGGGTTGTGGGGTGCGTGCAGTAATAAAGAAGCGCATATATGCGTTATAACCTGGATATGTCGCATAGGTGTTATTCGAGAGCGAGTCATCGAGATGGCGCGTGAGGGAGAGAGCGTTCAGTCGGGGAATCAGGGCAAGCGAGCGTCAGAAGAGAACGGTGGTAAAAGCAAAAAGAAAAGAAAAAATGACAAAGGCAAGGCCGACAAGCTGACGGTGAGTGCGTGTAGTGACAGATGTGCTGCACAAGTTGAGCGAGTCACAGGCGAGGTGGGAGTCGATTGGAAGATTGGTGTACGGAGAGGCTAAGCACACGCTGTCAGACCTACTGGCAGTTGTCAACAACACAATCGTGGCTTCGTATGGCACACATCGGGAGGAAGAGGATGCAGCTATCGCCAGGTTGAGCAGGGGATACAGTCGGTTCAGTCTAGAAGAGATTGTGAGTGTGTATGCACGCTGGAGAGGTGCCTGTCCAACGTTATATGTAGACAAGAAAGCTCCAAACTTCGACTCAACGATCGGCAGATTGGAGGCAGCAAATAGAATGGGACAAGGACGTTGACGGAGCTGCGGGAACAGGAAATAGGATAGAGAAGAGAGAGAAGGTATGTATGGGTTACAGTCAGTATCAATGCGTTGATACCAATAGCGTTCGCAGTATCTCATCCGAGTAAACAATGCGCTTGCTCCGACTCACATGATCAATACCATTCTCGATACAATGGTGCAGATAAAACTGGCCGCCGACTGGGCGAAGAAGGATGCCAGTTGGATAAAGCAGTACAACAACAGAATGTTTGAGTTGAGATGCGCGGAGGAAGTGAAGAGTGCCAAGGGGCTTCTAGGCGAGGGACAATTCCGCAAGTGGATGGCGGCGGCGAGGAGGAAATACGTCGAAAGGGTGAGCAAGGAGAACAGTGCAAGGGTCTGGACGATGAAGTTATACCTGGAGGTGCGAAAATCGTTACAATCTGCAAGACGGAGATCTGATTTGTGAATGTCACAGTACGGATCAATCGTGCTGTTGGATCCACTGTGGAACCCAACAGCATTTGGGCGTGGTAATCGGACACACGACTTTGGATCTTATATGAATCATCACTTGCAAACGCCCATTCTGAAGCGAGCGACTGTTGACGATATATCAAGATACCCGGGGAAATTGGTTGACAAGGAAGGAAGCAAGTGGATACCTTTTCACTACGGGAACAACAAAGATAACGACTACGTCCTCCTGGAACTCGTGCGGTTCATGACAGGGGATGACATGATCGTAATGCATATCGAGAAATTCCTTGCAGGAGACCTGATGACTACGGAATAAATTCATATTCGGGTTCACAACAGAGGAATGACATGTATGTTAATGACATGGACATAGTTAGGCAACATTATACGGGGAGGGCCAACTTTTGTTATACACGTTGCTCGTCCATGTGATAAGCAAGCGTAGGCCGTTGCAGAGATTCATCGCGTCGGGGTCCGGAACTTCTTGGACCCAATGTGCATAATCCGTGACAGTGGAAAGTCGAGGAGCCCCTACCTCTTGGAGTAAGAGCGTGCGCCAGTGTTGGCCTTCATCAGGAGGGGCAAAGGCAACGGGAAGACAGTAAATCGCCCAAAGGAAGGGCTTGATGACGTCATCGTGTCTCTGGCAGTTTTTGTCGCGTATGCCATGCGGAAAGGCATCGGGGTCCGTCGGGCGTAAACAATTATAGCAGATTTTGTAGGTCGATGGAAAGGACAGGGAATTGCGAAAATATTGCTTGTAGGCGTTGCCGGCATTCCCGAGGGATGCGATGTTGTGACGGGAGATTGAGGGATTGGTGAGCCCCTGGGAACAGTCGTAAGGCCTATGTACGGTTGTGGGGTTGGAACCAGATGTGGTTGATAGTGCAGGACAAGCGCGATAATCACGGCCGAGGACCCAGCACGTTATGCATCCTATTTTTGCAAGTTCGAAGAACTTGGGAATATATGCTAAATAGGTTGCGCGAGTAGCTCTGATCGCCAAATTTGCTTCGATCACCTCTTGCCGTGATTCGAGTACAGAGTTCGTATTACGACCTGCAGGCTTCACACGGTTCGGCGCAGCATGGAATTCTGGCATCGGAGGACAGGGTGGTAGCGCAGCAAGAAGTGGGCGGTGTTTATTGGGAGCGCGACTGTTAGACGGACGAGGTGCAGAGGGAGGAGTAGGAGAGGGTGGCAAAGAATATTGACTCAAAACCTGAGTCGGACAGTAGGACACAGAGGACATATATTCAGGCATCGTACGCAATACTTGAGACCGCCATCGCGATCTAAATACATCATGGGGGAATATAGGAACACGGATGGGGGACAGAGGGGTGTTTTGGGCGAGGGATTGGCTCACTGAAGCCTGATTAGACGTAGGAGTCGGCATATGATTTCCAGACGGACGTGGGACACTAGAAGGAGTGGGGAATTGATTCGACGGCGTGTCACGTGTATGACGAGGGTTTTTTTGTACTTGAGGGCGCTTGGGCTTAGTAGGAGGAGGGGTCAAGGTGGAAATTATCGATGACGGATTGGCGGATCGTCGAGGGAAAGAAGGTACTGTCGGGGACAACTGAACAATTGCATTTGGTGTACAGTACGACGACGAGGATGGTGGATGCAAAGGGGAAGATTCAACAGCGGGAGTACGAGGATGGGTGGATGACGAGGGTGCCTGCATGGGCGAGGATTCAACACCGGGATCAACAAGAGAGGTTAGTCCTCCAATGGAGGCGGGTGCCAGCATGACTGATGTGCGGCTCTGGAGAGACAGTGGTTAGCCTGTTTTAATAAGCGAAGAGAGAGAGTCCACACACCTCAAGCACCTCACACCGAGAGCATAACACTGCATTGGCGCTACCATGAGCAACACAGCTATACGCCCGCTCGTCAAAATTTCCAAGGCATAGCCGAACACAGTCGTTGGTGGTGTAAAGCATACGTAACAAGCCTATGCCACCATGATCATCTGCGGCGTTGCTGGGCACAGGATGACGGCGCGTATTGAACAGATAACAAGTCGCTTCACAGTCGTCGCGGCCTGCTCGTCCGGTCTGCTGCGCGGCGTCACTTGCGTGGTATGGATTAAGAGTCACAACCAATCTCACGTGGGCGTGATCAATCCCATTGCCAAAGCCAGTGGTCGCAATCAATGCCCTGGGGTTACCAGCTCGCCAATCAGCAGATATGGCGTTCCTGCGAGAAGCGTTCGTGGACGGATCCAGGCGGCCGTCTATCTTGGACTTGTAAACAGGATAACCAAGAAGGGCGCGGAGCGCATCACACTCATTATACGAACTGCAGTAAACGAGGATTCGATCCTTTTCATCCATCTTTGAGTACGTGCTTCGGCAGATACTCGCGATTCTGTCCATCACCAGTGTGTTGTCCTTCTCGGCGGAAAAGTCTTCTACGACATATCGTAAATTAGGGCGGACAGTGGTAGCACGGATGACACAAAATGTGTCCGGTTGAAGTCGTGCGGCATGTGCAATGGCGGCCACACTATGTGGGAGGAGTGTGGCAGATAGGAAATGCAGGGGCACATTTTGGACAGCAATGCGCCAGAGGTTGTCGTAGCAATTGCGATAGCCAGACATCAGTATCTGGTGGGCTTCGTCGTATATAATCCTCCGCAGTTTCTTGATGCGAACAGTAGCAGTGACAAAATTGACAAAGAGTTCCATTCCAGCCTCATGGGCAGGGACGATGATCAGTCGTACAGTGTCAAAATCAATTTTATCGTTTGGCCACATGGAGACGGGTATGGAATGCATTTGAGCAGTGGAGAACTGTTCCTCAACCAGGGATACGAATGGCGACACTACTATGGTGATGCCGGACGGTTCGATCAAAGGTGGTCCATAAAACATCAGGCTCTTCCCGCCACCAGTGCCTAGGATCCCAAACACCGATCGTAGATTTTGAAGAATGTATTCAAAGATCGTGGCTTGCTCAGGGCTTTTGAAGGACTTTGAACGGAAGAGGCGTTGGAGGCATTTCAGCCGTGACGGGTGGACGTTGACGGAGGTGGAGGACGGCAAGAGAGGGGGGAGAGAAGTCGACAAATTGGGTATATGGTGGTAAAGTACGCGGGATAACGTCGACGATATTAAATCGCCAAAGGCGGGTAAACGCGTGTCAAGGACGTCTTCCAAATCCCTTGCAATATGTAGGCGAGAGGCGGCATCTAGCGGCGCAACAACGAGGGAGGTCTGGTTGGAAGGTGTCTAGCATTGCAGCGGTAAATGGGGAGGTAAACACGATCATATTACTTATATGCTTACAGATTTTTCGTCATTAGGTAGGCCGAGCGAATCTACAGAAAAGTCCGCCCACAAACCCAAGGCTTTCTGGTAAACAATACCATATCGATGGGCCCTAGCAACATCAGGCTGCGTCAAGTCCGTTAAGCTATCTGCCTCGATGCCATACACAGTGTCGGCGATGCGCTGACCATGACCAAACAAACTGTTGATGGGTGCACGATCGGCGTCTTGTGCATCGTCGTCATCTTGGTCAAGAGAAATGTCGGCCATGTGCCGGAGGACAAACTTCATGAGGTGTCGCCAATCGCGTACACCGAACTGGCAGCGAAAGTGGTCGTTGGTGAAGGAGCGGAGGATTTGGGTCATGGCGTCTGTGTTAAGAGGCGTGCCGCGACGGACAAAGATATACTTGGAATACGCAGAAGAGGAGCAGTCGTCCCCTAGCTGATGGGTGATGACCTGGGCGGCGTAGTATACATAGTTCAGCGTAATAATAAAAACGCGTGCTAGGCGAGGGTCGATACCACGGGGAATCAACAGTGCCTTGCCAGTCATCTTCTGGGTCTTGGAGTACGAGGTAACAAAGGTGAGGATGTTGTTGATTAGAAACAAATGGCGTCGCCCATGCTGATTGTTATAAGTGAGATGGTCGAGTTCTGTACCACGACCTGCGCCAGGCCAAGTAGCGACAGTGGCGGCATACAAAGCTTCGACCAATCTATCGACATCGGACAGCCAAATAGCGCATTCAACTAGAGGGACATCAGATCCTCGTTTCACAAGGGTTGCAACGACTTACGTGGACGAAACGCTTCAGAGTGCGCGCAAGAGGGCGTAGGAACCGAAAATTCGTGACATCCATCTCGAAGAAAATGCTGGATAAGGCGAGATTTTCCAGCCGCAAGCGGGTTGTTCGTATCGCTCATGAAGGAGTACCCTGCGCCTACGTCTCTTAATCTATCGTAGAATATATTGGAAGTTTGCCCAACGCGGAGGGCATTGGTTATCAGCTCGTCAGCATCGTCGAGAGGACATCCGCGGAGGACAGTAGCGAGCCGCGTCTCGGCAGTGCTAACAAGGTCAACGCAATACTCGCGAAAGCTTTTGAATGTGATGGGGTGACCATCAATGCTGAAATGGTCCCTTGTCGCGGCCATGAGAAATCTTGGAAGGGTGGAGGCATTGTGCACGAGCGAGGCGATAAGGTGAATGACGGATCGGAGAGTTGTGAACGGTGAGTGCTCGAGTTCTTGAAGATACGGCTTAACGATGTTTTCATACGCACTAGGAATGAATGTAAGAGTCGTACGTTAGGAAACAAGGATAAAGATTCACCCTATGGCGCCTTCCGGGTAATTCGCAGCGAACAGCGTGCATCGGCAATAGCCCACTGCCTGCCAACACCATTGTATTGCTGAGAGGGTGTGCGAAACATAACGAGGAGGTAGAAAGTGGTCATGGCCGTCTTCAGCCAAATGGTACGCGATGAGAAAGCGTAATATCGGGGTAGCTCGTTCCTGTTTGCATGCGTCCTCTGGTTGTTCTGATAAAGAGAGCCAACATAGCTCGTGTATTTGTTCGAGGCGTTGGCGTTCTGTCATTGTGGTGTCGTCAAGGTTGCGAAGGGCCTGTGAAATGGCAGCGTTCTGATTCTCAGTGGTATACATGGGATAGCCTGGGATAGGTTCGGAGAGACATTTGGCCATCATGAGAATAAACCCCGAGAATATATTGGAATAGCTTGCAAGAGTGGACGCGTTCTGGGGAACGCAAAATGGTTGATGGTCCAGGACGAGGGGCTCGGGAGAGTGGATACAACAAAGGAGATGGTGATGCCCGGACTTTAGAATGTCGGGTACAATGTTGCGGAAGTAAGAGGTGATGCCAGTGCGTAGGCGTTGGAGCTGCGGATCTTGTGCATCGGGGCGGCGTGCGTGCTCGTAGAGCTGCTTCAAATCAGTGCCGGCAAGCTCCACATGCCACTGGGTAAACGTCTCAAAGACGGTGGGTTTGGTGAGGAGGGACGAGGGATTCGAAGCAGGCACAGGGACTCCGTCTTCAAACGACGAAATGAACTCCTCGTATCGAGGCACGGCAGGAGGCAGGGGCTTTTCAGCTGTGGCGACACATATGCGGTCTCCAGCGAACAAGTACAACGACTGGACAGGGGAACTTCTATAATGAAGGGAGCGATCAGAAGAGGGGACCTTGGAGTGTTTCTGTTGGAAATGGCGCTTGCGAGAGGTTTCGGAGGCAAAGGGTTCCCCGTAGCAGGCACTTTTCACATCGTTGGTGCAGACCCAACCTTGCACAATAGGGATGCCAGGGATAGGCGGGATGGGGTGATGATGGGAAGGAAGCACCAGAGTGTCGGATGCACCGGCAATGAGGAGATTTTTTTCAAGTTCGGTTCGAAGAATTGAGCGGGCGGTGGGGAGTCGGCATGACGAAGAGGTCTTGACCTTGTGTGAATACGCATTTTTCAGCTGCACCGAGCTGGAACAGCCAGTGCAAACAAGAACGCGTAGCGGGAGATGGACAAAGTAGCCTATACGCGAGAGATATTTCGCGGCTTCGACTTCTTCAGGTGAACACGTTTTGGGAGGTGATTCGACAGCAGGAGATGAGGGAGATTCGACAGCAGGAGATGAGGGAGATTTGTCATCAACGGGTTCGGCATGAGTATCAGCGGGCGTTTCTGAATGGTCGACAGGCAAAGTCGTGGACAAAAAAGGCGCAAAGGGGGGCGGGGGACGGATGAGAGAAAGATCGTCTAATTCGGACGAAGGATCATAAACAAAACTGTCAATGTTGTCATCATCAGAATGGTATTCAGCTTGCGAGCGCAATATTGGGGAAGACGAAAAAGCAGCGACATATGTAGACGTAGAGGACTCTGGAGAATCGGGGCAGTCGTTGAGGGGATTGCTGACAGAGAGTGCTGCTGTTGACGCGAGACCTGGGATTAGAGAGGAATTTTGTGGGTGTTTGCTTGGTGGCGACTCCGGTTTTTGTAGCGGTCGTTTGGAAGACGGGAGTTTAGAGGGGGGGCGGGCGGCCATCTTGCTGACTGTGTGTCGCAATGTGGGGTCGAGAGCGGTGGCATGGGAAGGAGCCACATGGGTTTGGACGTGTGTTCGAAGATCGGAAGGGAGGGAGAACGATTCTGTACAGCGTGGGCATTCAAAGAGGCCATTGACACGAATAACGGATGCAACCACGCGAGGGGCTATACCCACGTTAACAACATCGTCGGCGGCGGTTGGCTCTTGGGAAGATGCGCCGTTGGAGCGGGCTTCTGGGGTCGACATCTGAGAGGTTGTGTGATCAAGCTCTCGCCGTATCAACACAATGGGGTGATAGTCAAGCTCCCGCCTGAACAATCGTTGTCGTGGAAAGGACGATGTGGGCGTTTGGATGGGAAAATGGAGGATGAGCGGGCGTATAGTTCAGAAAGAGGTGAAGGAGGGGGAAGGATACAGATAGGGTTGCGTGCGGTGCTTATATGTGGGGAAGGCGTCGAAGAGTGATAATAGTGACGGGCTGTGATGGTTGTGGGGCAAGCTTATAAAGAAGCACATTGCCTTTTGGTTAAATTAACGATCAGCGGCGACGCACAGAGGAGTTGCAGTATGTTGCACATTATAATAGTACGCGGCAAGCTGAGGGATAACAGTCTGTAGCATTGGCTGTGTAACACAGGCAACAGAGGCATATGGTTGCGCTGTATTATAGGGAAGAGACATGGTACGGGGAATACGAGGGTGAAGGGCGCAGATCACTACCACATATCAAAAAAGATGCGTACCTGATAAAGTGCATGTGGACGGCATGTCACCTTGATGGTCAGTGGCCGTATTGGGACCTTGTTGGATTACACATTGCTCCGGTTGGTTGGGTGTACGCAAATATTATGGTGCGGCGACGGGACGGGTCGCTGCCATCGGTGGGGCGAGTACTAGGAAGTGATAGCAAGGGGGGGCGGGCAGCGGCGTTGATAATGACAACATTGGGAATCGTTGGCAGAAATCATTTAGACAAGATATTGCTTCATTGGTGTCCTCGAGCCAAAGTCGCATGTGCCGCACAAATGCACGGGCCATGAGCGTGTCTGCGCACGGGCCATGGGCGGGTCTGCGCACGAGCCATGGGCGTGTCTGCGCACGAGCCATATCTGACCTCCGGAGCGTGGGACAAGCGGATCAAAGGAGATCAATGCCTGTGAATTTCCAAATTCACACCCTACCAGGAGATAGCTGCGAAATGCGGCTATCAGGTTGTCGTTGTAGCTACTAGATAAACGGTGAATGCAAAAGGCATATTCATGGTAAATGGTAGTTTGATTTGCTTTGACTCTGCGGATTACAGTGGGGTGAGAGCAAATAGAGGCATATTAGCCGTGTCAACACTGTCACCAGCTCCTCATCCCGAGTGCCCACTGAATTCATGCAATGTATATGCTAAGGCAGACTAATGCAAGATTGGGGCGTGGGGTGTTGTCGAGATTGAGTGCGATCGTGCCTCCTGGTGGCTGGATCAGGGCGGAGTTGGGACGACGAAGGTCCCGCTTCCCACGGGGCCTTGGGATCGTCGATCATGATCGAACGGAAGGCGGTTGTAGGGGCTCCGTTTCCCACACATGCGGGAGCCAGGTTGCGGTGGCGAGGGGAGATTTGGGAAAAGAGAAATGTACAGTTGTGGTGGAGCTGTGGAATATCTTTGGTTCGATTTGGATAGATGACTCCGAAACTCATATTGTATCTCATTTGATTTATAGCAAGTCCGAACGTCCAGCCTGGGACCAATCACGATGCTAAGGCCCCGTGAAGTGAATAGGCGAATAGACACTGAATCCCCCGGGTTAACGCTCAGAGAACAAGTTCAATGCAAAGTCCGAGTTAGAGCTCTTGACGAGCTCTAACTCTTCTAGCCGAAGTGCAGTGTGGTGTCCGTGTTAGAGCTCGTAAACGAGCTCTAACACTTCAATGAGAGACTCAATGGTGGGTCCGCGTTAGAGCTCGTAAACGAGCTCTAACGCTTTAAGGTGAAACTCAATGTTGGATATTAGGGAAGGTGCAGACAAGTCGAAATAGCGCACCTAACCTAACCTAACCGAGACATCGAGCTCGTCACCGAGCTCGAGAGAATATACATACCCAAACCCTAAGCGTCAACCCGAACCTCAACCCGAACCTTAACCGCGAGGCCCGCGTTAGAGCTCGTAAACGAGCTCTAACGCTTTAAGATGAAGTTCAATGTTGGGACCGTTCAATGTTGGGTCCGTCAGTGTGGCTACGAGTTGCTAAAGGATTTCAAGGTATATTTAATTTTGCTATCGTAGCCACACTGTGGCTACGAGTTTCTAAAACCGTCCCTGCCATTGGGTCGAGCCAGCAGCGACGGACCCAGTCGCCGGCGCTTGAGCAGGGTGATTCCACCCTGCTCAAGCGCCCGGGCGGCCCAAATTGAAACTCCGTCCCGCTCCACTCATTACTAAGTAAAATATCGTAGCCACACTGTGGCTACGATATTGCTCATTCAATATTCAAAAGTATATTGAATTTGTCTACCGCTGAGCGTAGCCACACTGTGGCTACGATATTGCTCATTCAATATTCAAAAGTATATTGAATTTGTCTACCGCTGAGCGTAGCCACACTGTGGCTACGAGTTACTAATATAGTATTTCAAGGTATATAAATTTTCTCACCGTAGCCACACTGTGGCTACGAGTTACTAATATAGTATTTCAAGGTACATAAATTTTCTCACCGTAGCCACAGTGTGGCTACGAGTTTCTAAAACCGTCCCTGCCATTGGGTCGAGCCAGCGACGACGGACCCGGTCGCCGGGCGGCCGAGATTGAAACTCCGTCGCGGCCCACTCATTACTAAGTAAAATATCGTAGCCACACTGTGGCTACGAATTGCTAATTAAGGTTTCAAATGTATATTCAATTTTTCTACCGCTGAGCATAGCCACAGTGTGGCTATGAGGTGCTAATATAATATTTCTAAGGTATATAAAATTTTCCCACCGTAGCCACAGTGTGGCTACGGATTTCTAACACCGTGTTTCGGTTATCCCCACCATCTATCTTAGCCCGGCCAGTGCTAGCACTGGCCGGGCATAAGATAGATAGATGATGCTGTTCGAGGACCTTCCGAGATGCGAACGTAGCGCGAAGATGCATGCTGAAGTTGAGGGTGGCATTGGTCTGCGCCTCACGACTCAAGGCGTCGTCGCCACGAACGACGATGAGGCGCTTTACAAGGTCTCTTACGGCATCGACGATGTAGGCTGGTTCGAGATCGCTTGGTTTCTGTCGGTCAGTGTGGAAGATCTGGCAGGCATTCTGCACGACTCGATTCAGATTGACAGGAAGGTAGTGGGCCGAGCCAGGAACTGCTCGAGGGAAAACGAAATCGCGCAAGAGTTTCCTGTCTTCACAGAGTTGGGCGAACTCCTTGTCTAGCTTCGCCTGCAGCTCTGGGGAGGAGTCGTCGACTCCAACCTGCAGGACGCCTGGCAAGAAACCTCCAGCAGGATCAACGACGTCGACGTGATAATTATGCTTGAATTGAGCATGGTTGACACCGAAGGTCGCGATGTTCTGCTTTTCGATGAAGGCGCCATCCATACCATCCTCACCATAGACGAACTGAATAAGATCGCCAAGGGAGTTTCTGACGGTCCCGTCGTAGCAGACCTGAACATCCTCCAAGGCCTTTACGAGACGACACTGGATGTAACCCGTTTCGGCAGTTTTGACGGCAGTATCGATGAGACCCTCACGACCTGCCATGGCGTGGAAGAAGAACTCCTGGGGCGTTAGCCCCCGAAGGTACGAGTTCTCGACGAAGCCTCTTGCCTCAGGACTGAAATCGTCCTTCGTGAAGTGAGGAAGCGTTCGATGATGGAAGCCAAATGGTATACGTCGCCCCTCCACACTCTGTTGCCCCACGCAAACCGACATCTGGGAGATGTTGATGAAGGATCCCTTCGAACCGGCGACCACCATCTGCTTGACGTTGTTGTCCTCCTTCAAATTCTTTTGCGCGTACTGACCAGATGTATCACAGGCCAAATTGAGTTGCCGCTCGACTTGGCTTTCGAAGGATTCACGGATTGTCATACCGGGGGCGGCCTTGAGCTCGTCGATAGTCGCTCGCTCGGTGATGGCTGCGACTTTGGCCTTGTGGCTGGCGATAGTTTGCGTGATGAAGGCCATCGTCTTGGCGTCTGCGATCGTGTCCCCAATCCCAATGCTGAACCCGTTATGGAAAAGCCAGTAATTCACGACCTTCTGCAATCCAGAGAACAGCGCGCGCGCCCTCGGGGCCTTTCTCGCGGAAGACGACGTGGACGAGACCGCCTTGAGAGGCACCAACAGTCTTCTTCTCGACTATCCCCCAGGCGATCTCTCCGTTCTCGATGCACATGCCATCGTCAAAAACGGGGTTCGACGATATAGGTTCAGCCGCGGGGAAGATATTGATTCCCCGAGGTATGGCCAAACTGAGGATCTGCTTACCCGTCCACATCGGTTTGGGTTTGATGATGGCTGGGATCGGCACTATGCCATCCCAATCAGGAACCCACAAGAGAATGTTCTGAACGGCATTCCAGTCCATGAACGTATCTCGCAGCGTGAGCTTGCGTATACCGCAAAGGGTATCTTGCACGATCCCCATGACTGACTTGTTCGCTTGGGGCGACAATCTGCGGCAAGGTTTGAGCTGGAGCAAGGCAGACGGAACATCGATGCTCACCTGCCGTGGTACCCAAGCTGTCTGGCTCAGTTCCGCACGCGTCTCCTCACTCTGTGGTATACTGGGCTGCTTTGAGAATACAAACGACAAACGAGGATGACAACACGTACTGCATGTTCATCTCGTCACCGTCGAAATCGGCATTGTAAGGCGGCGTACTAACGAGACGTCTAGCTTCATAGATAGCCCATGCACAATACACATACACGGAAAGATTCAGGCGAAACACTGATGGAAAGATGAGTATCGGGGTTCAGAGATTATAGGGAGGCACGTACTCGAATAGGGCATGAGCTTCACCTGATGACTCATCATACTCATCTTATGAAGACTGGGCTGGCGATTGAAAAGAACGTAGCTAGCAAAAGGTTGAACTAATGGTCTGGCAGGAGATATGAAAAGGTGAACTTACTCGCCATCCTTTAGATGCCTCTCAACAATCCAGCCATATTGAAGGAAAGCATCCGCCCGCTTGTTATACCGCAGATCAATACGCTCGCCCGTATCTCTGACTACATACCAAGCACCAGGGTACGTTGTTGGACCATTACGAACAAGCTCCTGTAGATAAGAGATGTTGAACGGTGTGACTATTCACGAGCACGGTGAGTAGGAGGGACCCATAGACCTTGACTTCACACGCACCTCGTTCTGGGGAGGTCAAGTTCATGGCTATCGACTTCGGTACGCCTACTTCGTCCAGCTCCAGATTTGGGTCCCCTGAGATGACGGTACGCCCCGAGAAATCAACACGTTTACCCATCAGATTCCCAGGTAGCCTTCCTTCCTTGCCCTTTAGACGAGCACGAATCGCCTTGACAGGTCGACCGGACTTCTGGAGCGCCTGGGGTATCCCAGCGATATCATTATCCATGTAGGTAGCAACGTGGAACTGAACACCGAGAGGTAAGCTTCAAACTTCATAAAGATCCAAGCACGAGCTGACCTGGAGCAACTGCTCAAACTCGGAGATAACGTGGGCTGGAGCACCCTCCTGTTCGCAGCTACGCACGTTGGCCGAGACTTTGATGATGTCCCCGAGCTTGTATGTCAGATCGTCCTCGCTTCGCATGGCGCCCCTGTCTACAGCAATACTTGGCCTCACAGGCGGCTGAGGAACAGGCATGACGGTCAAGATCATCCATTCTGGCCGAGCATACTCCTCGGATAGCCCGATGATTTGGAGGTCGGAGTCCGTCATCTTTTTGAACGTCGTATACACCTCTGACGGCGTGATGAGCCGTTTGTCGGTCTGTAGCAACTTGCCATCCTACGGGATCTCGTCAGCTGCAATCTCAGCGGAATGACGAGGTGATACAGACCTCGTCGTCTTCCTTCGACTTCTTAGATTGCACGAACAGCTTCAAACCTTCTTTCCGCACCTGGGGTTGGGTATAGCCGCAACCGCCGTGCCCCTTCTTGGGTTCCTCGGCATCGGCACCATCGGCCTCGTCCTTCTGCTCATCGGGTTCACAAATCATCTTCGTCTTGCAGTGGCTCCAAACGACCGCCATACGCAATTTGGGATCGCGAATGTGGCGGATCTTGTCCGAGAAGTTGGGGTCCGACTTACATGTCCAACAGACATTCGCGAGCATTCAGACAACGGAGGTCAGATCGAGGGACGGGGAAGGCCAGGACGACGACATCATGGAAAGGGGACAGTAGACGTCAGCGACTGTCTTCCATGGGATATACACAAAAGGACATCCAGGCCGACACTTAAAGGTGAAGTACATACAGGGGGTGAGACTAAAACTAGTGCAAAAGCCCAGCACACGCTCCTCAAGCTGCGTCACAGCGAGAAGCGGAGGAGCTGTCCATCACGGCCGATCAGCGACGCGGGTTACGAACCCTCGCCTTGCTATACGCCCACCCCTCGTCCCCACGGCGACTGCAGAATCCTCCGCCGTCAGCCATGCTCCCATCCCCAACATCCCCAGAATCACCATACCGAAAACGCGACCCACCCGCGTACATTTATGATCTGATCAGCCTGCAGCTCGTCCTATGCGCGGTGACTGCTCTGGCGCCAACCTTTGTTCGGCCTCCACGCTGCCCCGGCGCCTTTCGACGGGCGCAGAATAGCGCAGACGCACCGTCCCTGACATCTTTCCGCAACACCGCCACGCCATAACCCGGCGAGACGCTCTGCTCGGGCTCCCTCTGGACTGCTCATCGCCGCAGCTGGCAGGGACATCCAGGTACAGGGTGCGGTCGCGCGAATGATGACGATGACAATGAGGAGGGATTCGGAATCGATTTTCGGCGCAATCCCCTGCCATTGCGAGGGCGGCACTGTCATGCACATCATCGCAGTCCAGAGGCAGAAGTCGTGTGGGCGGTGTGAGGGCATAGCAATGGGCTCGAGAGGGATGCGGATGGCGGGAGAAAACTGTGCAGGCCCAGGTACCGCCTTCTTAGCCCACGCTCTCCACGTATCTTTGCCTAGCGTTGGCCCGGACTTGAATGCTCGTCGGCAAATCCGTCTGTTCCGGGTCGTGGTGAGTCTTTCCGTCGCTTGCTACACGATTAGGAACTGACTTACACAGCTCCCTTCCCTCGATGGTGGTGTTGTCCTCAGCGGACGATGCAGGCCGTCCTCGTCGGCTACACGTTGACTCAACGATCCTGGCCTTTTCTTGTAGTCCTCGCGGAGCCTGAATGGTCATAGTGATGTCGGTGTCGGGCGTGAGGGATGTGAGGGAAGGCGTCTGTGCAGATGCCTGGAAGCTGGGCACTGAAATATGATCGCAAGCGCCGTGCTGTCCACCAAAGTGATGGGTATTCACTTGCTGTAGCGCTCCGCTGTCTCTTCATCGTATACGCCCGTTCCTTGGCCAGGTGTTGCCCCTTCCTGTGGCCGTCCCTCGCCACCCCAACTGTCATTGACGAGTCGGCGTTGGAGTCACAGATCCCCTCGTTGCCGCGACCCCGTTGGTGCATCCTTGCATCGAGGCTGGGGGCGTTCGAGTGATTCATTCGGGGCTGCAAAGGCTGTTGACGCCTCTGTTTATGGTCTGCGGGTGTCCTGTTGCCGAATGTCGTCTGGGGTGCGTACGTCTGCCTCTGTTTTTCCGGTGGGGCTCCTTTATCATCTAGCGTGAAGTAAGCTATTGATACTGCGTCCTGTTGGTCTTGGGGGTCGCCGATGACCTCCACAGCAGTCGTCATTGCGTGGTGGGGCGGACTAAGGGCATGGGGGTCTGTACAATGTTGTAGTAGCTGTTGTCGAGTTGGTGGAAGAGGCGGAGGCGTCAGGATGGGCTAGCCTAAGCAGAGGACGGGTGGTTCGGGCCTGACCAAGAAGTAGACAGGTTGTAGAGTACGTACCTGCGTGAATAAACCGTTCCCCTCAGTCCTCGTTTGAGCTACTTCAGCGTTTGGATGCAGTCTTCATGGGTTCGTGCACGGGTCGATTGCTGCAGTTCAGGATAAGTTTGTTGATAGTTTCCGAAGATGGCGAGTGAGAGCAGCTGGTGGCGGAACGTCAGCAACATGCCCGACCTATCACGGACGCCCCTAAGAACTCACCAGGACGAGGCGCAGGGGGACAATTTCGGGTGTACATCGTTGTGGGTGCATCAGCGTGTCCACCAGCGTCCCAGTTGGCCTACAAACGCCAGGTCGAGGGCTTGAAAAGTGTTGGCAACGGCGCGAGAAACGGCGGAGGGAGGATAGAACATAGGCCATACAAGGATGGATGAGGAGGAGACGATGAGGGGCGAAGCCGAGAGAGGGAGGTGAGATGGGAGAAGGGAGAGGTAAGCCGGCAATCGGGTGCTGCGCTTCCACTATCTAACCTTGGCCTTTTGCATCTTTCCAACGCCCCCTTCCCAACGGGTCAACCCTCTTGCGCACACATTAGAATCCCTTGGCTTGGAGATGCGTGCAGGGTTACGCGAGCCTCGCGCAATGGCAAGGCGTCGATCAGGAAGCCAGAGGCGTGTTGCTGCGCCAGCATCAGCGCTACCATGCGGGAATGAGGGGACCGGTGCTCAGAGAGGAGGGGGGGACTGGAGACATCACCGAAGCAGACGAATTGCGAGGTCAACTCACGCGTCTTCGAGCGCAGCTCACACACTCACCTGCGTTGTGCGTCCCCAGAACGTCTCCAGCGAAGTCCAGCCCACGCTCCTCTTTACCTACGTGCAATCTCGACGATCGTGCACTCAGCGATTCCCCAGCGGCGATTTTGAGTGCCTCCACCGCGGTCGTCGTGATCCCTGTGCTCCGACAGAGCGTTGGAGTGCGTGTATGGAAGAGTGGGCGGGAGGAGATAGGTCGCCCAAGAGCAGTTCGTCGGGGCTTGCGAGATCGGACCCACGCCGTTCATCATGGCGGCCCATGCCACCCATGCCCATCCCCCCCGCCTATACTCATCGGTGCCACAGCTGTGGGTCCTCCACCAACCCCTCCTCCAAGTATCCCCGCACCCAACCCGTCGCCGCCCGTCGCCGCCCTGCGTGCCCCGCCCGTCTTGTTCGCGGCGGCCATCTTCGCAGGCAGGCTTGTCAGATCATCCATCATGCGCTAGTTCTGCCCCTGCTTGTCCGCGTGCACGGTCTGAGCGTGCTGGCACATGTTGTCGAGCCCGAGGATGCAAAGTTCGTGTTCCTGCACGTTGGGTTGGCAATGTCGAGGGAGGACAGTCGAGCGCCGCCGTCTTGGGAGTTGGGTGGGTGTGAGGGCATGTTGGAGGGCAGTGGGTTGGGGTCAGGCCGTTTTCACGGCGTGCTTGGGTACGAGGGCGTGCTGGGGAGTCTTGGAGCCTTTTGGCAGTCGTTAGGTTGTATAGATAATAGTGAACGAGCAAGGGTCACTTCTGAGTGATAAACTGTGTGAGTGAGCGTGAGTAGCGAGCCAATAGGGTGCTCACCGACGTGGTACCTGAGTATGGACGGTCGACGACGAATGTACGGTGCGAGATACGGCCCTGAGCCAAACCGGGGCGGCGCAGGATGATGAGAGTGGCGATGGGAAGGCATTGGCTGTAGATTTGGGACGTTGAGTCCCTGAGGACGATTGGGGATGGCGTAGGCGTCGAAGGGAGGACTTGGCGGTGGAGGGCTAAGTCTGAGGCTGAGGGTGAGTGGGGGTGTGAGTTAGCAGAGCGAACTCAGCCATCTCTAACCCTCATCACCGCCTTCCACCGACGCCGTGCTTCTGCAAGCCGCTGTGTATCGCCGTACCTCTCTGCCAGCAATCAGGACTGTGGAATGGATGGAGACGGAGAGGATACGGGAGATCTGGTAAGCGTGCAACTGGCCATATGAAAGTGCAGGAAATAATGAAATGCTCCCACGCTTACGTAATGATCAAGAAACAGGCGCTGTCGGACTTGTACGACGACCAAGTCCACATCGGTGGACGCTGTGACTTATGCTGGAGTTGAACCCCCAGCACGATCATCTATCACCCGATAACCCGATCTAGCAACAAGAAGGAGGGCAACGAGGACCATTCACCTTGCACGCATGGACATAGGCACGGACGCGAAGGACATGGCAGAGAAACCAGTCTAGTCAGGTACGACTAGCGGTTACTTATTGGGTACGTATGGACTTATGATTTAGCCAGATCCTGACCTACCCTCCATCAGCCATTCTACTCGCCCATCCATGCGCACGCCTCATACACTGTCCCATCGCGTCAAACTCCACCACCGCGCGGCTTTGACTTAGTCGTGCTACTCATCATCCACATGGCGTACATCCTGGCTACCATATCGGACCACTGCAGCAACCGCGGCGGAAGGGAGTGAAGAGGAACTGATGTCGGCATAGGCGTCGACCAGCGCGAGGAACGACGAGGAAGGAGACGGAGGGGCGGCTAGGAAGGGCAGGGCGTTCAAACGACTAGGTAAATAGCGGTCGTCGTTATCACAATGGGATCGCGCTCACCTGCGTGTATAGACCTCCGACATCGTGGTGCGCAAGGCCGCAACGGCGCGGCTCGATATGATCTCCCATCATGTCCCATCACGGCAATTCTGGGGAAGAGCCTGCTCCCGACGCAGCTCAATCCACAAACTGCCGCCGACGACAGCTTGAGGGCCACAGGAGGTCCCTCAACGTCTCTCAATCCAATGCGGCGACGAGAACAGCGGTTGAGAAGCATGGATATCGCAACGATGGTGCGAGGGGCGTGCTAGAAGACCACGGAGTAGAAGGCGAGATTCCAACGTAGTAGGCCTGGGGAGGGAGGGGAGACGGACGAGGTAAGCAGGCGACTTGTTGCGGCCTTTCCTCCGAACTTGACGTCTCTTGTTGAAGCGTCCCGACGCCTATATTAACGGGAACGACCGACTGCGCGCGCAGTAGTATCCATCAACTTGGAGAGGCGCGCGGGGTCAGGCAAGTCTCAGGCGTTGGCAAGGCCTCGACCAAGAAGCCAAAGGAGTGCGAGCGCGCGTGCTGCGGAGCGTGGGTGCTTGAAAGAGGCGACGGGTGCACAGAGGGGAGGGGGGGGGTGAGACGAGGTCAGCTACCCGTCTGCCATAACGACTCACTCACCCACCTGCCCTTTGCACCACCAGAATGTCTCCAGTGAAATGGAGTCCACGCTGCGCCGTCCCTGCTCTCAGGCTGCACCCTAACATTCCGCTTCAATCAAGCGGCGTGTTGGCATTCGTGTTCCCCTCCCCCTCCCTGTTCATTCCTCTTCGCGCGCCGTCCGCGAGACTTGCACGTTTTCTGTCGTTTCGGGCGCACCCGAATGGGCGTCGAGCACTTCGCATATCGCGTGTTGCGTGTTGCGTGTTCGGCCATTTCATTGGGTGTGGGTGGCTCGCGGGTCCAACGAGTCGAGCGGCGTAAACGTGCAATATGGGGATAATAACAAACGCGTTCCTTTTCGCTGTGGAATGGCTGACGTGGCGCGACGCGCGGATGCAGAGAGTGGAAAGGATGCTAGGCGACGTGTTTAAGGCGGATTGGGCATACAAACGGACTCTGGGCGTCGTAGACATAGTAAACAGCATCTTGTAAGGTTCTGTAGGGCATAGTAATCGACCTGAGTGGATGAGCGTGTAAGTAAGAAAGTAGAAAAAGAAAGTCGTGTATACGCACCCGATGGATTGACGGTGATTGGCGGATAGGCGTTGGTTGGCGTTAAGATCGCAAGGGTAGTGAATAGATTCGATATCAGCAACCGTGTACATGTCTGCGGAATCAAAACGGAAGCAAGATGTGGCTAAGTAGGGCGTAGCTAATATATTTCCCTATGAAACGAAAGATGGATAATGATTGCGGCTAAGTGCGAGAGGACTTACCCAACAAGATCCGTAACCTGCGCGGTCATGGGCACACCGTTTGCCCAGACGTTGATCCCCGTTGCGACGAAATCCTTCGTTAGGCGCAAGTGCATCGTCGCGACCGGTTGCCCGTTGGTATAGCCGCATATCGTGGCGTGTTGTCGTAGGTCCGCGGAATTGCGATGTCTGCTGTGACTACAAGAGGTCAGCGTAGCAAAACGCGTGTAATAGAGCTTACACTATGATCCAGCGTTCGACATCGCTCGCATCGTACCCCAGCGCGTCGTCGATCCGTGTTTTCCAAACGATCAGCGCTCGTTGTGCGGCTGCCTCCAAGGCTGTTTGTTTTCCGCGGCTCTTGGGGCTCGATAATAGGCTGGCTAGTATGTATACGAAGGTCATACTGCATTGATCAGTAGCGAGAGGAGGAGGAGCGAGGGGAGTTCGCACTTTGTCGATGTCGTTGGTGGTGATTGAAGGACGGAAGCGTCGAGCGGCTTGGAGCGGGCCGGGGCGGGTATAAGGTGCGGTCGATCATAATCGAAAGATCTTGATCGACGTCGACGCGGAGTTAAGAATTTCGATCATGATCAAAGAAGTATGATGTCAATGCGGACATAAGAGGTCGATCTTGATCGGAAGAAGTATCGACGTCGACGCGGCGTTAAGCGGAACACGGATGCCTGCCATTTGGCGCGTCGCTCGAACGAACCCGTTACCGTGCGTGTGCGCCGTCTCAACGAGCGCGCTTATACGACTGTTCAAGGCGTCACGTCGTACGCCGAAATTGGTCACGATCCCGCCTAATGTTCTACCATCGCCGAAGTCTATGCGCTATTCGTCAATCCCTCGCGCGCAGGGCTAGTTAGCACTCACGACGAGGCGATTCACAAGGGCGTCGAAGTTATAGGCTGGTACGAGATCCTTCGGTCAGTGGCAAACGTTCTGAACGATTTGGTTGAGATTGACGGGGAGGTAGTAGGCCGATCCAGCGACTGCTCGAGGGGAAAAAAGTGCGTGCAAGAGCTTCGAGCTTCCTGTCTTCGCGGAGGTGGAGCGAACTCTTCGTCAAGCGTCGCCTGCAGATATGAAGAAGGGTACTTAACTGTAGGACGCCTAGCGGGAGACATCTAGCGGGATCAACGACACCGACACCCACGTACGGAGATACCCTGCTTTGGCAACCTCGTTCGACGGATGACCCACAGACGGCGCAATGGTTGACGAGCTATGATGATCGCGTGAGCGTTTTGGCAATGGACGTAACATGAATGTAGACAAAGGGTTATAGGTATACGTTACGGGGATTCGTGATTACGAGAGGCGAGATTGTATGAACCGGGTTTCGTCTAAAATAGGTGATTGGGTATGAGTGTATACTGCGAGTAAGGTATATCATTTGCTGCGATGATGAACATAGTGTCTACTGGGAATATGCGGCCACAGTTCTATGGTACCTGGCGAGGGCTTGAGTCAAGTCTGCACAAAACACTACCATAGCCGGATTCTCTATCTCACTCCACGTCTTGCCAGAGGTAACCTTGTTAGTAGCGTCGGCGAGGTTGATCGCTTTCTGGATCTTATTGAGACAGGCCTGGATGTTTTTGACATGGGCCGAATTCTTGGCGGAATAAGGTGGGTATTCGTCGTATAGGCCAACGGCCTTGCCGCTGAGGGGATCGATATCGACAAAAGTCCAGAAGGGGTTGGGAACAGCCATAGAGGCGTGTCTTTGGAGTATGGCATCGTATATTCGAATGGCAACAGCGGCGTCAGCAGCAGCGTCTGTCGTAGAGTGAGTGTGAAAACATATAGTGACTGCACGTTCACACCACTTACAGGTGTAATGATGCGTTTGGAGGTCTTGGGACCAATCAAACTTTTGTAAGGTCTTGTCGAGGGTCCTGCCTATCCACTGCTCACTCAGACTGGCGAGGGCGACGGAAGATGCAAAGTGGAGTCCGAGGTGAGCGCCCAAATGGTCAATAGTGCGATGTAGGCGACTGAGATCGCCGCCCGAGCGCATAGATGCTTGAGGCAACGTTTTGGCATCACCTGGATATGGATGTTAGACACAGGTGAGCTAGATAGTGATGGTGGTTTACCAAGGATGTCGACACCTATCTTCGTATACTTGGCATTGGCGACGAAGTCCAATAGAGAGGTGGGAAAAGCTACAAAGGTGTGGATGAGGCGGTTACGAGTGCATATAGGTACTTACTGCCAATCAGAGTGATATCAAAAACATATGCCTGCGTACGCGTGGCAATTTGAATGAGTCGTACGGCCCTGGTTGGCGTGAGTTCTACATCAAATCCGAATATAGTGTCCGTAGCAACAGTGCTTGTGGTTATGGCTTGCATGAAGCTATCAGCTTCGGCAATGGTGGAAGCGACGACGAAGGTGAAGTCAGCCGATGTAAAGGGAGGGAACTTTTGGGATGACATGATGGCGGTATGGAAGAGAAGGACGGGGGACGGCGCAGGAAATGATGGGCGTGGATATGTAGGCGCGCACAGACCACCGACGATCTACGACCGTGGGTGATGACAGCCAGGCGATGGTCTACGACCATGGCATATGGACAGCGCAAGCAAGTGGGCTTCGTCTAGATAAGGATAGACCGAGGTGCCAATCGGAATCTAAATTGGGACTGATGACATCAGTGAGAAGCATATGTTCGATCAGGGTCGAGGTGGTGGGGAGTTGGGGAAGATGCTTCGCGTGGGCCGAAAAGTCCGAGGATGGTGTCGTCGTCAAAGTCGGTGCTTACCCAGAATGCCCAATGCCCCGCGGGATTGCTATCGCATGCCTTGCGCGCCTTCTTTCCCAACCATCATCTGCAGCACCGGAATGTCTTCGCCGTCTCATACCCCCTTGTCCTCACCGTCTCGTTCAACGTCGCGTGCGCCGCTGTCTTCCGTGTCTAACCCTGGGCGTAGTTCCCCCGAGGGAAGCACCGATCGGACGTCGCTGGGGAAGAGACAAAGGTCGATTTCTTGGGACGCAACGCAGAGTTTCAGTGGCGATTCAGGGAGAGCTATATTAGCAGGAGTTTTGCGAAGCTGGGATGAGGCGAAACAATCATGTAAGTTAATCCTGGAGTACAGCGACATTACTGGCGAGGAAGAAGAGGAAGCATATATGCTGTTTCTAGAAGAGAGGGAGGCAATGGCACGGGAGATGTTGGCCAAAGTGGCTTGCGCGAAGTTGAAGTGGGGCGCAGTAGTTGATGGGATGACTTTAGAGGGTGCGTTGATACGAGTATATGCGCATATATGTATTAACGACACACCAAAGTCATGGAGGCGTACGTTGCCGATAATATGGATGAGTTCTCCGAAGAAGATTTAGAAAACACGAGCCTGTCGGCGAGGAAACGAAAGCAGAAAGAACTAGGTGTTGGTGGTGGAACGGGACAAGCGAACGACGCAGGCGTTGGAGCAGGCGCAGGCGAAGAACAGGGCGGTGGCGAAGAACAAGGCGCTGGCGCAGAACAGGGCGGTGGCGAAGAACCAGGAGGCGGCGAAGAACAGGGCGGCGGCGGCGTTGGCGGGGATAATGGCGCGAGGCCTCCAAAGAAGCCTCGTAAGGCCAAAGTGCCCATTATCGAGCAGTTGAGCTATGAGTTGAGCGCCAAGATAGACGATGTAAACATGGCGGGGTATGAAGCGGTGGAGGTGAGTTTGCGCAACGTGTTCAAGAACGACTGCTTACCTTGGATAGGATCGATTCCGTTGCGTATACACGCACGTCGGAGCTGTCCACGGCAAGCTAACGGAAAGGGATTTGTTGGACTCACTCCACGGGTATTGCCACAAGCCTAAGCATAAGAGTTTTTTAGAGGAGGAAGCTCTGGCAAGGCTCATCGTCGGTTACGGGGATATCAATATGGAACGGCTAGTGAGTACATCATTGGAGAGAGAGGGGGGGTGCTCATCTGGGGTAGAATGAAGCTTTCGGCAAGGTGAAGACGGCCTATTCGTGCGGACCTAGGGAAGCTAGGAGTCGTTTGTTCACGATTTGTGAAATACAGTCTGAAAAAGAGAGGGTAAATGAATCAGAAAAGGTGCGTGCTATAGTTTTGGGTTGATACCAATAGGTTATTGATAGTAGCGTTAGTTCTTGCTTGAATGGTCTATGATGCAGGAGAGTGTTAACTTACTGGAGGGGATCTTTCTGACGATGGCCGGACTTCGTCTGGCCATTGACAGGAGCAATGTATCAGATACGGACGAAGGGAGGAGATGGAAAAAGAAACAGAGCGACGATTTGTTCGAGCTGCAATATGGCGCTGCTCTTGCTCACGTGCCAGTGTTTGAACGAAAGGGGAAGGAACATACTTGGAGAAAGAGGTGGATAAAGGCCCACGAGAAGATGGTAACGAGGCGGAACAAAGTACTGGCGCTGTTCAAAGCGGTGAGTGGTTGAGATTGTCGGCGTGCCAGACAGCTGAGCGACGACGAGTTCGGGTGCATCGTGCTCTTGGATCCTCTGTGGAGTCCAACAGAGACGTCTTCCTCGGATTTTCATCAGTTGCATGCCTGCGTTTTAGATAATATATTGAAACGACGACGACGAGCTGACGACGACGCGGAAGGCGATGGGGACGTGCCGTGGCACACGGGCAACGACGTGGGGAACAGAAGGATGCTGGTGGAGGTGGTTCGATACTTCACGACGGATGCAATGGCACGGTTCATAGACGAGACGGTGGACAAATTGGAGGAGGATGCGTCAGAGATTGCAGTGTAGCGTACAGGAGTACAAGTAATTACGACGGTCTACGGCCAGTCCTTAGCATGATACAGCTGTTCAAAGGCAATGCATAATTCTACGAGATTTGCAGAGTTCTGGACAGTTGGGTGGGGCTTAACAAGCCAATGCGAATATGTTTCGAGGGATTGGAAGATGGGAGTTGTAATGCCGGCAGTGTGCAATAGCTTGTCTTGTAACCCATGGGCTACGGACGGTGACAGCACAATGGGAAGGCAGAATAATGCCCATGCGATGGGGCTGAGGACGTCTTTCTGCATTTTGCAAACGTCATCGTCTTTGGTGTGCGTTTTGTACGAGAAAGGAAAATAGCAGATCCAGCATACGCGGCAGGTCTTGTCGAAATTCCTGAGTGCCATCTTGTAAACGTCCCCGTAGAGTGTCGGCAACGGTTCGCCGTCCAGCATGTATTGACATCTGTATCCGTATATACCTACGGGGCATCGGAAGCCGTCTTCAGTGCCACAGGGAGTGCGGCCGAAAACTTGACACGTTAGACACCTGTCTCGCATGTCGACAAGGCGCTTGAATGACTGCGAGTGGACCTGTGCCAAATCACGTTTGGCAACACCTTCCTGTTTGTTCAGTGCTAGGGCTTCATGGTGGCAGTGCGGTCGAGGTGTTGAAGGGAGCGGCGGAGACACGGAGCGAGCAACATGCTTGTCAAAGAACGTTGGTGTGGAGAGATGATTGTGATAGTGATCTCCAATGTCATGATAGGCCTGAGCATTGTTAGCGCAAAGAAAAGTACAGATTTGACGGTGCACTTACATGGACGGCAGGTCGTGTGGACTTGTCAAAAATCATCGAGTTGGAACCCGTGACCGGATCATTTGACTCGCTCGTGATCTGACCCCCTGACTCGCTCGTGATCTGACCCCCTGATCCACGCGTGACTTGTTTGCGTGACCAACGCGTGTCGCGTAGCGGATATGTATAACGAGGGGGGACGGGTGGAAGGTTCTAATGAGGCGAGGTCTTAAATAAGTTAATGCTAGTGAGCTGGATAGGGCTTACCTCAAGAGTGTCGCAATAGTCGCATGGGGTGCAACCTGGCACTGAGTGGCACGAATGAGACTCATCGTCGAAACTACCGAGAGAAAGCCTTCTGCAAGTATTCGTCGTGAACAATTGGTAGAGTTGGTGTTTCCCGGCATGATCGACCCCTGTGATGGCGGGTGCTTTGCGATACCTGCTAGTTTGTCCTATGATCCTCGCGAATGTAACTTCACCCGTTCTGCCTAAGCGGCCAGTCTGTTGAGTGACGCTGATCATGTCGTAGGGATTGAGGACGAAGACGTGGTTGACGTAAGGGTAGTTGATACCAGTGCCAAAGCCTGTGGTCACGACGAGGCCTTGTGTGACCCCCGTTAGCCAATCTTGTTCAACTTGGTGTCTGGTGTCAGCATCGGCTGCCGGATCATTTGTATATTTCGCCTTGTGTACCGGTAGGCGCAAGGCGGCGGCGACGCGATCGCACTCGTTATATGAGCGGCAGTAGATGAGTAGACGATCACGAGGGGTAGCGTGCTGAACAGCCTCGCGGTATGCTTGTGTGAGATGTTCAAGGATCAGCCGCTCATCAGAATATGTATCCACTTGGTAACGTATGTTGGGTCGTATCGTGGGCGCAGCGATAACCTCCAAGTTTTCAATGTTGAACGCCTTTGCGAGCTCAGGAATACTCGATCGATAAATGGTGGCGGTGAGGAAAACAATGGTGACGCCAAGATCCATGAGCGATTGGACCTTGGAGTAGCAATCACGATAATTACTGGAGACGAGGATTTCGTGCGCTTCATCAAAAATGATTCGCTTGATGAGACCAAGTTTGGATGCCGCTGTGAGCCAGTCATCCAGTTGTCCATGGATGAGATGCTCCGCGTTCACGACGAGTAGCCGTGCGGATGAGCAGTCGATGGTGGTGTAAGGGGACACTCCTATTTTCTCTCCTTTCCTTCATTCCATGGACTCTTACCTACATTCCCTTCATTCCCCTTCGTTCCTTTTCGCTCCCTTTCCTTTCCACTTCCTTTCCACCCACTCCTTTCGCATCCGAGCCGCGTCCGGTGACTCCGGAGTCTTCCCGCACTTCGGACACTTCGGACTCGCTCGGACTCGTCTCGGACACTTCGGACTCGCTCGGACACTTCGGACTCGCTCGGACTCATCTATACTCTTCGGGGCTCGTCCGGGTTACCTCTATCCTTTTCCCCCACTTCATTACTCTTCGCCCTTACTTCCCCAAGTCGCTGGCACGACTCCTGTGCATTTACCCTCCACTTCATTATCACATGTTTCCTTGTACCTTGTGATATTTGTTCGGACTTTGGCTGGTGTACTGTACAGTTATCCTGCATTCCTCTCACGCTACTACAGTATATACTTCGCTTCCTAGCATGGAGAATCCTTATCCTGTTCTCTTTGGATTCTCCCTCTGCTAGGTGAGCAGCCCTCTCATGTATTGTAGTTAGCCTTATTCATTATCTTTGGATTCTCCCTCTGCTAGGCCTGCGCTGTCGGCCATCTTGAGGTTGCCCTTACAGCAGAACAGGATCTCCCATCCTGGCACCAGAGCCCTACGGAAAACGTCCTGCGCCACTCCGGACTCGTTCTCGACGTCTCTCCGGTTTTGCGGACATTCCGGACGCTCTCCTGCTACTCCCACCCACCTCTGAGGACCCAAGGAACTCCATCCCTCGCTCCCCTGACGACTCCGAAATGCCGGGCGCTTCCAGCCAGATCCCGCCATCCGAGCCAGTCGCTTCAGGACCGGACTCCGAGACTTTGCAGACCTTGTGGGCTCAGACGTACGAACACCAAACCCAAATCAGCTCCATCCAGAATACACTTGCCCGAATCGAAGGACTCCTCTTAACACCCCGTCCGACTACTCCAAAAACGACTCCGGACTCCGAGCTGAGGGGCACCGAAGCCTCCCAGCACGCCCCGAGTCGATCCGAAAACACCCCACGTTCCCGCCTGAAGCCTGCCTCTCCCCCGATCTTCGACGGAAACCGCAAGGATGGTCGCGCATTCTACAACGCGTGCTCCATCTACTTCCAACTCTGTCCGGACCACTTCCCGACCGAGCAGGCCAAAATCCTCTGGTGTCTCTCCTTCTTCCAGAAGGATCGAGCTAAGGAGTACGCGGACATGGTGCTCCGGAGTCCGAAGGATCCATACTTTGCGTCCTGGGCCGCCTTCGCAACCGAGTTCCGGACTCGCTTTCTTCCGGATCGGGAACGCGAAGCCGCCATGCTAAAACTGGAGTCCACCCGGTACCACCAAGGGTGTCGGACTTTCCAGGAGTACCTCGACGAGTTCCGGGACCTTGTAGACCAGTCCGGATACACTGAGGGCTCCAACATCACGATGAAGTTCCGCCGCGGATTGGACTCCATCATCCAGAGCCGTGTTGCCGAGTCCGCAGACTGTCCGGACGAGGATGACTTCGAGGAATGGTACAAGGCAGCACAGCGGGTTGCTGACAACCGTGCTGCTAACCAATCCTTCCACTTTGGTGTGCACTCCGGAAACTCCGGACACTCCGGATCCCTCGTCCGACCAGCAGCCAGCTCCGGAGTCGCTCGGACTCCTGCGGGTGTACTCCCCACGCCTCGGACTCAGCTCCCACCTTTGCAACCCCGTTTCCAACCTCCGCCTCCTCCAAAGGCTCTCTCACCCGGTGTCCCAATGGATGTCGACCACACCCGCTCCCGACCTGCCACCTCACAGCTCTGCTACTGATGCGGCAAGCCCGGTCACATGTCTCGCGAGTGCCCACTCCGGTACGACGTCCGGTTCATGACCACCGAGGAGCGGATGTCCGCCATTGAAGATCTCTTGACCGCGGCCGATGTTGTAGAAAGTACGGGGACTTCGGAAGGAATAGACGATGAGGGAACGGCCCCGGTTGAGGAATCGGACACGGCGGATTTTGTCCGGACCAACGAGTGATCAGTGCGACCTCGTTGGTAAATAACCGATTTGCTTGTCTTAGCGTAGACGAAATAGACGATTCCAATCACTCCGATGATTCGTCCGACGTTAAGCAAGCAACTCCGGTTACAATCCGCACACTCCGAAGGTTTCGCCCGCAGTGGGAACGGCGGCTACCCAGTAGCTATAAGATCTCCGCGCTGCCCGGCAAGCTTTCGCTAGATATACCCGTTGAAGTGCAGAGCACGGATACACAACACAGATGCACCCTGCAGGCCCTGGTGGACTGCGGAGCCACCGGAGTCTTCATGCATCCGCGCTTTGCTGATGCCCATGGTTTCACCCGACGCAAGCTGTCCGCTCCGATTCCGGTCTTCAACGTTGACGGGTCACCAAATGAGAACGGATCTATCTCCGAAGTCGTGGACCTTGTACTCCGGTTCAAGGATCACACGGAACGGATGCTTTTCGCAGTCACTAACATCAGACGGCAGGACATCATCCTCGGATACACCTGGCTTCGGAAGCACAACCCCGAGATTGACTGGCAGACAAAGGAGGTGACCATGAGCCGCTGTCCGTCCGGATGCGACACCTGTCGGAAGGAGTTCCGCCATGACAAGCTGACCCGACGCAAGGAGTCCGTACGACTCCGGGAGTGTCGTACGGGTCCGATGCCAAGGGTTGAGGAACTGCACTCGGACGATCTCCCAGAGCTTCACGACTGCGAGGAAGATGATGAGGATGACAATGCTACAACTCCGGACGACTCCGGACTTGAGAGGGGTGACCGTGTCTTTGTGGCTATTCCTCCTCCGACTCCGGAGTACCTTCGGAGTCTTCAGGAAGAACATATCCGGGCTTCGGAGACAGTCTCGCAGCGCCTTGCATTGGCTTTCCAGCGCAACAAACCCCACGATCCTCGGAACAGCGCAGTCCCGGACTTCCTCCAGGAATTCGAGGACGTCTTCGCAAAGGAGTCCTTTGATGAACTGCCCATGCCGCGTCCGTGGGACCATGCCATTGAGCTACTGGACGGAGCGGAACCGACCTCTACCAAGTGCTACCCGCTGTCCCCGGCGGAACAGAAACAGCTGGACGAATTCCTGGAAGAAAATCTCCGGACTGGTCGGATCCGCCCCAGCAAGTCGCCCATGGCTGCCCCGGTGTTCTTTGTTAAGAAGAAGGATGGATCGCTCCGCTTGGTCCAGGACTACCGGAAGCTCAACAACATGACGGTCAAGAATCGGTACCCACTTCCGCTCATCTCGGACTTGGTGGACAAACTCCGGAATGCTCGCTACTTCTCCAAGCTTGACGTCCGGTGGGGCTTCAACAATGTCCGGATCAAGGAGGGTGATGAGTGGAAGGCCGCATTTCGGACTACGCGCGGACTCTTCGAACCGTTGGTAATGTTCTTCGGACTGACGAATAGCCCATCCACCTTCCAGACCATGATGAACGACCTCTTCCGGGAGCTCATTACGGAAGGTGTGGTCATTATCTATTTGGATGACATTCTGATCTACACCAAGACGCGCGAAGAGCATCGCCGGGTCCTCAGGCGTGTCCTAGAGATCCTCCAGCGGAACAAGCTCTTCCTCCGAGCGGACAAGTGCGAATTCGAGCAGACCAAGGTGGAGTATCTCGGAGTTGTCATCTCTGAGGGTAAGATCGAGATGGATCCCGTGAAGGTTTCCGGAGTCGCGGACTGGCCGACCCCCCGGACTCGGACTGAACTCCAATCCTTCCTCGGGTTCGTCAATTTCTACCGCCGCTTCATCAAAGACTACTCACATATCGCTCGGCCTCTCTTCGACCTCACTTGCGCAAAGGAATGGCAGTGGAACGACTCCGCTCAATCCGCATTTCTTCGGATCAAGGAGCTGATCACTTCGGAGCCCGTTCTGGTCTTTCCGAAGGAGGATCGGCCATACCGGGTTGAAGCGGACTCGTCAGATTATGCTACGGGTGCGGTCTTGTCGCAGCTGGATCCGGATGATGGTAAATGGCATCCTGTCGCATTCTACTCTAAAAGTCTACAGGCTGCGGAGCGGAACTACGAAATACACGACACGGAGATGCTTTCGATCATCCGGGCACTCGAAGAATGGCGGCACTACCTTGAAGGCGCGGAGACTCCGTTCGAGATCTGGACGGACCACAAGAACCTGGAGTACTTCATCAAGGCCCAGAAACTCAATCGTCGTCAAGCCCGCTGGTCGCTATACCTCTCCCGCTTCGACTTCACTCTCCAGCACCGTCCGGGTCGGACAATGGGTAAGCCGGATGCTCTCTCGCGCCGCTTGGATCACTCGGATGGTAAGGATGACAACAAGGATGTGGTTTTACTTAAGCCGTCCTACTTTGCCGTCCGTGCCACGGGTGTCACTCTTGAAGGGGAGGAGAAGGATATCCTCACGGCTATCCGGACTGGAGTGCGGAATGCGAAGTTTGAAGATGCAGTGGCAAAGGCGGCGGAGGAACTGAAGAAGACCCAGGGCAGTCGCAAGACAGTCCGAAGTGCGGAATGGTCCCAATCGGACGGACTCCTCATGTTCCGGGGTAAGATCTACGTTCCGGACTCACCGGATTTGCGTCGGACTATTGTAGCTCAGCACCACGACACCAAGGTCACAGGACACGCCGGCAGATGGAAGACCCTAGAGCTCGTTTCGCGCAGCTACTGGTGGCCCAACATGTCCCGGTACGTCGGATCCTACACCCGCCATTGCGACCTCTGTCTCCGGACGAAGGCCCAAAGGCATCCGCCCATGGGTGAACTTCATCCGCTTCCCATTCCGGATGAACGCTGGGATCGCCTGAGTGTTGACTTCATTGTCGAGCTTCCGGAGTCCGATGGGTTTGATGCTGTCATGAACGTGGTCGACTCCGTAAGCAAACGCGCCCACTTCATTCCGACTCACACCACAGTGTCTGCCCTCGGATCCGCAAACTTGTACCTGCAGAACGTCTGGAAGCTGCACGGACTCCCTCGGTCCGTTGTGTCTGACCGGGGTCCGCAATTCGTCGCAGAGTTCACCCGAGAAGTCTACCGGATGCTCGGAATCAAGCTGGCTGCCTCCACTGCGTACCACCCTCAGTCCGACGGACAGACGGAACGGACCAACCAGGAACTCGAGTCCTATCTCCGGATCTTCGTCGGAGAGCGTCAGGATGACTGGGCTCGCCTCCTACCTATGGCAGAGTTCGCGTACAACAACCGGGTCCATGCGTCCACTCAGCAGTCACCCTTCCTCCTGGATACCGGCCGTCATCCTCGTCTCGGGTTCGAACCTTATCAGCCACCGTCTCGGATGGAGTCCGCAAACGAGTTTGTAGACCGGATGAAATCTGCAGTCGACGAGGCTCAGTCCGCGTTGGTCAAGGCTCAGGACGACATGAAGCGCTACTACGATCAGCGTCGGACTCCCGCTCCGGAGTACCAACCGGGTGACAAGGTCTGGCTGGACTCGTCGGACATCAACCTTGCCCGACCCTCCCGGAAACTCGGACACGCACGACTTGGTCCTTACAAGGTCGTCCGGAAGGTTGGCAAGGCAGCGTACCGGCTCCAGCTCCCTCCGGGCTTATCCCGTCTCCATCCTGTCTTCCCCGTGGTCAAACTCTCTCCCTTCGTTCCAGACCCCATCCCAGGTAGACGCCCTGTCGCTCCGCCACCTCCGCAGCTCGTTGACGGAGAAGAGGAGCATGAGGTAGAAGAGGTCCAAAATAGCAGACGGTTCGGTCGGGTCCTGAAGTATTTGGTGCGCTGGCGAGGCTATGGTATCGAGCACGACTCCTGGGAGCCCGCGAGCAACCTCCAGCATGCCGCCCGGAAGGTCAAGGACTTCCATGATCGTCACCCGGACGCAGTACGTGTACTCCGGACGAGTCCGATGAATCCGACGACTGCTCTACCTCTCCGGATGACTCCTGTGGCACTGGACCAGTCCTGGGAGCGTTGGCGCAATCGGAAGGCTCCGGGCTCCGCGCAGTCGTACTTCGACATCTTCTCGCAGCAATCCGGAGTTTCGGGGTTGGTGAATTCATGGCGCGGCAGGCAAGAATCTTCGCGTCGGGTCGCCGCAACCTTGAAGGGGGGGTGATGTAAGGGGACACTCCTATTTTCTCTCCTTTCCTTCATTCCATGGACTCTTACCTACATTCCCTTCATTCCCCTTCGTTCCTTTTCGCTCCCTTTCCTTTCCACTTCTTTTCCACCCACTCCTTTCGCATCCGAGCCGCGTCTGGTGACTCCGGAGTCTTCCCGCACTTCGGACACTTCGGACTCGCTCGGACTCGTCTCGGACACTTCGGACTCGCTCGGACACTTCGGACTCGCTCGGACTCATCTATACTCTTCGGGGCTCGTCCGGGTTACCTCTATCCTTTTCCCCCACTTCATTACTCTTCGCCCTTACTTCCCCAAGTCGCTGGCACGACTCCTGTGCATTTACCCTCCACTTCATTATCACATGTTTCCTTGTACCTTGTGATATTTGTTCGGACTTTGGCTGGTGTACTGTACAGTTATCCTGCATTCCTCTCACGCTACTACAGTATATACTTCGCTTCCTAGCATGGAGAATCCTTATCCTGTTCTCTTTGGATTCTCCCTCTGCTAGGTGAGCAGCCCTCTCATGTATTGTAGTTAGCCTTATTCATTATCTTTGGATTCTCCCTCTGCTAGGCCTGCGCTGTCGGCCATCTTGAGGTTGCCCTTACAGGTGGATGATGGCCATTGAACTACATCAATGCCATACCGCTTGGCTTCTCGGTATTGCTGATTCGCTAGGGCAACGAAGGGGCTAACTACGATGGTTATACCCTCCGATTCCATCAGCGGGGGGCCATAGAACATCAAGCTTTTTCCACCGCCAGTCGGCAGAATGCCCAAGACGTGGCGGGTGTTCTGCATGACAAGTTCGAAGAGTTCACCTTGTTGGGGACTAGTAAAACGAGGCTCCGAGGTTCCGTAGAGGCGTTCCAAAGCCACTTTGCGCGACGGATGGACGATGACGCGAAAGGGTGGGGAGACGGGGAGAGAACGGAGTGTAGGCGGACGAGGTTGAATGGCGTGCATTGCCATGTAGGTGTGAACGGCATCGGAGACGGTGGCTTGGAGGGCATCGCCAAGCATAGGAATGGTGGCATGGAGGGATTGGACGAATGCAGTGGTATCAATTTTGCCTGCGGGAGCCTGAGTTAGAGCTTTGGCTGGCTCTGTGTGGCCAATGCGAAGGTTGGCGGGAAGGTGCTCGTAACCAATCCCGAGCCATTCGTGGTAGGCTAGCGAGAATATCTGTGCTTTGGTGACGTCTTTCGCATCAATGTGAGAGAACGTGTCTTCCTCAACTGCGTAATATGTTTGCGAGACTTTGGAGGAATGTCCCCAGAGTCCATCGAGGATTCGATACAATGACGGACTGTCCCCCGGGTCCTCTTGCAGCGCCAAACCAACAGCGTGTTTCAACACGAATTTCATCAGATGTCGGCAGTCGCGAACGCCCAGGGGAAATATACAGGTTTCTTGAGTGAATCGTCGCAAAATATCAGTCATCCGCTTGGTGTTGAGTGGTCGAGCTCGATGGACAAAGATGCAGCTGCTGTAGAGGACGGCATGGGCTTTGGTGGACTGAATGTTGGCGATGTACTGGGTGCAGGGGTAGATGACGGCGAGGAGGATGATAAAGAGGCGTGCCAAGCGGGGTGGGACAGCGCGAGGAATCATCGACGGACGGCCGGTATTGTGCTGGGTTTTGTTATAGAAAGTAACAAAGGTGAGAACGCCGTTGGTGAAGTACAAATTGCGAGGGGCATGGCCGTTTTTATAACGTATGTCCTCTATTTCCGTCCCCCTCGCTGCTCCTGCCCAAGTGAAGTTCAACGAGGCGTACAGGTGTTCGACGAGGTCATCGACGTCGTCGATGAAGGACAACAGGGCGTTGGGCTTGAATTGGATGCCGTCAGGAGTATGGACGGCATAGACAGTGCTGTCGTTGCGGCATATGTGGTCCATTAGCGAGTCCTGATAGCGCGAGAACCCGTTTCTTTCATCGGTGAGGAAGGAATATCCGTGTTCTTCGTCTCGTAGTGTGTCTTTGAACCATCATCCGTCGCTGTTGTCAAGTGACAATGCAGTGTGGATGCGTGCATCAAGGTCCGTAATATCGAGTCCGTCGAGAAGGGATAGCAGCAGCGACTCGGATGAAGAGACCAGGCCTACTGCGAAATCTTTGAAAGAGGACATAGTGAACGGATGAGATTTAAAGGAGAAAGTCTCCATGTCTGCCCCCATCAGGAAGAGAGGGAGGCTGGGCTCTTGCATCGAGATCGCAGTGATGGGATGGATGTGGCATCGAAGGACAGCAAAGGGGGAGTGGCCGCCCTCCGTCAGATATTTGGAGATGTCCTCGTATACGCTGTTCCATTGCGTTAGTATGGGGTTCAGAAGGAGGCCAAGGACTTACCCCATCTCGCCGTTTTCCTTTGAGGATGCGAGCTTTTTGCATTGGTACAGCCCCATAGCACGCCAGCACCATTGAATGGCGATCATGTTGTGGCAGATGTGGGTTGCCATTTTGAATCTAGCGGACAGGTCGTCTCGCAAGTGGTAGGCAATCAAGAAACGTGTCAAAGGAATGTCGAGTTCGTTAAATTCATTCGAGACCGGGATGGATGTGAGCATGGACCAACAGACTTGATGTACTAGGTCCCAAAAGGAAGGAGGTGCGTGGACCAGGTCCTCCGGGATATTCGAATTCAGGAATTGCCTTATTAGGTATAGCTGCGAGTCCGTGGTAGTAACGGGGAAGCCGGGGATGGCCTTGTCGGCGGCACGAACGACGAAAGTCATCATGCAGGAAAAGATATGCGCATAGTCGCGGACGGTCTTCTGATTCTGCGGTAGTCGAAAAGGATATCGTTCACAATTGCCTCTGAATGATGTCCGTTTAATATAGTACAAACGAAGTGACTATTTATGCTTACTTGTCTGGAGAGTTAATGAGACGGAGTAGCATAGTATTGCTCCTCTTCTCAAGGACTGGTGCCACGATGTGGACTATGTAGTATTTGAATGCGTCAAAGATTCGATGGAAGTTTGACGGAGCAAGTTCTGGTGCCGGTGGACGAGAATAAGTGTGGGCAAAGCCAAGGTGCGCTCCCGGGACAGTGAGATGCCATTTGGTGACATTTTCTAACGGTGAGAGTTGGGTGTGGGTGATTAGACGATGATCTTCCAGCGTGAGGGCGCCTTGATCTTGCAGTTGTTTCTTCAGATCGCGCCAAGAACTCTTGGGGGGTAAAAAGTCGTCGGGAGGTGCGGTGGAATTGATTGCGACATATTTAGTGAAGTTGCAAGGGTTGTATATTCGTTGACATTTGGTTTCGACAAATATTGGTGTCTGTTGAGGATGCATTGCTTGCTGGTGCGTATTTTTGGTGGTTTTAGATCCAAATACGTGACCAAAGCAGGGACCAGGGGTAGCACATCGCCAACCTTGTTGAACGGGGAGTATAGGAATGGGCCGGTCGAAGCCTCCTTCGGGAAGGAGGGGTGAAAGGTTGGTTCCGAGTTCCTGCAATGCCGAGGCCAAGCGATCTATGTCGAATCTGATACGTCGAGGGCAAGACTCGTTGATATGTGTGGCCAGATGTTGGGCCGGTACCGCTGAGCTACATTCGAGGCACAATAACAGCCGGGTGGGCGAATGGAAATAGATCCCGGCGTCTTTCAACGTAAATGTTTTGGCGGTTTCTCGCCGACGGGGCTTGCGGGTGGAATGGGGAAGCTGCTGGGTACTTGGGGGGAGCTGCGTGACCTTTATAATAGGCAAATCGGGAGTGGGGGTTTCAGGGACAAGTGTAAAGTCAGACGGCGGTTCAGAAATGGCATAGGGCACAGACGATGGGGGGGAGATGATAGGTAGTGATGCGGGGGACGTTGGATGGATGCGAATTCATTTCGGCGTTACAGCTTGGTCTTCAACGAAGTCAATTGATCGCTTCGAGGATGAAGGGGAACTAGAGGGCATAATGAGGGATGGCGAGTGGGGGCGGTCCGTAGAGTGGCTGCCTGCGTGATGTTTCGAAACATGATCTCGTATGTCGAGCTCACGATTGTGCTTCTCTGGGCAGAGTGGACATTGATACGAGTAACTGTCCGTCCGCTTGATAACGAAAAAGGTGGTTTCTAAGAGGGAGATTAGATAAGATATGGCTCAGATTTGTTTGGTTATATTTACCATTTGGTTTTATGGTGACTTCAAGCGGATGAACACATCGTGTGTGGCTTGGAGTAGCCTCGTCGCCGCAGTGAACACAGGGAGGCATGGAGATATGTAATAATAGCAAGTAATAATAATAGGATATCTAAGAAAAGCCGTCCGAGTCTTAGGATGCTATCTAGTGATTGATGTTCCGATGAATGAAGTACACGCGTAACTATGACAATTGCGAATGCAGGAGGCTACACTGAGTCCGTGGGCGAAGGAAATGACGCCAATGGTGTATCGAAAGCGAAACAAGGAAATCGTCCGGGAGTCTACGACCCTGGGACGTGCGTGAGGCAATCTACGATTGTGTCGACGCAATAGCAAAGAAATAATAAACTATTCGATCAAGCAGGATGACGAGGATGGAGCGGGCAACGAGGTTACTAGAGGGCGTAAAAGATTAGCAATAGAAGGGCTGGCTGTAACATCGCATACCTAGCGTTCGATGGTGGTAAGTCGGTAGAGCAGGAGACGAGGGTGCTGGATGGGGCGAATGATTAGCAAGAGACGAGCAAGCTCTGGGATCACTTACCCATCCTTATGAGCGTATCCCAGCGAGACATCGAGTGCAATGAAAAGGAAGATGTCACTTTGCGACATGTGATTATTGTGATAGTGTAGCTCGGGGTTGACATACTCACATGAGCGATGTCCTTCTTCGCAGATCAACCCGAATGTTCCTTAACTAATGTAGAATCGCTGTTCTGTTCCTACTGTATAAGTTTAGATGGAGAATGTGAAGGAGTAAAGGCGCACGTAAATGCGCACCTGAGTTGCCAATCTCTGATTGTTGTGCCCATCGCGGGCCATCGCCGGCCATTGAGAGCAGCCCAGCGCATCGAAAAGGTGGAGACACATCAGGGAAGTGATCTGCATCGGTATGAGTAAGTTATCGGACAATCTAAGGGATCGGGAGGCTTGGGGCTTACTGCCAAGGTTCCTCGACGTAGGCCTTCCTCCCGACAATCAGAGACCTCCCGGGACGCAATAATGGCAAAAAATAGCAGCGAGGTGGTCTACGACCATGTCGCTGTATTATCCAACAATCGGGGGGCCCCTACGGGGCTGCTCGATGTTGTTCAGCCATAGATCCTACAAGTCCATCGTCGTCCATCGGCGGCCATCAGCGTCCATCGAGAGGGTGCCCATGGAGGAGGGAGGTGTATGTGTGGCAGCGAGGTAGTCTACGACTATGTCGCTGTGTTATCCGACGATCGGGGGGCCCCTACGGGGCTGCTCGATGTGGACAACAGTGAAGAGGCTGTGGGCAGAACCGGGCGGACTTGAACTTCTTTATTTCCCTTGGGCGTGGAAACCAAACAAAGCCCGTTTGGGTTTGATCTTATCACTATCATTGTCTTATCAGCCGAGGTTGGGCGTTTATCTGCGGACGTGGTTATCTTATCATGCGCGGACTTGGTGCAAATTGAGGTAGTGTTATTATATGGGTACATGTAACGAGCTAGGGAAGAGCATGGTAACAAGATAGCGAGATTATATCTGCAAGAAACGTGCGGAGATCACGGCATGATGTATACCGAGGGGTCAATCTTGGTGCGATGGGGGACAGTCGGCCCGCGGGCGAAATGGAAGAAAAAACGTTTGCAATAAAACGATGCACAAGCGCACTCAAGCGTCTCGAAGTTGACGTCAGATTCGGCCTTTTGGAGATCGTTTATGATGCGGGGCGGACAGTCCTTCCAGTGGGCCATGACGCGTGAGATGGCGAGGATATATTTGCGTCGCTCAACGACGTCTGGATTGGAGAGACCGCTCCAGGCCGTGAGGTATGTCACGTTCATGTGGTCGCCGCCTCCTTCGCCTGCAAAACTGGTTGAGGGGAAGCATTGATTGACGAGGTCGTCATGCGCGATGGGGTCAACGTCGGGAGCAAGCATTTGGCTGTCGAGCATGCGTAGCTCCCATCGAAAGTTGATCTCGATGATTTCGTACATGATGCGCTCGGTTACACGATCGTGAGGCCATTTGTCGGATGGAAGAGCCTCGCTGTGCCAGTTAAGATCTTCATGGCGATCCTTGTGATCCTCATCGAGTTCTTCAGTCCACTTGGCCAGGAGATCTTGCATATTTTGGCGACGAATGGCGTGCTTGTCGAGTTTGATCTTCTTCTGCGCAGGCTCGCTCGTTTGGGACGTTTCTGGACCCAGTAGGAAATCCCACTTGATGCGGGAGAGGGGGGTTGGCGACAGCCGAGGCGACATGCGAAGTAAGAGTACATCAAGATGGTTGATGAACGTATGCAAGATCTTAAGTTGGCGCGGTCTGAGGTTGTCTTCGGAGTTAAGTGGCACGATCGCGGTGGGCGGAGGAAAGATGAATCCGTTCCTTCCCTCTATGTATTCCGGGGAGACGTATTTCTGCTTCACCACAACAGTCGAAAGCCCATGTTGCCAGGCTGCCATCATGATCGGCATGAACCGATGACGATTGGGGCGGAAATGGAGGGTGTCCGCCGGGTTTATGATAAGGCGTCTCTTGGGCTCCGAGTCTGTGGGCATAAACGTTAGAGGAGAACGATAAGTTAAGTTTCGACTCACCTTGTTTGTCATCTTGTGGTGGTTTGGGCGCACGAGAAGGGCCCGCGGAGTAGTCTTGGCTGAAGCTGGGAATGGGGGGCGGCCTTTCAATGGTGTCACGCAAAGATGATGTGCGACCAAAGTCCGTGTAGGCGAGAAACTCGCGGCCGAAGAGCATAAGATTATTGTGGCGCTGGGGGTCAGCCGCGTCCGTGTTCCATACGATCGTCTTGTGGCCGCGCCAAGGTCGCAGCTCGATGTTCATGGCCTCGGCGGGAGTAGGATTGATGACGGTATCGATACGCGTGTCCGCGTTGAACTCGCGGATGGGCCTGATAAGCCAAACAGGCACGCCGGCCTTGGCTAGCTCTTCGACAACGACAACCTTGTTCGTCACCGCGCCTACAAAGTTGGCCGCGGGCCTGAGTATGCCTCCGTACTCCGGCGAGTCCATGAGCGGTTTGCGGACTTGCATATATTCCAAGTAGGCTTCCAACTCGAGGAAGTGCCGCTGCGCTTGAGTAAAAGAAAATAGAATATCCGGCCAGGACGCCTTGGTACTCTCCAAGCGTCCAATCCAGATTTTGAGCTGGGTCGCGTGGCCGTGGAACCGCCGATTCTGCGCAAGGTCAGGTCTGGATTCGATGAAGGCGTAGTAACGTTTCACAAGGAGAACGGCTGGCTCACGGATCCGAGATACGAGGTGGTGGTCCATTTGGCCGATTCGGGATTGGTGAGATGCGCGGAAGTGGTATTGATAAACGGGGTCGATGAACATGACATCCTGGGTATCTTCTCGCTGGGTGGGGGGTCGGCGAATGCATGCAAGATGGGGGTGTTCGCTTATGTACTGCTGAGGGAGCAAGAAGGGGTCCTCAGCGCCGAATCTGCCATCCTGCCTGAGCTGGACGATGGTAGTGAGCCCGAGAACCGGCTCAAATATGTTGTCGGCGTTGGGAGTAGTTATAAACGCTTTGCCTTCGAATAGGATGGCTCCCATGGTGCCATCGAGATAGCCAAAGTTTGCCAAAGGCTTCGAGCGATTGCGACTTAGCAGGTCGGGTTTTTTTTTGACTTCTTCGGCGGTAAGTGACATAGACAGTATCTATCAAGTTCGTACGTTGAGTATATACGGTGTTTACTTGGGAAGGAGAAGCGAAAGGAGAAGAAAGAAGGGGAATCTGGCGACAGACGGTGTCTTTTAGGATGGGACATCGGGGACGATCAAGACGAATAAAAGGTAGCTGCACGCCGTCAATCTACAATTGTGGGCAGGTGCACCCTATCGCGGCAGTCTACGACTGTGGCGACGGGCCTATGGATGGAGGGAGGGAAGAAGGAGGAGCAAGCGGGACCGGAGTACTCACCGTTTGGACTTAGGTTTTTCGTGAACAGCAATAAGCGCTGGGTGTCAGTGTTAAGTAATCCGATTGGACTCCGATCGTTCTCCGATCAAACGCCAGAGGGAGGCGCTTATTGTAAGTTTGTCCCCTTGTCCCTCACCAACACCACCCATTCGCACTGCTACGGGTCCATCCACGCTTGTAGAGCGACGGTGGACCCTCAGGATGCCCATAGTCGTAGACTACCGGCTCCTCACCCTCTGGCACCAACGAAGCGTCCAAATTTTACACTCCCTTGCCCCGGCCGACGTCCAACAACCCAACCGTGCTGCTACGGGTCCATCCACGCTCGTAGAGCGACGGTGGACCCTAAGGATGCCCATAGTCGTAGACTACCGGCTCCTGGCCCTCTGGCACCACCTCCGAGGCCGAAGTTGGCACACCCTGGCATTTGTTCTTTGCGCGCGACGCAGCGGGAGAAGAGATCGGAACCGATGAGGGGTCGGATGGGCCACGATAGGGAGAAACGGCTAGGGAGTGGCTGGGGGAATGATGGAGGCCGGAATCTGGGGTAGAGCGCTGAATGAATGCGCGAGGTACGTCAATTTCCATGGATTTTTCTGGCACCTCACCTATTTTTCTCAGATCGTTAGCTCAAAGAGACAGGACGCCGCGAGCGCACATGGGCTGTCGATGTATGTACTCCGTAAGTCCTGGTTACGTCTATGTCAACGGCCCGTGAGCTAACTGTATAGGCAGTCGTGGGTTTTGTTCTCTGATAGGATTTCCTTCGCGCTTCGCCTGCGGAGGCATGGCTGAGTTTTTCGTGTGGACTGTGGGGTGTTCACTACCTCTCACGTGTAGTCATTTGACCAAACGATTTCCCTTGTGTTCGCCTGAGGCCTCTGCCAGTCATCTTTGCCCAGCGCCCTTGGCGGGGAGGCCCCTGTCTGCTTGCTCGTGATCGCGCGCTCGGGAGTGGTGCCCGCCTGTGCAGCTTCACGTGTCTTCGCTCGGCCGAACTGCCGATTCACACCTTCCCCGCGATGCCCGTGTCCATCCCCTCGCTGGGGGGCCCCTGTCTCTCACGTGCATGTCTCACCTACGCCGCGATGCCCGTAGCCATCCCCTCGCTGGGGGGGCCCCTGTCTCTCACGTGCGTGTCTCACCTACGCCGCGATGCCCGTAGCCATCCCCTCGCTGGAGGGGCCCCTGTCTCTCACGTGCGTGTCTCACCTACGCCGCGATGCCCGTATGCATCCCCTCGTTGGGGAAGGCCTTGTCCTCCTGTCCTCCCCTCGCCGCCGTTCGCCGTCTTTCAGGACACGGCGTCCTTCAGCACGGCCCCCGGAGCCTGCGAGTCCACATGGCACGTCTGGCGTGCCCACTGCATCCATGTGAAGGCAAGTGCTCCTACGCTACGCAATGGTGAGTTGGACTTGTCCTCAAGTCACCTAACCTAACCAACGAAGACAGTCGCTCGTAAACGAGCTCCAGATACAATATACCGAAACCCGAAACCTCAACTCCCTAAGGTCCTAACGCCGTAAGGCCCTAATCCGTGGGCTTTCATTTGATGGTAAGTCCGCGTTAGAGCTCGTAAACGAGCTCTAACGCTTATTGTTTATAGGCAGTCCTTGATCCGAAAGATCAAGTACCTAGCTGACATTATCCACTTGTAACTGAGCTCTCTTGGAAATATACGTGAATCCGAAGCTCCTGCCCCTTAAGTTCCTATCTCTGAAGGCTCCAATGCAAATAAGTTGTCCGAATTCAGGAGAATAAGATAGGATTGCGTGCATGAGAAGGCATGGAATCGCGTTAGAGCTCGCGTTCGCGAGCTCTAACGCTCTAATACCAAGCCACATAGCTATCTAACTTGGTAGTTGAATGGTAAAATATACATATTTGTGTGATATATAACAGGGTTATGGCCAATAAGTGATATGATAAGGTTGAAAGAAAGAGGTAGAGTAGCCCAGAAGTAGCAGTTTTGGGCTGACCTGACCCAGCACTAGGTCCGGAGTCAGTGGATAGGCAAGGCGCGTGTACGCAGTGTAAGTCAAACATACCCTTCTTTCTCGCGTACCACCGCCGCCCATCTATCCCTCAGGCGTTGCTGGTCGACGATGTCCTGGTCTGGCTGAACATCGACGAGATTTTCGGTGCATTATGTAACGTTAGATACCTTCCATCGCACTAAGTAGAAGTTAATCGCATACCCGAGATGTTCATTGTGTATAAGGGAAGTCCGTTTGTTCACGGAATCCTGTCGACAAAGAAAGCATTAACGAACAGTAGGCACGAAGTTTTGAGGCCAGCTTACAAAAGAACCGCGACGCGAACGCGTACAACAGCGCAGGAGACTTGAGAATAGAGACATCGTTCAAGGTGTGGATGATTGGTGGATTTCTCTGACAGTGAAGAGGACGAGTTTGTCGGTTGCAGAAGAGTTGGATGCGCCTGAGCCATCCCGCCCTTGTTTGGGTATGGTCTTGCGGGCAAACAACTAAACCCTATCTCCGTCTACGCCCACTCGCCGCTGCAAAACCCGTGCCACCTCCCACTCCACCTTGTGCCCGTAGCCCACGCCGTCAACATCGACGTCTCCTATGAACGAGCCCAGCACACCTCTGTGCCTCGCATTTTCGAAGCTCGTTAACCGTCGCCGCCATCCCGCGCATGCGTATCAGGTTCCCTTCCTTCCCTAGCTGCGCTAGCCTCTTCGGGCGATGATAGACGGCGGCGTGGTGCGTAACCGTTGCTGGCATTGGCTATCCCCGGTACACTGTCGTTTGGGCTCGCAGTTGCGGTACAACGTGTTCATGTGCGAAGTAAGTGGACCCTGGGTTGCAGACATTGCGGCGAGCAGCTTTAGAGGCAGAGGGTCCTTGCGTTGTGGGCTGGGAGGCGAGCAGATGGTGCAAGGCCGACAGTACGAGTTGGAGAGGCGTGAAGTGGTCTGTGGCTAAGGTACGCGGCGGCTGAAAGGAGATGTAATAGTAGAGTACACACCCAGTTGAGTTAATATACCCATTCCTAACCCCCTTTTCGTTTGTCTCCCCTCGGATACTGATGGGCGTAAGGTGTAGCGTACGTCAGAGAGTTGGACACGTTGGCCGCGTAGCTTGCAAGATTGTGAGAGAGGGGCTCCTCGTTCATTCTCCCCGTCGTTCCCCCTTCTCGTCTTGTTTTTTCTCTCTCGTTCTCGTTCTCCCTCTCGTTTGCCTCCCAATCTTCTCTGCCGTCGTCCTCGTTCCTTCACTGACACGTTCCCCGATGAATGATGCGCGACGTTTGCCCAAAGGCCGTCGAGGGCGTCTGCGGTGGTATAAGGCGACTGGGTGGGAAAACCAAGGCGGGCGCGAGCTTACCTGGGTGCTCGAGGGCCGTTTGGCGCCGATATTGCTTATTGCCTTTGCCTCTCTTACGTAAAGTCGCCGTTCGGGTCGTTTTTTCTCGTGTTCTCGGGGTTCTCCTTTTCTTTGTATTGTTGCGGAGTACTGATTTGGGGCGTAGGGTAAGTCCTGGCGGTCATCGCGTCGTTGGCAGATAACTTCGGCGTGGATCGTGGACGATGGGCTGATGAAGGCGCGGCACTGACGAGGAATAAGCCGTCAGATCGAATCGTTGATAGATTACAGACCTAGATCAGTAGTCGTTCCCTATCCCCCCTTTATGCTGCGCTTCTTATCGTCGCCGTCGTAAAGCCAAGGGTGCGCGTGAGAGATGGTGTCATGCCAGCTGGATGAGTCGTGCCCTGAGTTGGCGGGGAGCCGTGCACACCAGGGATGAGATCTTGAGATTGCCTGGCGTTGGTACGCATGCATTGGCGGGGTGGAGGTCGCAGGCGTTGGTGGTTGTGAGACAAGGGAGACTGGGTGGCAGCGCCTGTCGGCTGATTGTTCGGTAAGCATGCACTATCGCGAAGAGGGAAGCAGCCGCCCTGGGTCCCCCAAGTCGCAGACGCAGGTGACACTGTCCATCGCAGTCTCATACTCGCAGTGATAGGCGATCGTGGCTCATCGCGGACGGCAAAAGGAATCGTTCGCGTCGACGGGAGTGTCGTATTCGGGATATCATATATCTCAAGGTCTTGTCTAACATACTTCGGCGTCAATACACAAACCATCAGCAAGGAGGATGCACGTACTCCATGCGGTGCTCTTCAATCCAGTGGAATTCTTGAAGAAGGGACCATACGTCTCGCTGTCGACACTCCTTGGAAGGAAGGCCTTCCACACCCGGTCGATGATCTCTTTCCTCGATCCTGACGACAAAGTCGTGGCAAGATGTGTAGGCATATGTGGGTGAGGTAGCTTTCCGGTATATGGAATCGCTCTCAATGCAGGGGGAAAAACTCCTTCCACGACCTCTTTCTCGGCCAGCCGGGTGGTGCGCTGGTGGGGGACATACGGGGCCACGGAGTCCAGCGTCGAAGCGCGCAATCTGGGATCTGAGATACGCCTCGGCGGCGAGGGTGGGGAACGATCAGTAGGTGTAGTCATAGACGTAGACCCGAGAGACGCAGGCGCACCAAGTCGGAGTGACGAGGGCACGGACTGTGCTGGACGTCTGAGCCGTCCCCGTGAGCTGTGTGAACCAGGCTGCGACGACACGCAACGAATTGAATGAAATCGAAATGGAATGGACGGGGTTTGTGGGGTGCAGATCGAGGCATGGGGTGCTGCGAATGGTCCAGCAGTCCACACGGGGGCTTGGGATCTGGGTGGACGACAAGTGTCACCGTGAGCGCGATGACGACGCGAGGGGCCTGTCTGAGTGACGAGTGCGTCAGCGAGTGAGTTCCCGTCCATAGACCAGCCGAACGCCCGACTAATTGAACGACAGACAGATGGAGGTCCACACCGGAACGAATCCATCTTGAACTCCCGTCAGTACACGTACGAATGACGACCGAACTAGTGCGTACCTTACAATCCCTTATGATTATTTCCTTATATCTCCTCCACCCAGTCAGCCAGTCACTGACCGCGACTTTCACCTAGACGCTAAATCCCCTGCCACTGACCTTCCATCCACTCAGGTACGCTATACCAAACCCGTTTATTGCCCACTTATCTAATGACGTTACATCATTGACTCTCAGGGCTACCTACGGTGGATTGCCTTCAGGTCGCGCGCGACTACTCGATGCATGCGAACGCGAGGGTCTCGGGTCGCCTGCAGTCTGCAACTAAGAGGAGGTTAGCATCGAGAGTCGAGATGGCCGATAAGAATGGCCGGTACATACCTCTTCATTCTGCTTTCCTTCTCCCTCCATCACCTCCCTTTCGCTTTCGCTTCGCCTCACTGTACTCCAAAGTCCATCCGCTATCGTTCACGCTCATCTTCCCATTGCTCCTGTGTTCGTTCCCTCTTCGTTTCGTTTCGCTAACGCAATCCATTATCCAGCTTCGACGTACCCCAAACGCTATCACCGTCGAACCTAGGACCAGCCACCCAGACAGAACAAGAACCACTGTTCGCCGTTCGTATATACCCCGTACTCGTTCGCGTTTCGTCGTCGCCCTTGCCCGTGCACCCTTTCCTTCGTACTCCCTTCGCTGTACCCATTCAACCCTCCCGCACCCCTCGTTCTCTCGTTCTGAGCTTTCTTCGTACCCTTGCTGACTCGCACGCTGACTCCCTCCTTCCTCCAGCCGTCTCCTCCGTCTCCCTGTCCGCTCCTCCCCGTCCTCGCAACTGGCCTCGCAACTGTCCTCGCAACGGTAATTCCGCGCCAGCCCAAGCTCGCGCCACCGCAAACGCACTCTAGGCCAGGCCAGGTCAGCGCCGGACGAAGGCACGAAGGACAAGGACGGGGACGAAGGGCGAAGAGATGAGGACGAGGACCCAAGGCAAAGAGACGAGGGGGTGCGTCATTCCCTTGCTCGTTCGCCTCGCGTCGGCGTGTTACTGACGTCTCAGCGTCCCAGGCGTTCCTCATCTGCATCTTCCATCATCTCGCTTCGTCGTTGTCGTCGTAGGCTATGTTGGTGGTATTTCCCTACTTTGGCCAGCACTCCCCTTGCCTGCAGGACCCTATCGATGCTTCCCCCCGTTGTGGTCCAGCTGCTAGCGTATTCCCCTTTGCAGACACGTATGGCTGGCCTATATCATCGGTGTCGATGGGCAAGGGGCTGGCGCGTCGTTAAAGCTGAATGTCGTGAGAGTTGAGTGCGCGACTCTCTTTGTACGTCTCCCATCACTTGTGCCTTCCTTCCTGCCTCTGCTCTCCCTCTCGCTAGCATAGGTCTCTATTCGCGGTGCTGAGCCCGTGTGTGCGCGCCAAATCGACGACAGCACTGCTGAGTGCCCAGTCACTAACGCCATGGAACGAGCTAGTAGTAGGGTCATGGCGTCGCCGGGACTGGGCGTGTGGTGATTGGGTGTCACGTTGAGGGTGCGAGAATGCGGGATTGTGGTTGGCATGGCGTATGGCGTGAAATGGCACTTGGTTTGAATTCCGGCCAGATATACGTCGCGATCCAACACATTTCGGCCAATCTAGGTTTGCGCGGGGGTTTTACCGAGGCTGCGTGTGACTACGGAGAGTTTGGGCGACGTGTTGATGTGTGACTGCCCTCCCTGCTCACTATCAGCATGAGACTGGGGCGTTCAAGCTACACGACGACAGTTCCAGCCCATCTACGTGTTCCAATATCGGCCATCGTGGAGGGAGGGCGACGCTAGTTGGTGGGTTAAAGGTAGTGATATTGGCAAGGGGCATGCTTAATGTAGAAGGTGCGCGTGGACGTCATCTGGCAGTCTTGGGGACGTAGCACATCGGTAAGTAATTCCAACATGCGAGTGAGCGGGGTGCTTACTTGCATCTTCGTTCATGCGTCCCTTGGTCGTTCGCAACTTGGGTGATATCTCCAGCAACGTTCCCTCTCTCCTTTGCTGTGCAACCACTCCTCTCGTCGTTGTAATGCTGCTGGAGGAGCAGACGATCGGCCAGAGGTCTCCATGAAATGTCGAGCGCCGCCGACCGCACATGGTGATGCATTGACAGAGGCAGTGGTGCAGCAGGAGCGAAGGGGATGGAGGAGATGGGGCAGACTTCGCCGGGAATGACCTAGAGGAGATTTTCGCTGGTGAGTGACATCTTCACAAGGGACACGGCGTGTACTCACTTCAGCACATCCCACATCCCCCGCCCGTCGTCTGATCCCCCAATCTGTCTCTCCTTCCATTTTTCATCCCAACCTTTCCTCTCTGCACGTAGCCCTGCTGCTTGTGTTAACGCCGGAGCTTCGTCGTCACCGCATCGCGTGTTGAGAACCTGCCAGCGCGGCCCTCTGGTTCTCCTGCGAGATGTGAGGCGTTAACCTGTTTGTTCTCCGCTACCTTTACCTCCGCGAATTGTGTCCGCGTAGCCAGCATGGTTGTGAGTTGTGCGTCGATGGCTATCTGCAGCAGAATCCTCGATCTGGTGATTGTCGATCGTGCGTGAGGGCGGGAGGTTGCTTTGGTTGGATAAGACCAATGTGTTGTCGTACGTGTCGTGTCGATGGGGACTTGGCGGTTGTGGCGCAAGTTCGGTGGCGCTTGTTTCACGATCGTTAGGTAAGCTTGCCGCCAGGCGTCGACTAAGATGTTGGCGCTCGTACTCACATATGCGCCAGTCTCAGGTTTCTGCTCCGCCGACTGTGTGTTCGTGCCACGCTGTTCATACCACCTGCATGCGCTCGTCGCGGAGAACAGAGAGGCCGGATCAAAATTGGAGGCAGGATTGGGATTGAGGGTGTGAGCATCCAGACTGTGCATACAAACTACCTAGCAAGTCGTACTCGAGGGCAGGAGGCCGTGTGGTGTTTCACCGTTCGCGGCATTGTATATGTAGTCGAGGTCGACGGGTCCGTGGTGGGATGGGGCGGTGGGATGGGGTCGAACTGAGAGGTCGTGCCGCAAGATCCGTAACATGACCTCACCCACTTCGCAGCCAGCAATGGCGCAGTGTCTGTGAGGAATAGGGACGGGGATGGAGGGACGAGGTTTCAATGGTTGGGAGCAGAGCTTGGTGGAGGGCGAAGGTAAGCTGTGCTACTCCGTGAGTTCTTCGTGCAATCGTTACATTTCGCATTACTCACCTCGAGCTGATGTCAGTTGGCGAGGCTTGCATCCAGACGTCAAATGTGAAGGTGGTTACGAGTGCTTCTTCGAGCTCAAGAGGTTCGACGTGCGAGGGAGGGAGACAAGGGGGAAACGTCCCATCTGTCTGGTCTGAAACCACATCACCCAGAACCACGGCCTGACACGGGAGGGCATAGGTGGCCTCTCTACCTCCTGCAGTTGAGTTTCTTGTTCTGATATTGATATCGAGGCGCGCCTGGGGAGTGGTATCGACGGCGATCTGGGCTTCAGTGGCGGAGGAGGCTCGGATTCAAGTATCTGCAATGGGAGGCATACACACATGAGTACGTGCTCGACGGGGACATTCAGACACTATGGATGAACTCACCTTGTCTTCCAGACCCCGCCTCCATTCTTTGCCTCGTCATCCGAGCGAACATCGTCAACGCTGCGCCTCTTCACAGCAAGATTGCGCTGGTGGACAAGCCTCGCGGCTGCCGTACGCTTTTTCGCCGATTTACGCCTCGTCGGGGACGGCGCTGTCTTTACCGTTGCTTGCACCTTGGCCCCCGCATTCCCATCTGCATCGCAAGGCCCATCGCCGTGGACTCCTCCTCCTTCTCCCTGCCCGATGTTCATTCAGGAAACTCGCCGCTACTGCCCGTGTTTGCAAGGGGCACTGGCTGAGGTTGGATTCATCTGGAGTTGTTGCTTGTGGTAAGTTTTACTTGGTCTGAAGGATTAGGATTGACCATACCTCTGTGTCCTTGTATTCCCAGTGCACGGTGGCGATATCGACGAAAATGATTGAGGGCGAGTTGAGGACTGCCCCGCATTGTGGCGCTCGAACAAGCGCCACGTGCTTGATCCAACTCCGCTCCGTGAGCCGACTTCGTCCACCAAGCTTTCAACTGCTCACCAACCTCTCAACTGCGCACTACGACGATGACAGCAACGACAACGAGGGGATGATGGCCTGCCCCTTCGCCGCTCTCCCTATCTCTCCTCCGTTTCCTCCTCCGTGTCGACATTATGGAACAGTACTGCGCCGAACATGTGTAACCAATTTCGCTCGCTCCGAAGACAGACGCGTGTGCTGCCAGCAAAGCGAACGAGGGGATACAGGTGAGTTGCGGTGGATATGGTAAGATATCGCCCTAAAACAGTCAGGTGAGTCTCCACTCCATTAGGAAAACCATCTGGTTCATGTGGGCTTTAGTGGACGCGCACGATGGCTGCTGCAGGAGCGCGGACGAAGCCAAACACTGGCTAGGCCTGACGCCACCACTATCAAGTTCCTTCAGACGTCAATGAATGCCCCACTTCCACCAGCCTCGCGCCTTGCGCAATCCGTCCACGACTGGCGCGTCCGGAGCTCTCACCCCACCGTTGTCTTCAAACTGGCGACCGTGTTACATCCCCCTTCGTGCCCTCACCCACACTCGTGGTTCACAGAGGAAGCTCGGAGGCGGAATGACACGCGCGCATATAGGGACATCAAATGCAACACCGGCAGTGTGTGGGTATCCGAGTCCGAGCGTACGGCCAGAGGAGGAGGGTTGGGAGGAAGGGGGATGTATAAGATAGGTGGCACATTCACGGTATGTCGTTGGAAGTTTGCGCGCATATACATACTTACAAACGGCAGGTGAGACAGGCTGAATGGCTGGCGGCAATTGGCTGGCTCGCTAGCGTGCAGCCCTCTTCGCCGCGATGCCCGTAGTCACCCCCTCGATGGGGGAGCCCCTGTCTCCGTTTCTCCATCCTGCCATCGCATTCCCTCTTTGCCGACATCCCCGTAGCCACTCCCTCGTTGGGGGAGCCCCTATCTCCAACTTCTCCCTCCACCTCCCCTCGCCGCAATCCCCGAAGCCGCCCGCAACTTGTGCAGGCCCCTGTCTTGTAAACACGTCTTCGCAGGATGACGTCAACTCTTCCTCTCCTTTCGCCGTGATGCCTGTAGCCATCCTCTCGATGGGGGTGCCCCTGTCTTCCTTTCCCCCATCCTTCCATCACATTCCCTCTTCGCCGACATCCCCGTAGCCACCCCCTCGTTGGGGGAGCCCCTATCTCCAACTTCTCCCTCCACCTCCCCTCGCCGCAATCCCCGAAGCCACCCGCAACTTGTGCGGGCCCCTGTCTCATACACCCATCTCTGCACAATGGTGTGAACCCACCCTCTCGTTTCGCCGCAATGCCCATAGCCACTCCCTCGTCGGGGGAGCCCCTGTGTCACATGGTCCTCTTGCTCACTTGTCTGCGATGCCCATAACCACCTCCTTGTTTCCCCTACCCTGTTGTGCTTTTGCCCCCTCCGTTCGCCGTGATCACCGCTCATGGTGGACCAGTGTCTACCCGTCCTAGCGCATTCGCCGTGGTCCCTTGACCTTGGGCCACCGTCTCTCACGTCTCCCATCTGCCTTTCGCCTCTGGCCTTTGATGCGCCTGGCCATCTGCTCATTCAAGTCTCTGCGCAGTAAGCGAGCTCTAACGCTTGTAACTTGTGGAAGGCAATGGTAAGTCTGAATATTCCAGCACTCACCTAACCTAACCTACCGAGACAGTCGCTCGTAAACGAGCTCCGAAGATAATATACCAAAACCCGAAACCTCAACCCCCTAACATCCTAATGCCCTACAGCCCTAGTACCTTGGCTTGGGGGTTGTGATGGGTCTGGGTTAGAGCTCGCAAATGAGCTCTAACCCTTGTAGCTTGTATGCAATGTTAATTCCGACTACTCCTGCACTCACCTAACCTAACCAGCCGAGACAGTCGCTCGTAAACGAGCTCCAGATACAATATGCCAAAACCCTAAACCTCAACTCCCTAAGGTCCTAATGCCGTAAGGCCCTAATCCGTGGGCTTTCATTTGATGGTGAGTCCGCGTTAAAGCTTGTAAACGAGCTCTAATGCTTATTGTTTATAGGCAGTCCTTAATCCGAAAGATCAATTACCTAGCTGACAATATCACTTGTAACTGAGCTCTATTGGAAATATACATGGATCCGAAGCTCCTGCCCCTTAAGTTCCTATCTCTGAAGGCTCTAATCCAAGTAAGTTGTTCGATTTCAAGAGAATAAGATAGGATTGCATGCATGAGAAGGCATGGAACCGCGTTAGAGCTCGCGTTTACGAGCTCTAACGCTCTAATACCAAGCCACATAGCTATCTAACTTGGTAGTTGAATAGTAAAATATCCATCCTTGTGTGATATATAACAGGGTTCTGGCCAATAAGTGATATGATAAGGTTGAAAGAAAGAGGTAGAGTAGCCCAGAAGTAGCAGTTTTGGGCTGACCTAACCCAGCACTAGGTCCGGAGTCAGTGGATAGAGCTCGTAAACGAGCTCTAACACTTCAATGAGAGACTCAATGGTGGGTCCGCGTTAGAGCTCGTAAACGAGCTCTAACGCTTTAAGATGAAGTTCAATGTTGGGTCCGTTCAATGTTGGGTCCGTCAGTGTGGCTACGAGTTGCTAAAGGATTTCAAGGTATATTTAATTTTGCTATCGTAGCCACAGTGTGGCTACGAGTTTCTAAAACCGTCCCTGCCATTGGGTCGAGCCAGCGACGACGGACCCGGTCGCCGGGCGGCCGAGATTGAAACTCCGTCGCGGCCCACTCATTACTAAGTAAAATATCGTAGCCACACTGTGGCTACGAATTGCTAATTAAGGTTTCAAATGTATATTCAATTTTTCTACCGCTGAGCGTAGCCACAGTGTGGCTACGAGGTGCTAATATAATATTTCTAAGGTATATAAAATTTTCCCACTGTAGCCACAGTGTGGCTACGGATTTCTGATACCGTGTTTCGGTTATCCCCACCATCTATCTTAGCCCGGCCAGTGCTAGCACTGGCCGGGCATAAGATAGATAGCGTTTCGTCGGACTCAAAGTCAGGGGAGTCAGCTCGCAAGACGTCATCGTCGCAGCCGGCCTGGCTAACGCTCGTGATCGATTTCCGGTTCAGCCCCGTGCTAATCCTGAGCGCTTCCTTCTTGATGAACGTCGCGAGTCGGAGGAGAGACTGCGGGGACTTGGAGGAGTAGCAAGAGTGTGGCGTAGATTTCCGTTCTGATGATCATCTGGGCCTGCAGCCAACGGTGGGTCGCTCACGGTGGTAAGGGCGGTAAGCTTCAAGTCAACTTGCTTGATTTTTGTCTCCCATTCCTCGCTCGCCTTGGCCAACCAAGCACGCTCCTCAGACCACTCCTTGCGCATGCTACTCCACTGCCCATCTACATTCTTCTTCCAGTCCGTCATTAACTGCTCTAGCATCCCGTTCTCAGTATCCGATTTTGCCGGCGTTTGGGCGTCCCTGGCCGCAAATGCAGAGGCAACGACAGCTGTGGCAGCTGAGATGGAGGCGGAGATAACCTCTTCCTGTCCGGTCTGAGACGTCTTCACTTTGTCCTCTAGCTTGACAACTTTTGCTTGTAGGTTCAGAATGGTAGATTGAGCCGCATCGTGCTGAGCCTGGATGTGACAACTCGGTTCCCGATATGGATATCCCCTCTCCCCTGTTTCAGTGTCCCTATTCCTACCCACATGCTTTGAACTCTCGTTCCTCCCTTTCCCAGTTATTCCGCATGGACTCATAGTCTGTTTGTATCTATTATGGTCTCTCGATAGTTACAGTATAAATACCTGGGTTGTACGTAGGTATAGGGCAGAGTCCCCAGAAATACGAACGGTTAATCCTTTCAACTTGACGGACTGACTCTACCCCCCTTTTTTCCCATGTACGTGACCGTTACCGCAACGCTCCGCATTACATATTTTTGAAAGCTCCCCCACCGTTCATCAACACCAACACTCGCAAGAGTGAACAACTTTCCCGACGCCTATAGGTCCCCCCCAGTTTGGCCCACTGGGAATCCTCGGCTCCTCCACCTCCATAACCGCTAAAACCTTTACACTCAATTATTATTGATCACCGATAAGTCCTCCCCTGAAAAAAGTTTTACTGATCATCAGATTAGATTAAAGCATGACATCGCGTATCCCTACGTCGTCAACCAGACGCTACCCTCTGCGTAGCCAGACCACCCTAGAAAAAGGGAACCCCAGTGAGTCAGATCTCACCGATTCCGGCGCTGAAACCGCGCCTGTAGATACCCAAAGACCTGTGTCAGCAGCGTCCCGCCGAAGTTACTCGGACGTGGCGGCTGCATGCGATCCAGCTGAGACCTTTGGGCCAGCCACCTTCCTCCCTAATGAACCGGATGCCGGGGATGACGGGAGGAAGACCGCCGATGGCGAGGAATTCGCCAACAACGGTGTCCAGGGACAAACCCCTGATGATGATTCGGGCTGGATACCAGTAAACCGAAAGAACAGACGGTCGCATAGCGCTTCCTCTGTAGATAGACGCCGCGATCTTGATAATGAACAATTGAGAACGATAAATGCAGCTTATGAGAATCTAAGTAATAAGCAGAAGGAAAGTCTGGCCCAAAGACAGGCTCAGATTAGTAAGGACCCTCAAGCCAAAGGCCGAGGTGATAGACTTCCAGGACCTGGACACGACAACCCATGGACTGCGGCCAAAGGGAAAGTCGCTGACCCCACTAACTGGGGTGACATCGACTTCGGAGACGACGACTTAGACCCCGAAGCACAGGCTGAGGCGTTCAAGATCTGGAAGACGGCGAAGAACCTAGGGCCGGCCAATGATCAACGTCAAGCTGGACCCTCCCGTCGTCAGACCACAGCCAGACGGTTGCCCCCTCCGATTGTAGATGACGATCGGGAATATCTTCGCCAACAACTAGCGGAACTCAAAAGGGATAACAGGCGTCTACGTGAACGCCAGAAATCCCGGACCCCAATGACTGAGGGTATACGAGCCCACATCGCGGAGACAACCGTTGAGAGACCTAAGACCAAATCCAAGTCCGCGACTAGAACTCGACCCAAGAAACAAGACGCAAAGTCAGGATTCCTTCCGAGCTCGCAAATACCCCCCAACAGCTATCTGGGTAGGGCCCTGAACTCGGTGGAAGATAGAAGAGGGTCTCGCAAAAAGG